AAATCAGACTTGCACGCCACTCGAGAAAGCTTGCTTTTCCTCGAGGAAAGCTCCCGTTACACCCGCGAAAGCTTGTCTGCTCATTCATATTTATATTTCCTGCCTCAACGAAGTATAAGGACTGAATATCGCTCCCTACAAAGGCCTTTACCATTTTTTTCCTAATTTTTTTACTTATCGGTTTACCGAGTCAATTGCCATTACACAGTCGGATTACCAACGGTATTACTTCAGTTACACGTTTACGCGAGTCTCCTTCTCGGAGCTCTTGACCCGGCGTGGCAGTTCGCCGATTCATAAAAGCGATAAATATTCATGAAGCTTTTATTAAACGCTCCTCGGAGCGGAATACGGTACATAAAGTACCCACGTAAATACGCGTCTCGATTAAATTGCCGAACTGTCCGCTCCTCATCGATGCGAAATCCAATTTACAATGTTAATCGATAGCCCCAAGCTAGGAATTATCGAAATTCACGTAATGTACATTTCGGCGATAAAAATGAGATCGAGAAGTCCAGATTCTCAGGGCCGATATTTCTTAACTAGCAACCCTAAATAACATTCTTTATTAAAACAAAAAAAAACAAATGTAAATATTAATACAATTTGAATTTCCGTGATAAGGCGTTTTCTATAGCTGACTAATGACCACCTACAATTCGATTAAATATCCCTGAAAAATAATTTCGAACCGATATAATAAAACTCCAAATTTTTTGCTCTTCCAGCTCCTCCACGATTCGAATTTCCATGATAAAGCGTTTTCTATAGCTGATTAATGATCACCTACAATTCGATCAAATTTCCATGACAAGGCATGGTAACTGATGAAATGTGAAATTTACGTTCCCATGATTTTTCTTCAATTCGGTCGAATATCCCTGACAAATAATTTCAAACCGAAATAATAAAATTCCACATTTTTCGACCTTTTAGCTCCACCGCAATTCGAATTTCCGTGATAAGGCGTTTCCTATGGCTGATTAATGACCACCTACAATTCGATCAAATTTCCATGACAAGGCATGGTAACTGATGAAATTTGAAAGTTACGTTCTCATGATTTTTTCCTCAATTCGGTCGAATATCCTTGAAAAATAATTTCGAACCGATATAATAAAACACAAAATTTTTCGCTCTTCCAGCTCCGCGATTCGAATTTCCGTGATAAGGCGTTTTCTATGGCTGATTAATGATCACCTACAATTCGATCAAATTTCCATGACAAGGCATGGTAACTGATGAATTTTGAAATTTCCGTTCCCATGATTTTTTCCTCAATTCGGTCGAATATCCCTGAAAAATAATTTCAAACCGAAATAATAAAACTCCAAATTTTTCGCTCTTCCAGCTCCTCCACGATTCGAATTTCCGTGATAAGGCGTTTTCTATGGCTGATTAATGACCACCGCCGAACCTTTCACGCCGAGGCGAGTCCCGGGATGGAAGGCGAATCCTTGCATGCATAATCAAGTAATTGCAGCTCTCTTATCGGGATATCGGTAAGGTGGATCGCGAAGCTCCTGCGATGTGAAGCCTTCGTGCCTGACCTGCGACAACGTGGAGCCCGTTGGGCGTGCAGATGCAGGTGCACGGTGCATACTTGATATCGCGGAATCGCGTAGGTACAAGTGCACAGGAAAGCTTCGTGCACGTCGAACGAGTGTAGGGGTGGACGAGCAACAGGTAGATGCGAGGGGTCAACTACCCCTGTAGCCGTAGCCGGTTACATAAGCATCTACCGATCGCCGATTAAAGCAGAAAAAACTGGAGGAAAAAAGGAGGGAAGCTCCGAGGCATTTTTCCTGATTTGATCGATGGCGACGCGACACGAATCGCAGGGATTCCCGATCGATTCCTGCCTTAAAGCTCGCCAAAGTCTCGGCAATCAACGGAAAGCTCCGAGGAAGCCGGGGAAAAATCGTAAACTGATATTAAGCATTTTTCCCGGAGCTCTAAGGGTATATTAAAATACGCGAAACGGCCGTGGGTGGTGGAAATGGCGACCGGGGGAATTAATAAAGCGGGTTTAATGCCAGGTTTCATGCTCTCATGGTGTAGCTGGAATTTAACTATTAGGTGGAATTTCAGTTTAGAGGTTAAGTGACTTCCAGACCTCGATACCGGCTTCAGGTACATTTTATGAATTTTCAGGGTCCTATATTTGTTTATTCATATCTTATTCTTTAGAGATGTGAATTCTTTACGAGGAACTAAATTGCACAGCTCGGCGTCTTACGGTCGTAAACCTGGATGCTCTAATAATGGATAACGAATGGAGGCGAAATTTTATTTCGTGAAGGGTTGAACTTTTTCTCGGTTTTACTGCCTCCCGATGAACATAATTCCCTTAATTCAATCGTAGATTCGATAGAAGCGGTATTTGTCAGCGATAAATTTTTGTCAATCTAGTGTATGTACCCAGACCTCACGTGATGGTGGGGAGGATTTTATTTCGTAAGGGGGTGAATTTTTATTCAGTTTTATTGCCTCCCGATTAACATAATTCCCTTAATTCAATCGTACATTCGACAGAAGCGATATTTGTCAATGACAAATTTCTGCATCAGTTATGTGTACGTACCCAGACTTTACGTGGTGTGGGAAAGAAATTTTATTTCCTAAAGGGGTGAATTTTTATACAGTTTTATTGCCTCCCGATGAACGTAATTCCCTTAATTCAATCGTACATCCGACAGGGGCGATATTTGTCAACGACAAATTTCTGTATGAGTCAGTTATACGTACCCAGACTTTACGTGGAGGGGGGGAAATTTTATTTCGTAAAGGGATGAATTTTTGTCAGTAAAATAAAAATTCAGCTTTATTGCCCCCCGATGAACGTAATTCCCTTAATTCTGTCGAACATCCGATAGAAGCGATACTTGTCAACGACAAATTTCTGTATCAATTATGTGTACATACCCAGACTTTACATGGTATGGGAAAGAAATTTTATTTCGTAAAGGGGTGAATTTTTATACAGTTTTATTGCCTCCCGATGAACGTAATTCCCTTAATTCAATCGTACATCTGACAGGAGCGATATTTGTCAACGACAAATTTCTGTATCAGTCAGGTGTACGTATCCAGACTTCACATGGTGGGGGGAAATTTGATTTCGTAAAGGGATGAATTTTTATTCAGTTTTATTGTCTCCCGATACCCATGTACTTCCCCTAATTCGTCGCACCTCCGACAGAAGCGATATTTGTCAACGACAAATTTCTGTGTCAGTCGGGTGTACGTACCCAGACCTCACGTGGCGTGGGGTGGCGTGAGGCGACATACATCCTCTTCCGGTCAGGATGCGAAATTGTGTGGCCACCCCGATGGCGACGTTGAAATTCACTCGTGCTCCAGGAGAGCCGACGAAGCGAAAGCACGATTAATTCGAGTCATAAATAAATCGTTTAATCCCCCGCAAACCGACCTTATCACGATGGGGATGAAAAAGTGAAAACTCCCACATCCACCACCCCGATGAACTGTCGACGAAGTGAATATCAGAATGGGGAAAAGTAGGGGTGTCTTTTGCTCCCGCACTCCTGAAAAGACAAACCAGAATAGACTTTGATAAAGAAATTGTAGTCACAAATATTCCCCATAAAAAATAACAATACATTCCACGACGTTATGAATATTTCTTGAAATCCACAAATTGGATTTACGTGTTCATCTCGTGATATCATCATAATAATACCTTCTACAACTTAATCAAAAATATACGGTATTCCTGTTTGATCTAATTTTCTCAATTATTTCTGCAATCATTTTGCAATGAAAAAAAAGTCCTTGGAATTCAGAAATTAGATTTACGCGTTTATCGCGTGGTATCATCGTAATAACACCTTCTTCAAATTCATAAGGATTATACGGGATTCAGATTTCATTTAATTTTCTCAATTATTTCCGCAGTTATTTTGCAATGATAATTTCATGCAATCCACGAATTAGATTTACGTGTTTGTCTCGTGTAATCATCTCGGTTAAATGGAATCAATGTCCACTTTTGTGCGTACATGCTGGGACTGCTCCCAGATGTGGCAATCGGCGATTCCCAGCCGTTTATTAATTCGCAATTAAAACGATAGTTGTCCGTGCTTACGTGAGCAGTCAAATTGTTTATGGAGTACGTAAACCTTTCGGTCGCATGTTTATCGCTCGACTTTTCGCTTATTCGGCACTCGCGGTCGAACTTTTACAGTCCTGGTCGAGCGTCCAGGATAATGAAAACGTCATTTATTACGGTTATCTCGCGAATTAAACCGCTTAACTCTGCCAGTCCAATCTGTACCGAATGGGCACGCCATTGGGAAATATCCAAAAATTGAACCTCCGTGGGAACAAAAAACGAATACACGACTATTACTTCGCGCCCCGATTTTTCAACTTTTTTCAGCTGTACCACTTTTTTAGCAATTCCGGAAAGTCTCGTAGCGTCCGGAAAAAGGAAGATGGCGTACAATCGATGGTATTCGATTTTCCAGGCAGGAACAAAACTGGCATGCAGTTTTCAGGACTCCTTTTACACATTTTAGAGCATCGAAAATACTTTTATCGAATTTTGAGGTATCTTCAATTCGTACCCTTCCCCCCCCCCCCNCGCTTGAGATATTTAGCAAAGATTACAAAGAAATATTTATAAATTATTCTATGCTACTAGGGTTCCTTTGTACGATCCTTTGTACCGATCATCCCCATTCCTTTGTAGAGATAAGAATCAGCAATTAATGCCACCCCTGTGGAGAGCGATTTATCGTACCAGCAACGTGACATTTCCAGAGAGCGCCGAGGAAGATGAGGAGGGCGTCGTCGGGGGTGCGGGCCCCGCCGGTGGAAGAACCGGCCATGGGGGTGGAATGACGTTCCCCCTGAGGATGGCAGCTGTCATGAGAGGACGTCCCGGAGCGGGTACGTTTCTTCGCGGGGGGGCGGGTCAACGCGTCAACTTTGACCCGGAGGCCCCGCCGCCCCCGCCGCCGCCGCCACCCCCGCTCCCGCCGCTGCAACCCCCGCAGGGCCAAAACCCTCATCAACAGGTCATGAGCCTCCTCGAGAAGCCGGAGATGGACAAGAAGGTTAAGGTGAGTACATCTTGAGCCTCGACTCGCCCCTTTTAAGCGAAAACCCGGGGCGCCACTCGTTAACGGGGTGCAAACCGGAAAGACATCTCATTGCTTGCATTTCCTTTGCTCAAAGTGATGTATACATGTCAAAAAGACAAAATATTTATAAAATTTTTCCCCAAACTGGGTGCGCCAAATTATCTGAAACTTTAACGCGTGATTATGGAGACTGAGGGATAACACGCTGCTCATGAGAATTCCTTTTTCCGAAAAAATGTTGTACTTATCTCGAACAAGAACCAAGAAAAGATTTTTTTTTTACAAAAATGAAATTTCACGCGTAGCGCGTTCTTCCTTACAGCCTGCATGGTCACGTGTTAAAGTTTTAGATAATTCGGTGCACCCAGTTTGGAGAAAAGTTTTATAAATATTTTCACTTTTTGTTATGTATGTATCACACTTTCGTATCACCTTAATGATTCTTTATCCAGACTTTCTGCAACGAGAATCATTTTTTTTATGTTAACTTTCAACGTTGACGCTTCTTCGTTAAAGGACGACTCTTCTTCGACGGATCCAAAATGGCGGCGCGCTTGGACTGCACATTCGCTCAGTATTTTATTGCTTATTAAGGTGATGCAAAAGTGGCGTCAAAGAGGTCGGACTTGTAGACGGTTTTTCAAGTTCTCCAACCGCGTCGTTTGGTACATATGGAACGCTTCAATTCGTGTAATTCTTAACGTAGACTGTGAAAGACCAACATGAATATAAATGTCGGTAACGGAACGCGCCAGCTTATGTTACCACTTGTATATTCAAAATAGCACTGCCACCAAAAAAGGTATTGATAAATTTTATGTTATCGACGTCGATTAAATTTCTCAGCGTCTTTCATATCATCTCAAGATTTTGAAAAAATGATGTTTCTCGACGGGATAAATTTCTTTGTGACTTGTCGTCGACGGTTTTTCCAGTTGTCCGAGTTCTCCGCGTTCTCCAACCGCGTCGTTTGCCGCAGTCGCAGAAACGCTTGTCGAGGAAACCCCGTATCACCGTCTTCGGCTTAGATTACAGAGAATGGCGACCATTTCCCAGAAGTGACGAGCGGCCCGATCCCGCAGCTTCCCGGCCGTTACTGCCGCATCCCTGGCAATTATCTCCCTCTAGTCGGGATGTCGCAATAACATCCGCAAGCTCGGCCCGCAGCGTTTTGTCCGCGGCGTTCCTGGGGCCGCAATTCCCGTAATTCCAGGCCGCCAGAGGGGAAGACAAGCGCCTCCAGAAACGCCTCGAAAAGTCTGATCTCCCAGCACTCTCGTGCGGAAATTGAATTTTCCCAGCCAGCCAAGGGTCGCGGACAAACTTTCTCAGTCGTCAACTTTTCCGACGCGGAGAAAGCTCTCTCTCTCTCACACATTGTTCGAGGCGCCCTTGTCAGGAGGAATAGACGAGAGGTGTCTTGCGCACTACATGAACTGCGTAAACTACATAAAACTGCACAAACCAGGTGATTTTGTAGCCTCCTCGAGTCGCCGCTGAGAAAACCAACTTCTCCTCTTTGTGGAAAATTTTCCGCGAATTTGCCGGTAACTATTGCGGAATTCTTGACGTCGGATGAAAAGCGATCTGATTTTTTCACGGTTCAGTATATTGGAACGTTTACATATTTTCTTTATTACCCTCCGTAACCCCTTTGGGCCTTTCTGGGCACGAGAGAAATTTTCAACTTAACACATTCGCGACCGCTGACGTGAATTCACGTCTTTTCAAGTTCTATTCCCGTTTGCCGCTGACGTGAATTCACGTCATTTTAAATTCTATTCCTGATTGCCGCTGACGTGAATCACGTCCTTGGCGATACACGATACAAGTTTGCGGCAACCAGTTTAAGAATTTCATTATTTTCGCCGGTACTCAGTATTTGAAACGGAAAAAATTTCCCGGTCGCGAATGTGTTAATTATCCTTCGTGAATATCTTGAGTGTTATCGAAACGAATCTTTAATATATCAATTTGAAGGATATTGGATAATGTAGCAGAGATCGGGAAATGTTACAATGAAATTTTTCGAATTTTGTTAAGCTTCTGATGAAATGAAAGTTGGTGAACTCAAAGAAATATGCATTGCGAGAAAATCCTCCGATTAAATACGTCCAAAGAAATATCAGAGTAAAGAAAATTGGTTTAAGTCGACAATGTCAATTATTTCATCACAACGAAATAATTGTATCTTGCGATTGTGTTTAATTCAGGCGACAATATATATTTGATTCAGTCAAGTAATTTCTTTTTCCTAGTACAGCGGGACAAATTGCGATAGTCATAGAGGGTTGATAGTGATGAAAGGTTTGCGAAAAATGGATGTAATTTTACTTTCTTAGATTTTCTGGGAGGAATATCAGGGTTGCGGAAGAAAGTGATTGGGGAGGATGAGGTGCATCCACTGACGTATGTAAGACGTCACTTCCGGGTGACGCAAGTTCGCCTATCACGTGTTCCTTGGGGCTCCTCCCTTTATTACCTCGTAAACGTCGAGAGATCAGGATGGACTCGAGAAAAAAGAGGGAACGATGGAAAAGATATGATCCGCGACCCTTTTAGAGCGTCGAAGGTGGCACACGTATCTTCCGATCCTTTCCGAGAATATAATATATTCAATTCCACGTGAAATATAAAACCTCTTCAAGATATCAGAATATCTGCCCCTCCTTACTCCCCCGAATTCATATTTTCCCAAGGGAACGAACACTTTATCTCAAAAAATGCTAACTCTAAAACCAGAAAAGTCATTTCATCAACATAACCTACAAATCTCTCACATTTTCTCTACCATGTATAAATGCGTGGTAACCTTATGGGAGTGATGTTGTTATTAAAAGTATTGTAAATTGCGCGATATTTGGCTTTAGGAAGATAATTAGTAGCGAATGAATGTTTTTTGCTTCTTTCACGCATGAAATGGACGTGGAGGTGATGTGTAAATTCAACGCATTCGCGTTTGTACGAATTCGTGCATCGTGGGTACATCGCGGTATAACCCTACACGAGCTGAAGGGAAGACACGTGAGGCTTTTTAGCTTTATTGCCTCGTAAATTCCAGAAGGTCTGGAGGGTGAAAGAAGTCCCGCAGGACTATGGAGCCTCGCCTACTCCTATTTGTTTTCTCTTTAGACCGCTTTATCCAGTCCGCAGGTTTCCAGGGCTGGCCATCAATTTGAAAGTTTAACCAGAAACGAACGTCGCTGGTTAGCCACGCTAATTCGCACCTTCGAAACCTTCACTTCCGCTTCGTCACACTTATGCAGTCCATTGTTCAAATTTTCTTCTATTTTTATTTACACTTTTTGCCTAATACATTTGCATTGAAAATGAAATTCTCGAAAATATTTTACCGCATCTTTCGTATATTTTGTAAATAAGTTGACTACTGATTACGCATATCGGTAACGTTGAATTGTTAACTTCGACGCGAATTATTTTATTCGCACCTTCGAAAACTTCAATTCCGCTACGTCACACTTATGCAGTCCATTGTACAAATTTTCTTTAATTTTTATTTACACTTTTTGCTTAGTACATTTGCATTTAAAGTGAGATTCTCGAAAATATTCTACCACACCTTTCGTGTATTTTGTAAATAAGTTTACTTCTGATTACACATTTCGGTAACGTTGAATGGTTAACTTCGACGCGAATTATTTTATTCGCAACTTCGAAAACTTCACTTGTGTTACATTACACTTATGTAGTCCATTGTTCAATTTTCTTCTATTATAATTACATTTCTTACGTAATACGCTATCATTGAAAAAGAAGCTCCAGAAAATCATTTGCTGCGTCTTTTGTTCATCTTGTAAATAAGTTGACTTTTGATTACATACATTGGTAAAGTTGAATTGTTCACTTCAGTGGGAATTATTTTATTCTATGTGATGTGGCCATTTGTCGGTTTCGTAAGGGTTGGTTTTCTGTTTGGTAATCCACCCTTCGATATACGTCTTCGTATTTTCCCCTCGAATGACCCACAAAATGTATCCCCATCCTCTTGGAAGGACTCGGCGGTTGATATAACAAGAATAGTCTTCTTGTTACATCAGCATAATCCGATGGAACCAAGAAATGAACTGGATACGCGGAATTACGTAAGTGATTTAATTCCGTATAATTAGTTTCATCCCATGAAAAGGTTGTTAAAATCCCACGAAATCTAACGTCTACATTTAATTAAGAAATATTATAATGACAGATTTTTCTCAGTGAGATATTGATATGTCAAATTAGACGTTGACTCGCCACTACGAGGGGGTAAAGATAATAATTCCACTTTATAACTTAGTAGAGTAAAATGTATCCCGAAAAAAAGTGTTCCCCTAAAGCGTCAAGCACGAAAGTGCTCATTACCTCGGAGACTTAAAAACTCTTAATTAAGATCTTAAGAACAGCCGTCAAATATAGATAGTTCATTCACCGGTATCCCTTCGCTTTTCGAGTAGTTTACCCTAGTTAGCCGCTAATTTGAATAAAGAAAGGCTGAGATATAATTCATGCACAGAGCGTCGCTAACTTCCGCCATCCATCTTTCTCGCGGCTCGATTCGCAGAACTCGGATAACTATATTCGTCAAATAAATTGTCAATCGAGTCTTACAGTCATTTGACTCGGAATATGATCCACCAGTCCATACAAGTTCTCGACCGCTATGCACAATCGGCATAATAATTAAAAATCATAATTTACCCAAGTCCTCTGACTAGCAGAAATGACGAAACCTTTCATTCTATACATTACATACATTGTTTAGTTCACTTTTCCAAATTTACTTCTCAACTTCAATAGCCTTTTTCGGCGCGCATAAATGAACATGCAAAAAACAAATTTCGATCATTGAACATAATCGTTTGATTGACTGCACGTGGTTAATAGCAGCAAAAGCTTTATCGAGAAACATTTTTGTTATACCGACAACGAAAAAATGATTACTTCCTTGGGGCAACACTAATTCCATTCATAGTTGCAATATTCCTTTCTAGCAACAACAAATCGTATAATATACGATAATGAGTGACATTATCACTGATTCGTTTAAGTAGGGATAACCATATTTCTCCATTTTTGCAACAAATTCATTTGCTGATTTAGCAAGCATTTTTTCTAAAGGAACCTCTCCAATGATTACATCTACGATTCGATGCAATTGCAGACATTTCTATTGTTTGTGGGATTATTCCTGCGGTAAGAGGAAAATTTTCTCGACAATGCAGTAGACTCCCGTACAACGCGAATTCCCATAACGCGCCAAAGATGTTGCGACTACTGTTTTCATGTAACGCGATTCTTTGTAAAACACAAATAATGAAACACACAATGCGCGTTATATAAGAATAATTCCCATACAGCATGATTTTCTATAACGCGAATGCATACAGCGCATAACGTATTACTTTAGGCGAGATTCGTTATAATTACGTTACACGAGAGTCTAATGTATGTTTTTTTTTCCGTGCAAAAACGAATGAATTTCGAGCAAAAGGTGCAACTCTTGGCGCTCGATGCGCCATCTTTCGTGAAAGACGTAAAAGGCGTAAAAGACGTAAAGGTAACGAGGCGTCACGGGAGGAGGGAGGGTAGGAAGGCGATTACCTCTCTCTCGGCTCGGACCCCGAGAGCGGGGCTGAAGGCCGAGCCTCGAGTGTTTGCCATGGCGCTCCCTAATTGTCGAGTGGCCACACCCTCGACACACACTGTCCATCATCCGCCTCTTGCATCGTGTCCGCGGAATGCTCTTATCGCCCGATAAACGTCCCCCAGTTCAGGGACAATGCGCCGGTGGGTGCTTGCAGCTCGAGAGGGTGCCCACAGGGTGGATTATGTTCCCGGTGGGAAGCGAGATGCGGCGACCCCGGAAGATCCCCAATCTCAAAATCGGGCACCCATCCGAGAGCTTATCGCAACCAATAATGCTTAACTTTAAAAATCACTCGAAATTCTCGATCTGAAGTAGTGAGACGAAATGGCTCAAAAAACAACTTGGAATCCGTGTTTCGAGATCTCAGTGAGCAGTGATCTGAAACACTGTCGGAACTCAAAATCTGGCACCCATCCGAGAGCTGATTACGACCAATGATGCTTAACTCTGAAAATCACTCGAAATTCTCGTCCTGAAATCGTGAGATGAAGCAACTGATGAAAAACTCTTTGAAAACCGGATTTCGATGTCTCGGGATGAAATGAACTCTTATTTCGGGAAGGATAGCGGTAATCTGAAATTTCGTCGAAACTCAAAATCGGGCACCCATCCGAGAGCTGATTGCGACGAATGATGCTTAACTCTGAAAATCACTCGAAATTCTCGTCTTGAAATCGTGAGATAAAGCGACTGATGAACTCTTTGAAAACCGAATTTCGATGTCTCAGGATGAAATTAACTTTTATTTCGGGAAGGATAGCGGTAATCTGAAATGTCGTCGAAACTCAAAATCGAGCATCCATCCCAGAACTGATCGCAACCAATGATGCTTAACTTTAAAAATCACTCAAAATTCTCGATCTGAAGTAGTGAGACGAAATGACTCAAAAAAGCAACTTGGAATCCGTGTTTCGGGACCTCGGGATAAAATCAGCTCTTATTTCGTGAAAAACGGCGGTGATCTGAAATATTGTCGAAACTCAAAATCGAACACCCATCCCGTGGGCTGTGACGTTTATCCAGTAAAATCACTCGAAATCCGGAGCTTAAACTTGCGAAATAAAATCAGGTATCACTCTTGATTCGTCTTCTACGTTATGAAAAATACCAGAAAGCCAAACATCGCCTGCACTCAAAATCAGACTCCCATCCGAATACTAGCCACAACAAACGCCGGTTAACCTTGAAAATGGCTTAGACTCCACAACCCTCAGTCACATCATAGAAATATCGATGATGACCCCATTTTCCAAAAAACACCAGGAAGTTGAGAATTTGGTAAAAAATGATCGATAGGACGTCGCATCCTCAGGGAGCGTTCCGGGGTCGTGATGGAGTGGATCCCGAGGGTGGTTCCTGCTTTTCTTTTTTTTCATGGCCTCTGGGGGCCATTTTCGCGGAGGGTCAATACAGGGGGGCAGAAATCGATGCAAGTCAGGGTGCATCAAACGAGACGTCGCACAGTGGTGACAGTTAATTTCGAAATGGTCTTCGAAGAGGTGACCCCTGGAGGCCACAGCGTCGGGGTTGGACTTGGTTCAGGGGATGATTGCTACCCTCTGGGGGCAAACAGAGCAGGGTCGCGTTCTTCTCCTCTCGGAGACGAGAAATAACGAGGGCGCGACTCTCAGGACAATGGAGACCTATTCCCACTCGTTAATTGCTACCCTCTTGCCGCCTTCGACCCGCCCCTCGCGGTTTCTCTCACTTTCCTGCCTTTTCATCCCCGCCGCCCGTTTTTGTCCCCGACTGTGCGCAAATCCGGATAACGAATGCGCGGGAAATTGCGTTGGCTGCATTTTTAACGCCTTCCACCTTTACGGGAACCGGAGGCTTATGAGGAGCCGTTGTAGGTTTTAACACCTGAGCTCGTTAAGAAAGAGAAAGAAGCGGACCACGGAACATTTATTTCCGGCGCGCTGAGTCCTTTGCGACAGGATTTATTGCGTAAATCCTGTCTTCGAGATCGAGACCTCGCGTATCCGTTTCCCTACGTAATCTAAAGGCTGTTTATGCTAAGTGCTTAGCTATCTCGCAAATACTATATTCCTTGCATCTGTTCCGAATGTTTGCCACAAGGATAATAAACGGAGCCTCGTAATTTTCCTCTCGGACATCAAACACGTGGACCACATCAAGTGCGCTGGTTATACACTGGTCGAGGATTCCCATTTGAGCGAACTGGATCGCAGTTATTGATCCGATAAATTTTCATATTACGAGCGAACTCTCCACCTGATGACACTTAAAATTAAATCTTAATTCGCTTTTTAAGACGTTTAAGGTCCCACGATTTACGGCGTATCTCTGCGGAACGTTATGCAAATCATGTTTAGGAAAAGGGGTTGGAGGATGAATTTGAATAATAATGACTCGTCGAGGTAATTTCGTGAAATAAGAATTCGTCAATCGGTGATAATGTTCTGTACGAATTTTGATAATAATTCCTTGGAAATTATGAAATTCCACCAAAGTAGCGTAATTGACTTCGAAAATGTTGTCTCGATAATTCGATCGGAATTTCCCTTTTCAAGACATTTAAAATCCTACGATTTCTCTGCGTAACGTTATGCAAATCATGTTTAGGAAAAGAGGTTGGAGAATGAATTTGAAAAATAATGACTCGTCCTGGTAATTTCGTGAAATAAGAATTTGTCAATCGGTGGTAACGTTCTGTACGGATTTTGATAATAATTCCTTGGAAATTATGAAATTCCACCAAAGTAGCGTAATTGACCTCGAAAATTTTGTCTCGATAATTCGATCGGAATTTCCCTTTTCAAGACATTTAAAATCCTACGATTTCTCTGCGTAACGTTATGCAAATCATGTTTAGGAAAAGAGGTTGGAGAATGAATTTGAAAAATAATGACTCGTCCTGGTAATTTCGTGAAATAAGAATTTGTCAATCGGTGGTAACGTTCTGTACGGATTTTGATAATAATTCCTTGGAAATTATGAAATTCCACCAAAGTAGCGTAATTGACCTCGAAAATTTTGTCTCGATAATTCGGTGGGAATTTCCTTTTTCAAGCGTTTAAAATTCCACGATTTTTCTGCGGAACGTTATGCAAATGATGTTTAGGAAAAGGGCTTCGAAGATGAATTTGAAAAATAATGACTGGTCGAGGTAATTTCGTGAAATATGAATTCGTCAATCGGTGATAATGTTCTGTACGAATTTTGATAATAATTCCTTGGAAATTATGAAATTCCACCAAAGTAGCGTAATTGACTTCGAAAATGTTGTCGCGATAGTTCGATCGGAATTTCAAGAGCGCCGGAAGTTCCGGGCGTGGAAATGAAAATAAAAGTCGATGGGCCAGAAAGTTGGCGCAGAAGGTGGCGAACTCCAGTCTCGATGACAGACTTTTTGGAGTCTGGGGGGCGAAAAGGTGGCCGTAAAAATTCCGTTCAAGGGACACCGCCATCTTGGAAGTGCAAGAAGCTCCCACCAGAAATTGACTGCACCTTCGACTGAAATCCACACTTTCCGATCGGAATTTCAGCGTGGATGTGCGAAGACGGCACCGAGTTTACTTGCTCGATCATACAAAGGGTCTTACTTGAAGAGAAGCTCGCGGGGCAAAGGGAGGGCGACTTAGAACTTTTAAACCCCGAAGCAGTGAAAAGTTGTTTGTCAACTCCTCTTATATCAGCTTCCGAGTACTTGTCGTATCCGATGAAAAAGTTTCCCCCCAAGTTTGCGCCCAAAGAGAAGACCGCTTCGAAGCAATATTTGAACCCCCAGTCCGGGAAAAAAAAATGGAAATTCTCCCTAAAGATGCTCTATTACTTAAACCGTTCAACTCTTGGAAACATCCCAACGAAAAAACCACTGCTAAATTTAATTTCCAAGGCAATGAGCACCATAATTAATGAGAAATATAAAGAGGAAGTAGGGAAAGGTTCAGCTACTTCATTAGAAGTAATTCCAAATTATTTAACAGAGTTATTCCTTAATTTCTTGGTTCCGCAGTCCAGGGGCGCATGTATAGTCTCTCGAAAAGAGGGAAGCTGGGAGATTTCTCCACGCCAAGAGGTAATAATGAGTGCACTGTTGCAGAGACACAGCATACACGGGATGATGGAGGAGCAGAATGGGGTAAGACCACACCAGGAGATGGCGAGTCTCTCCTTGGACGAGAAAAAGTACTTGCTAGCTGTGGAGCGAGGAGACGTGGCATCGGTGAGAAGGTAAACCTCTTCTCTAAAGTCGTCCAATTTGACAACTTCCCGGCTGCACTCTAAGAAAAAAAAAGATAGAAACTTCCACAAACCCAAAGTTCGGTACACCCTTCAAAGCGGCGTCCCTCGTCTCATGGGTATTTAAAGTTTAAAGGCCCAGCATCTGCACTTCCACTTAAGGTGAAGTGAAACATCCTTCAAATCAGTCGATTCGAATACAACACTTTTTTTTAAGGGTATTGAACCAAACTCTCCGAAACTTTGACACATCATTCGTGATCATCTAAGAATTGTCCTGACACGTTCAAAATTTGGATTTTTCAAAAACATTTCTTCACTTAGCCCAGACCAGAACCAAATGCCGTAGAGCTCTCATATTTCGATCGATATACAATTATTGAAGACTCTGACTTGAGAAACGAAGGGGTCGGGACAATTTGACGACAATTTAGAACACTCTGGTAATCGATAAACTCGCATTTGAACGGGATAAAGGCACAAAAAGTGTTTTATGCGCTTCTATGGGAAAACGATGGGAATACGAGGTCTCGGAGTGAAAATTTAATTAACATGGAAATCACAGATGGCGCAGGGGGTCCCTCCGCAGTCAATTAGGGCCCTAGAAGGCATGAATCCAGAGGTTTTCTGGAGTTTTACTTCGATTTCTTTATAATTATTGTACGAAAACGACAGGTGGAATATGCCATTTGGTACAATACCCAATATAATTCGACCCAGCTGTCAATATAAAAACGAACGTCGGCAACGTTGGCATTTAGAAAAATCTTCTTTATCGATGTTGATCAAGTTCCTCGACGTGTTTCGCTTCACCTTAAGAGGATGCCGACATCGATTGAAATGATCGGTGATGACTTATCGCTAGTGACAGTTTGCTTGGCATCAGAATCTGTAAATTTACATTTTTCATTCTTTCTCAATTTTGGTACGCTTCTGATCCATTAATTTGTGTCGTAATATCTATTATTTTGGAAATGCATTTTCCATTCGGTCCGTCATTCTTCTTAACACATTCACGACCGCTGACGTGAATTCACGTCTTTTCAAGTTCTATTCCCGTTTGCCGCTGACGTGAATTCACGTCATTTTAAATTCTATTCCTAATTGCCGCTGATGTGAATCACGTCCATAACGATACACGATACAAGTTTGCGGCAACCAGTTTAAGAATTTCATTATTTTCTCCGGTACTCAGTATTTGAAAGGGAAAAAATTTGCCGGTCGCGAATGTGTTAATAGACTGTTGTGACTCCAACTCACCGTGATAAATAAATATAAACAAATAAAAGGGTTATCCCGGCTGGTTGGACACGTCTCAAGTTGTTGTTAAGAAAAAAGATAAAAATGGCCCGAGCGAGCTCCGAACACGATGCGGACTCTTCGGGAAAGAAACTGCGCCATTGTGTCTCCAACGGTCGTTAAAGTTAAAAGGATTTCTGTCCGAATGGTGGACCGCTGTCGCGCACGAACGAGCTCGGCGGAAGTGGCAGAATTTCGGGCCAAATTCCTCGGCATTCCCCGAATGCGACTGAAGGGAGGAATAAATTCACGGAGAGACGCGAAGGGCGGAACCTTGCTCCCGTTGGCCCACAAACGGAGGGTAGGTCGGGGCCATCGTCGCGTCCGTTTGCTTCCTGGGCTATTTCCAAAAGCTACAGATTAATATTCACCGGGCTAATTAATATTCACCTGGTATGATAATATCGTTTGCATGTCACGGACTGCATGCAAATTCAGAGGGGCGTTCCGGTCCCTACCAATAGGGTCCTGGAATTATTGATACCAAATCCTTGTCTAATCCCGCCTAATTGCCCCATTCGGATAGAAATCCCAGTAATAGATTATTTTACAGAATTCTCCCCAATATCCCTGGTGAAATGTTCAAATATTTCAATAATACAAAATATGCTTCAACTTTAGGATTCGAAAAATCGAGAAGCTTGATGCGACCTTGCGTATTATTTCTAGATCTAACAAGGAAGGTACCTGAGGTGTCCCCCTCCGATTTTGTTCATGTTTAAATATGTTACAGAGGACTAAAATCTAAGGGACCCGTGTTTTTTTTTTATCGGCGGATAAACACTTTTAGAGGGTGAAATCAGGCTTCAAGGTTGGCCGTGCAAGGGGGTGAGTTGGCTGTTTCATATAGAAGCACTCGACCGATTTTCATGAAACAACCGTCAAAATGTAGGGAATGAAGAATTATGAAACATGCATTTGGAATTTTTCGAAAAAATTCATTTTTAAGGGGTGAGCCACCCCTTTGAATACTTCTTTTACCTATTACGCGAGCAGTAATTGCTCTTTCCAAATGAAACTTGGTTAATTTATAGCCCAGAACAATACAAAAAATGTTTCATTTGGATAGAACAATTACTGCTCGCGTAAGGGGTAAAAGAAGTATTCAAAGGGGCGGCTCGCCCCTTAAAAATGAATTTTTTCGAAAAATTCCAAATGCATGTTTCATAATTCTTCATTCCCTACATTTTGACGGTTGTTTCATGAAAATCGGTCGAGTGCTTCTATATGAAACAGCCAACTCACCCCCTTGCACGGCCAACCTTGAAGCCTGATTTCACCCCCTAAAAGTGTTTATCCGCCGATAAAAAAAAACACGGGTCCCTTAGATTTTAGTCCTCAATAACATATTTAAAAATGAACAAAATCGGAGGGGGACACCTCAGGTACCTTCCTTGTAAGACGACGGAAAAGTGGCGTTAAGGTATTGTTTATGAAACTTTCCTCCAAATTGGATGTATCAAATCGTTTCAAACTTTACAATGTGAATATGGAGGCTACAAGGAAGGTTCTGGCGCCCATGAGATTTGAATTTCTTTTAAAAATTCGTTTATAGTCATTTATTACATTTTTTTAATTGTTTCATAGGTGTCAAGACCTTTCTTAGGGCCGGCATGTTCATGTGGTAAAAGTACAAACGATTCGGTACACCCGATCTGGAGAAAAGTTTCATAAACGATTGACCCCTCAGATGACATTCGCGTCGCCTTAAATGAAAATAGTTTTGGTGACTATTTAATTTGTTCATCAAGGCTTGGATGCTGCCACGAGGTCCTGATTAGCAAGGGATGCTTGGATGAAGAAATTGGACGTTCTAATATTTTCTCTCCAGGATGTTGCAGAGGGCTCAGGAGACCGAGTACATAAACATCAATTGCGTGGATCCGCTGGGCAGATCGGCGCTTCTGATGGCCATCGACAACGAGAACCTCGACATGGTCGAGCTGCTGATCGAGTACAAGGTAGACACGAAGGATGCACTTTTGCACGCCATTTCCGAGGAGTTCGTCGAAGCCGTGGAGGTTCTTCTGCAACACGAAGAGACCATCCACAAGAATGACGAGCCCCACGTAAGCAGCTCAGTGTCGTCCGCTTGCCGCCTGCCTGTTCGTAGTCTCGTTTGTAGAATATCCAAAGAACGATCCTCGCCGATCAGCTGTCTAATTGTTTATCCCAATTAAGCATATAAATAAACAATTAATAATCGGCGCAATCTCACCCTGCCCCGAAAGGTTCCCCCGTCTTCTCGAGACACTGAACCTCCACGATAAAACCGAATGCGATAAATAAATGATTATAACAATTATCAATAAATAAGTTAACAATAAATGGAGGTGCGAAGGAATTCACACGTCCTTTTAGTTTCAGTTTATGGTCACTGATTGGAAAGGATCGTTCACTTCTCAATCGATCGTCTCGTCGTGATTCCCATCGTTGACAGCACTGCATTGTCATGGAATTATTTATGCAAATTCGAGGACGGTTTGTTCAGATTTTTACCCATAGAGAAAGGGAGGGCGATCTTTAGGTGTACTTAATTCAGTTTTGAGATACAGGTGTATAAGGGATGCTTTCATCGCAGCTTATCGTAATCACGAGTCAATCAATCATTCCAGCGATCAGCTGTTTCATTTGTTGGTCGATGTATATGTATATGTGTGTTCATGACTTTTGGCTCATGATTCGTGACTGTTTAGGGTATGCAAATAAATTAGGAACATGTCCTTTTGACTCCTACGAGGCGGTTCAGTTAGGTTGGTATATGACACAATTGGGTCCTTATTACCGAACTACGTGAAAGATGAATTCCCCGAAAAGTTTAATCGGCTTTCATGAAAATCAGCTTAGGGTGAAATTTGCCAAGTACGAATACCGACAGAAGACGGAATTGAGAACCGTCGAGGGACTAATAAGTTTTACGGATGCTGCGTCAGGTGTCTCATTTCAGCGACTCCATTCCGAACTTTATGCCTCCGTATTGTCTCTCGAGTTTATCTAGGTTACCACTTCTTAGGGAAACAATAAAAAGGAGAAAATTAACCGTCTCTTAAGGTGAAGTCAAACACCCTTCAAATCAGTCGATTCGAATACAACACTTTTTTTAAAGGGTATTAGACCAAACTGTTCGAAACTTTGACACATCACTCCTGATCATCTAAGAATTGTCCTGACACGTTCGAAATTTGGATTTTTTAACAAAATTTTTTAACTCAACCCAGACCAGAACCAAAATGGCGTCGAGCTCTCATATTTAGATCGATATACAATTATCGAAGGCTCTGATATGAGAATCGAAAGGGTCAGGACAATTTTACGACAATTTAGAACACTCTGGTAATCGATAAACTCGCATTTGAACAGGATAAGGGCAAAAAAAGAGTTGTATGCGCTTCTATGCTAAAACGATGGTAATACGGGGTCTTGGAGTGAAAATTTAATTGACCTGGAAATCACAGATGGCGCAGGGGGTCCCTCTGCAGTCAATTGGGGCCCCAGAAAGCTTGAATCCAGAGGATTTCTGGAGTTTTACTTCGATTTCTTGATATTTATTGTACGAAAACGACAGGTGGAGTATGCCATTTGGTACAATATTCAATATAATTCGACCCAGCTGTCAATATAAAAACCAACGTTGGCAACGTAGGCATTTAGAAAAATCTTTTTTATCGACGTCGATCAAGTTCCTCGACGTGTTTCACTTCACCTTAATTTCCATGACCGCCTTTTAAATTTGCCACCATTGACCAGGCTCCCAGGAACTGGACAATCGGGAGTGACAGGATGAAATCTAATAGGATATATTTAATGCAAATTTTATGAAAAATCTTTTAATACTTTTACGATATTCGAGGTTCCTCTGAATCGAATGCGTGCTTCAAGGAAAAGTCACGACGAAGACGGGATGCAGATTACTGTGTTAAATCTCCTAATTCTTAGAGTTGGGAAGCCTTGCCACCGGATACGGCCACCTTCACGCCGGATATTACACCATTGATCCTGTCTGCTCACCGTGATAATTACGAGATCATCAAGATCCTTTTGGACCGAGGATCAACCTTGCCAATGCCACATGACGTTCGTTGCGGGTGAGGCTTTTCTTCTTGCTTAACAAGTTAAGCCTCTGTCAATAATCGAACATGACTCTCAGGTCATGAATAACCAACAATTGAAACGAGAAAGCACAGTGAAAATTAACAAAAAAAAATACGTGACGAAATAAAAAAGGAAAGTGAACCCAATTAGCCGCGCGCTTAACGCGTTAATATCAGTGGAATTAATACCGCAATTACATTTCCAGAGTCGAAAGTGAAAGTTTAATCCCCGTATTATCTTTAAATCCTGTTTTCCATATCTGAAAGAGATACATACTTTGGATCTCATTTGGAATGATTACATTTTCAGTCACTGAAAGTGGCATTTTAATCCCTGATTTATTCTTATATCCAGTTTTTCACAATTGTTGAAAACAAGTTTGAAAATGCGGTTCAACAGTTTTTATATCGTCCTCAAAGAGGATCTTCGGCTTCGGGTTATAGACATTGTCCTGCTTTTCCCAGAGGCAGGGAAAATGTTTTGATTTCAAAGGAGATTTTTTTAATAATATCGGGAAGTCTTAAAAAAACGATTTAGCGCAAATTTACGTCGGTAGTAAAATCCCTCGAGGTCGGATTCAATCTCGAAGGCTGGCTCGCTAATATCGGGGATCAAATGGATCCTTTATGGTCTTTTTTCTTTTTTAATGCAGCTGCGACGAGTGCGTGACGTCCAGGATGGAGGATTCCCTGAGGCACTCCAGGAGCAGGATAAACGCTTATAGGGCGCTGGCATCTCCGTCTTTGATAGCCCTGTCATCCAAGGACCCCATCTTGACAGCCTTCGAGCTTTCCTGGGAACTTCGCAGACTTTCCTTTCTCGAGCACGAATTTAAGTGCGAGTACCAGGTGAACATGACGTTCTCTTTAAACGACTTGCTCCGATTACGAAATAATAATGCAATGGCACTATCACGGAAAGAAACTGAAAAAGAAAGGAAGTTAAATTAAAAGACGAATTGAAAGACGTCGATCTCAAATTGACTCAAGGGCTCACATTATGCGAGAGCTTTGATCATTCATAAAATAATTATTTGGAGCTGGATCAAGCAATTATAAATTATAACAAATTTAACACGTTTAACAACCGCAACAGGTCTCAATTATGAGAAATTCCATCCTGCACGCCAAAATTGTTGCATCAAACTTAACGTTTTTTCGTCACGGTCTGACTTAATAGCAAGAGATGAATGTAAAAAAATTTGCACGGTTGCAAAAGATTTGAACCTAAGGTCTGGAATTAATTTAAGGGGTCGCCTTGGTTACTCATGAATTAATTATCGAAAATTCTTCAGGTTGAATTGAACGATTTTTATGGGGTTCAAATCGATCGCAGGGGCTTCATGAATAATTAGAAATTTAATGTGCCCCTCTGAGACATTTTTGGAGCAGTATGCTCAATAACCGTAACAGGTCTCCGACGCCATTGTGTCATGTTCCATCTTGTAACCCATAATTACTGCGCCATTATTCCGTAATAACGTAAGGTTCCTCGGCTCGGCCCTTCAGCTCCTCGCGACTGCTCCGATATTGTGTCCCTTAATTAATTCCCTAAGATTATTCCCACTTTCCCCGAGGAAGTGTCTCAGTTGCACGGATAATTTGCGAAAAAGAAAAGAGAGGAGGAGGGTAAGGGTGAACGTCTCTTCTTATCACGCGCAAACTGCGCGTTTCGAGCTCCCTTTAATCTCGCGGGTCTCCTTTAATTCGCTATTTTGCGTCGCTTTAAGTACGGCTAAAGTGCCCGACACCTAGGGAGTAACTTTTGATTTATCCGAAACATAAACTAGAACAGCGTAACAGATGGCTGACTGCACGACTATCAGCCTCCTTTATCCCTTCTCGTTTGCTTCCTTCACCCTTTATCCTCCGAAGAGGAACAGCTCCGTTTCCAGAAGAAGAAATTCGCCAACATGTCTAACCGGACCCGACATTCATTAAAAAGGACCACTTTCAATTAAAAACTCACTTGCCATTAGGTCACTCTCAATTAAAAAAGCACTTTCAATTACTCGCTTCAGTTATCTACAACTTTTACCCTGGCACTTGACGAAGGTTTCCATTTTATCAAGAATTACGTCTTTCCCCAGTAATTTTTCGTTTAAATTAATCTCCACGTTATTAGCCTGAAATTTTAGAAATTCCTTGAATTAATATTTTTCGTACGAAATGGAAGTAGCAATATTTCCTATTTTGGGAGTTCTAGGACGGCGAGACCAGTTATTGTTTCGTCCCCAGTTGCAATTTCGGGTGGAATTTCGCTCGAATTTAAATTCGAGCAAAACTGGCAAGGCTCGAAGTTGAAATTCCCCAGTAATTTTCTCTATAAATTTATCTCCACGTTATTAGCCTAAAATTTTGGAAATTCCTTAAATTAATATTTTTCGTATGAAATGAAAGTTAAAATATTTCCTATTTTGGGAGTCCTAGGACAGCGAGACCAGTTATTATTTCGTCTGCAGGTGCAAATTCGGGGGCAATTTCGCTCGAATTTAACTCTCATTGCCGGTTAACTGGCAACGCTCGAAGTTGAAATTCCCCAGTAATTTTCTCTATAAATTGATCTCCACGTAATTAGCCTGAAATTTTGGAAATTCCTTAAATTAATATTTTTGTATGAAATGAAAGTTCCAATATTTCCTATTTTGGGAGTCCTAGGACGGCGAGACCAGTTATTGTTTCGTCAGCAGTTGCAATTTCGAGGGCAATTCGCTCGAATTTAACTCTCATTGCCGGTTAACTGGCAAGGCTGGAAGTTGAAATTCCCCAGTAATTTTCTCTATAAATTGATCTCCACGTAATTAGCCTGAAATTTTGGAAATTCCTTGAATTAATATTTTTCGTACGAAATGGAAGTAGCAATATTTCCTATTTTGGGAGTCCTAGGACGGCGCGACCAGTTTTTGTTTCGTCTGCAGTTGCAATTTCGGGTGGAATTTCGCTCGAATTTAACTCTCATTGCCGGTTAACTGGCAAGGCTCGAAGTTGAAATTCCCCAGTAATTTTCTCTATAAATTGATCTCCACGTTATTAGCCTGAAATTTTGGAAATTCCTTAAATTAATATTTTTCGTACGAAATGAAAGTTCCAATATTTCCTATTTTGGGAGTCCTAGGACAGCGAGACCAGTTATTGTTTCGTCCGCAGTTGCAAATTCGGGGGCAATTTCGTTCGAATTTAACTCTCATTGCCGGTTAACTGGTAAGGCTCGAAGTTGAAATGGTGAATGCGTTTAAATGGAAGCGTCACTCGCACCTGACAGGAGGGTATGAAATTTGACGAGCATCGTTTCGCGTCCCGTTTTCCCAGGAAACGCGAGTTAAGAGAGCACCTTACACGGCCTGGACTTGTAACGAAGTAACCAGGCGTATGTAGGGACCCAGAAACGAGTATATTCCGCCGAAATTGCTCGTAAAAGTGTAATATAGCGATACGACATCGTAAGGTATCGTCCCGGTTGACAAGAATAGGTCACCTCCATCCGGAAAGTCCTGCATAAAAATTGAGCAACCGTCATAGATTTTCCCTCTTTCAATTTTCTTTTCTTCTACTCGATTGATTGACGGGTGAGGAAATTTTACTGGAAATTTCCGGGTTACCGAAGTGTCGGGAGATCTTACGGGGGTGAAAGGTACTCGAAGAAGGGCGTGTCGGAAGAATCGAGGGTGGAAGCCCTTCGAAGGGGTCAACCTGATCGGCAATTTCCTCAAGAAACTCCTGGCGGCCCTTTGTGTTTACCCTATCAAAAAACCATTACTTCTCAGGAGCTCAGGAGGCAGTGCCAGGACTTCGCCACGGCCTTGCTGGACCACACGAGGAGTTCCTATGAACTGGAAGTCCTGCTGAACCATGATCCCACGGGACCCGCCTTCGAGCATGGGGAGAGGATGCATCTAAATCGCCTGAAACTCGCGATCAAGCTTCGGCAAAAAAAGGTACCTACCGAAATATATGTGCCCATAATTATGAAAGTGGTCTAAGTCAAAATTAAAAAAAAAATGAGTTTATCAGTTAGTTCACGCCATATTATTTCAAACGAAATTAATTCAATGTAATTTCGAAACTAAAAATATATGACTTAGACCACTTTCATAATTATGGGCACATATTACAATGGACGTCTGTTCAAGGTACACCGATATTTCTCCTCCCTGCGATCCGAAAACTGAACAGGCATAAATATTTCTACGATCTAATATATTTTTTAGAAGGGTCGCCTTCCGGGTCTGATCAGAAATTCGATTCCTTCTAAGGGATTTTAGTTCTATTTAACAAGATTTTTCCTTCCCTCGATCCGAAACCGCGGAGGGAAATAAATATTTCTTTTACTAATATATTTTTCACAAGGATTGGATTCCAGGTTTGACCGGAAATTCGATCCATTCCAATGTCTCGAATTCCATATAACCATCTTCTCTTGGATTTCAAAGCTATGGGAAGTAATCAATATTTCTGTATTCTAATATACTTATTTCAAGGGTTCCCAGTTTAACTGAAATTTCAAACCCCTTTAAGACTTTCAATTCCATACAACCCTACATTTCCCTCCTTCGATAGGAAAACTACGGAAAGAAATAAATATTTCCGAGTGGTAATATCATTTCTTCAAGAGTTCCAATTTCATGGGAATTTCGAATCTCTTCCAAGGTCTCCAATCCCACTTAAGGTATTACTTCCCTAAATGCACTGTTCTTACCATTTTTTTTCAGACCTTTTCAGGATATTGTTTAGATTTTTATCGACAAAACAAGCCGATTCGGAACAAAATCGTCTATTTAGATCGGAAGATAATCGAATTTGAATATTGCTTATTTTGCAGCATGTCTCCATATGTAACACGTACATAATGGGATGCTGCGTTACATTTTCAATTTTTACGGTGAAACGACTCTTACCATTTGTTTCAAAAATCGTGACAATATAAAGGAATATGTGTTAGTTAATATTGAAAAAAACAATGGAATTTTTTGTCCATCGGGAAACGGAGATAGGGCTATCAGAAAAATTCCGAATTTTTTTGCGCGTCGCAGAGAGTGGGGCGGGCGGCTTAGATGTGGCAACCATGTTCGCGGCAGTGCACGTAACCGCCCGCATATTTGTCAAAATTTTTCACTGCATAGACTACTAAGGCCCCAAACAACGCTGCCACATCTCTGCGCGCCAACCTACGCTTGTGTGCGAGTCTATCCGTTCACGGAATACATGTGTGCGTAGCGCCCAAGGTATACAGGCATGGACAAAAAGTTTGCTTTGAGGTATACGGGGAACTCAATGGTGGATACATGCCCGAACGCGTTAACTTTTGAGTCCGATTACTAGGGAAGTAATACCTTAACCATGACATTACCTCTCTTCGACCAGAAGCCCACAGAAGGTAATAAATATTTCTACCTTCTAATATATTTTTTACAAGGTTCCGGGTTAGATCGGAAATTCGAATCCCCCCCAGCTCTCCAATTCCCAGTCCGATCAGGAATCCAGATCCCTCTCAGGGTATCCTTCCCCAGCAACTGCAGATCGGTGCATCGTTCCTGAAGAAGAATAGCCCGGGTCCCTGGCGGGGGCGAAATCGGGTTTAATCGCCTTAAAAACTGGGGACGGAACTGGGGCGCGACTAAAGTGGCCCGATCGATTCCCGGATGTCGACCCTCCGGTTCCCGTGGGATCGGGGGGTGGGAACGTGTTCCTGGATCCCGTCGAGGGGGACCATCGACCTCCTGAAAAATCTCTGGATCGCGAGGATCGGACGATAGTGCCGACCCTAATCACCGTTTCCCACTTCCGCGTCACGCGTCACTCCCCGCGAATTCCCGAGCCCTGATAATTCCGATCCGTGTCCTGTGTTCCAGTTCGTGGCCCACCCGAATGTGCAGCAATTGCTGGCCTCGATCTGGTACGAAGGCCTTCCTGGGTTTCGCCGGAAAAACATGTTCCTCCAGGCCCTGGACATCGTCAGGATCGGGATTCTCTTCCCCTTCTTCAGCGTGGCCTACGTCATCGCTCCACACAGCGTCGTCGGGCAAACCATGAGGAAGCCCTTCATCAAGTTCATTTGCCACTCGGCCTCGTACTTCACGTTCCTCTGTGAGTATCTTCGACCAAGGACCGTCGGATATAGCCGCGATCCAAAGATCCTATGTCGGGGAGGCACGGAATCCTGGATACCCTGAAGAAGGACACCCAGAGGAGGCTTTTACAGCCCGGTATCGAGAACTTTATGCCAGAAGAATGTAATCCAAAGATATCGACGTGCAAGTGCCTCGTGAAACTGCATTTTTATCATACTAATTACCCTGAAGAGGGGGAATGCGCTTGGCTTTTATACTTTGTGTTCGAGAGATTTGAATATTCATCGGGCCGGCTTCCGCTTTGCTCCGGCCACTTCCGGGAGGAATATGGCGGGATGTTTTATAGTTTTGCCATATTGTGGGATCGCGTAACGCCTCGGCGACGCCGATTAAATTGCAGGGTGCAATTTCATGGTGCACTCGATTTCGAGTGACGTTTCGATGTGCACTTCCCTTTATTCAAAATTAATTTTTTTTTCCACGTGTTGTTCATTAGTAATTGCAAGAAAACACGGTTTAGACCATTTCCAGGAGTATACCTGCATTTTTAGTGTTTTCATGTTGTAGAATCGTTTAACGCTTCGGCGACGCCGATTAAATTGCAGGGTGCAATTTCATGGTGCACTCGATTTCGAGTAACGTTTCGATGTGAGCGTGGACCTCACCCCTTTATCCGAAATTAATTTCTTTTTCCACGTGTCGTTCACTAGTCATTGCAAGAAAACATGGTTTAGACCATTTCCAACAGTATACCTGCATTTTTAGTGTTTTCATGTTCTAGGATCGTTTAACGCTTTGGCGACGCAGGTTAAATTGCAGGGTGCAATTGTATGGTGCACTCGATTTCGAGTGACGTTTCGATGTGCGCGTGGTCCACTTCCCTTCATTCGAAATTAATTTTTTTTTCCACGTGTTGTTCATTTGTCATTGCAAGAAAACACGGTTTAGACCATTTCCAGCAGTATACCTGCATTTTTAGTGTTTTCATGTTGTAGGATCGTTTAACGCTTTGGCGACGCCGATTAAATTGCAGGGTGCAATTTGATGGTGCACTCGATTTCGAGTGACGTTTCGATGTGCGCGTGGACCTCACCCCTTTATCCGAAATTAATTTCTCTTTCCATGTGTCGTTTACTAGTCACTGCAAGAAAACATGGTTTAAACAATTTCGAGCAATATAACTGCATTTTTACAGTTTTTCCAGATTACAGAATCGTTTAACGCCTTGGGCACGCTAATTAAATTGGGGAGTGCAATTCGAGGATGCACTTGATTTCGAGTGACATTTCGACGTGTACGTGGACCTCACCCCTTTATCCGAAATTAATTTCTCTTTCCACGTGTCGTTTACTAGTCATTGCAAGAAAACATGGTTTAAACAATTTCCAGCAATATAACTGCATTTTTAGTTTTTCCAGATTGTAGAACCGTTTAACGCCTTGGGGATGCCAATTAAATTGAGGGGTTGAAATTCAGTTGATTTGCAGTAACGTTTCAAATTCCACGTGGCCGAGTTCCCTACAAACATTATTCCGAAAATCTTTTTTTTTTCATGCACATTTCATTACTAACCGCAATGGAACCCATTTCGACGAAATTCGAATAATGTGCCCGGATTTTTTTATGGCCATATTGCACTCGCGAAATACTTCATCAATACCAATTAAATCGAGGGTTGCAATTCGAGGGTACACTCGATTTTGATCGACGTTTCGTGGACCACCTCGTCGGAAATGTTGTTCTGAATATTATTTTCATTTCCATTTATTTTTTATTAGCACTCCAAACAGTAAATGCATTTAATTAGTGTGTCTATTTACGACATTCTTATATTTTTCTCACATTACGCTCACTTTAAAGGCGATTTTCGACGTTTATAACATTGAGATTATTAATTTTATAATATTTGCTAATTATTATAAGACATATTTGAACTCCTCGATCCATACTCTATCAGGTACATCATTCTCAATGCCTCGTTATTAATTAAAGAAATTTAGAGCCCGGAGGAATCCGCTTTTGTGTATACGTTAAATATAAGAAACGACGTAAACAAAAATGTCGGTGAGGCTGTTTCGCATCAAAGGGGTGTATGTCCACGATGAGTAAGTCCCTAAATATACTTTTACATCAAAACTGCGGTCTTGGGGAAATTTCTCAAGAGAACGTTCTAAGGTCCTAACCTATGCAAGACATCTTCCAGGCAAACGATCGCTATCGCGCAGATTTCCGATTTAGTTTACCAAAGGCGTACCTATTACTGGTACCGGTAGCGAAAGATATTTGTAAACTGTTTAGAAACTCGGTCCGCCGATGTTTAATTTGCCGACGTGCTCGAATCCAAAATACGATGCGGAAACGCACGTCTACGGTTTGAGAAACTTTCCTAAAGTAGGCGAGAAATTTCCGAAAGCTCGACGGTAGTAATTAAATATCGTCGTCGCACTTTATTTCGCGTACATTTAATGAATCTATTGAAATTTTAAATAATCACCTCGTCTCCATTCGTCTTTTAATTTTTTATTACCAATGTATTTTACATGATGTTTATCCGGAGGGATATATGATATTGATTATGTAGTTAAGACAGAGGAAGAGAGAAAATAATTTACATTTTTAAACGCTAGAAAAGGAACGAGGGAGACATGTTCACGTGGTTATTCCTTTCTCGATTTCCACCCTTAAGGTGATATGAAAGGATGATATATACATAACGTAAAGTCAGAAGATTTATAAAACTTATCTCCAAACTGGGTGCACCGAATTATTTGAAATTTTAACACGTGATTAATGTGTGTCTTGAAAAAGAATATGTACACATGTACACATTTAACTTTCCTTCAAAAAAGCTCCTTGCAAAAAATCTTACTCACTCTAAGGTTGTACTGGATCCTGAACGATATTGTTTAAAAAGGCTCATATGCGTTTCTTCAATTTAAGGTGAAGTGAAACCCCTTTCAAATCAGTCGATTCGAATACAACACTTTTTTTTAAGGGTATTAGACCAAACTGTCCACAACTTTGACACATCACTCCTGATCATCTAAGAATTGTCCTGACACATAAAAAATTTGGATTTTGTAAACAAATTTTTTAACTCAGCCTAGACCAGAACCAAAATGGCGTCGAGCTCTCATATTTCGATCAATATACAATTATCGAAGGCTCTGATATGAGAATCGAAAGGGTTTGGACAATTTTACGACAATTTAGAACACTCTGGTAATCGATAAGCTCACATTTGAACGGGATAAAGGCAAAAAAAGGGTTATATGCGCTTCTATGCTAAAACGATGGGAATACGAGGTCTCGGAGTGGAAATTTAATTACCCTGGAAATCACAGATGGCGCAGGGGGTCCCTCTGCAGTCAATTAGAGCCTCAGAAAGCATGAATTCAGAGGATTTCTGGAGTTTTACTTCGATTTCTTTATATTTATTGTACGAAAACGACAGGTGGAGTATGCCATTTGGTACAATATCCAATATAATTCGATACAGCTGTCAATATAAAAACGCACATCGGCAACGTAGGCATTTAGAAAAATCTTCTTTATCGACGTCGATCAAGTTCCTCGACGTGTTTCACTTCACCTTAAATAATTGTTTAAATCGGTTACATCACGGCTCTCAGCTAGGCTTCAATTCTCGTAATTGAATCCCACATTCTCAGGACTTCATTTCGAAGGATCCTTTTCAGGGATATCACGCCTCCGAGGAATTCGTGCTTAACGACCCGGTAGGAAATTCGCTTCTCTCGTAAAACGTCCCCAAAAGTGGACTCATTTTCCCGGAAAGCATTTTGAGAAGTGCTCGGAGAAAAGAGACGGTAATGCACTGTGCTGGAGGCAAATTTCCTCGGCTCCTTCTTCAGGGAACACCAGGATATAGGGTTAAAGTAACCAGAAGTACCCCCTTAATGAGTTTAGCTCGTGATACAGGAAGCTCATATCAGATGTCCGATGTGCATCTACATTTTTCCTAATTTTAAAATTGCCAGCCGAGGGAAACTGCAAAGGAGCACTTCGGAGTGCTTCTTCGGAATATTCCCGACGTTGCAATTTTTCCGTCTTGGTATCAAACGCCTTTCGGCACATCCTTAACATCATAGGGCAATGCCAGAAAAGAGTTCCTTAATGGTTAACGCATTAAACACCGCGACGGTAAATATTTCGACCACGTTGCGTTGGTTGTCGATGAATAAGGTATACCGAAAAATTCTTTACATAATTGAAACGTTAGGTGAAGTAGACGGAAAGTGAAGCGAACAATTTGCTGCTTAACGCGTTAAGGGTCAAGACGTATTTATTCAACAATTTCAGTACTCGACACTTTTATTCTGCACTAATCAATGGATGTCGCTTAATGGTTTAAAGGAAATGAGATTCGTCTTAGAATTTTCTTTTATTTAGAATAATTGTTTATGCACTATATACTTAATGTCTAGCCGGGATAATACTTTGTTTCTCTTTCGCTCATTTGTCAGTCATGCTGATCCTGGCCAGCCAGAGGATAGAGAGCGTCATCGGAAATTGGATGGGACACGACATTCCGCAACATGAGCCAGCCCCGACAAAAAGAGGAGCAGCTCCGACGATAGTGGAGTGGTGAGTTATTGGGATCGAGGATTAACCAATACAATAATGATCGGTTTCATCCCACCGAGGATTTTCTCTTGGGGAAGATTGGGGTGTACGCGCCCTGTTTTACAAGACACGTTACACCTCGATACCATAATGCCAGAATAAAAATATCGCTCGAGGTGACATGCCCACCAGAGTCAGTGCGAACTGATCTTCATCATTTTAATTCCGAAAAAAAATGTAATTATACAGAATGTCCCATGAAAAAAAAAAAAACCTAAATAATTCCTAAATGAGGGTGGTAGTCGAAAAATGTCAACGAAAAATGTCAACGAAAATTGTAGGGTATGGAGGGGGGAAACTTATGTAAAGAAAATTTTCAGCATAATTGCTTGTGTTTGCTATCCTACATGCCATGCGTCAATTTTCTTAAATGGCAACAGTAATTGTCATCCCTCTAAAAGTTATTCGACTTGATGAAACAAATTCGACGGTGCCATTTTTTATGTAATTTTCATCATTTTCTGGCGAAATTTTGCGTAGTAAGCGCAAATTTTGCGTGATAAGTTTTCCCCCTCTATACCCTGCAATTTTCGTTCGAAACATTTTCCAATTACCACCCTCATTTAGGTGTATTTTTGTTTAATGGGACACTCTGTATATCTAGAGACTGTGAACTTTAATCTCTTTAATCCTCCGCTAATTTGATAAGAGTCAACCCTACAATTACGGAATTACCGCCATGCTTTCCTGGCGTGTTAAGGTATATCATGTTTGTGGCATTGAAATTTAACGCAGCAATTTAAATGGTTGGCAAATTTAGGCTGCAATGATATTTAGTCGAGACCACCAAAGTCGTATCAAATGGCTACAGGAGGTCTTTCTTCTGCCCGAATGCTTTTTTGGCACATTAAGGTATATCATGTTTGGGGCATTGAAATTTAACGTAGCAATTTAAATGGTCGGCAAATTTAGGCTCAAATTATATCTAGTCGAGACTACCAAAGTCGCATCAAATGGCTACAGGGAGTTTTTCTTCTGCCCGAATGCTTTTTTGGCACATCAAGGTATATCATGTTTGGGGCATTGAAATTTAACGTAACAGTTTAAATGGTCGGCAAATTTAGGCTGCAATTGTATCTAGTCGAGACTACCAAAGTCGCATCAAATGGCTACAGGGAGTTTTTCTTCTGCCCGAATGCTTTTTTGGCACGTTAAGGTATATTATGTTTAGAGCATTGAAATTTAACGTAGCAATTTAAATGGTTGGCAAATTTAGGCTGAAATGATATCTAGTCGAAACTACCAAAGTCGCATCAAATGGCTACAGGGAGTTTTTCTTCTGCCCAAATGTTAGGTTCATCCTAGCCTGGGTATCCGGCCTGATTTGGTCGGAGGTGAAGCAACTGTGGGACGTGGGCCTTGAGGAATACGTGAACGACATGTGGAACGTGATCGACTTCGTGACGAACTCGTTGTACGTGGCCACGGTGGCCCTGAGAGTGGTCGCCTATTACAGGGTTCAGAAGGAGAACGAGGGCCAGGAGCCTGGATCGGTGGTCGAGCTCCAGAGGGAACAGTGGGACACCTGGGACCCGATGCTGATATCCGAAGGCCTCTTCTCCGCCGCTAACATCTTCAGGTATTGGCTTCGTTACCCCGAGCCTCGCTCTCCCCGAACCAGTCCCGAAATTGCTGATGGAACTCGAGCATGGTCAACCTCGGACTCCGATGAAGCTGATGGACTTGGAATCCCTGATAGCCACTTCCAGAAATCCAGACCAGATCTGATCCCGACTGAAACTGGTCGCCTCAATCCACGCCAGAGCATTCCTGACCATAACTAACAATCAGTCACTTGAAATCGAAACTCGTGCATCGAATCTCCAAAGACGCTCTAGTCAATGGAGCGGCAGCGTCAAACTACATAATTCACCAACTTAGGTACAGAGGATAGATCGAAGGATTAAACGTCACCAAGAAATCGAGAGATAGCGCCATCAGCGATAAAGAACATATTCCACCCATAGATGTAATTTATGTAGTTCCAGTGCAACAATCATTTTTCGTTGTACATGCAGGGGAAATATTTCTACAAAAATGGTCCCGGCCTACTTTCAAGTATATACGTTTACTGAAGTTTGTACAATTTATTGCTATGACCGTGAATTATTCCTCTGCATGATATACGAGTCGGAAAGGGTCGTGGACGATTTTATTTCTGCGACCACCCAAACGAAGGTGTAATATAAACGTGTGCTGCGTAACGGTGAAGCCATGCTTTTGTCGATTTTTTTAGTTCATGGTACCGTGCTGGGTGTCCTCTTCCGCTACTTGGGCCTCTCTTTAATATCGAATTTTATTTTCCTCGGTCCTCTGTTAATATTACTTTCCACGCTGGAATATTCCTTTACGAATGGCGTTTCTTTCCCCTCGTTTCGCCTTCGCATTAGGGCGTCCAGATCCAACCACTCTGGAGCCGGGTTTAATTGGGCCGTGTATACGCGGGTGTATGCATAATCCACTAATACTCCGCGAACACCCCCGGAATGCGTAATTCCGACCAAAGTATTGCAACGGTTCGGGATCTGGGCGATATTAAAGTTGTTTATGCGTTTCAGCTCCCTTAAGCTGGTCTACATCTTCTCGGTAAACCCTCATCTGGGTCCTCTTCAAGTGTCTCTCTCCAGGATGGTGATGGACATCATGAAGTTCTTCTTCCTCTACGTTCTGGTGCTCTTCGCCTTCTCTTGCGGTGAGTTCGATTGCGAGCCCAAGGATGGTTTTATGCCCGCCGAGTTGCTAACTGGGTTACACCTCGGGTTTATAGTGTGCCCTGGCTCCTGATTCCCCCTGAAATATCCAAGTGTACCCAGTCCGGAGTTAACTGACTTGTTAACGGTAATTCACGGCTCAGGTGCGAGTTAAATCGGCGAGTCTGAACATGGGCCAACCACCGGAGACACCCAACTTCGAATTCGGTTAGCTGCCGGAACTTCGAATGGATGTCACAAGTAGTTCAAGATCATCCTCGGAGAACGTTGCAAACACTGGGACAATTGACTTTCAGATTTCCCGTTGTCCCCATTCTTATTGGCTGGTCCAGAGCCCGGACGCGTTGTCACCTGGACCATCTCGATTCGATCGCGCAATTAATTGGAATTAATTACTCAGGCCTCAACCAGCTTCTTTGGTACTACGCCGACATGGAGAAGAAGAGATGTCCGACTGCGATGCCTTATCCACCCAGTGCCAACGTCACGACCGACTCCAATGCCTGCATTGTCTGGCGTCGTTTTGCCAAGTATGCATTGCTCCATTATCTGGTATCAATCGTGTTCCAATGTCTGCACCGATGACACGGCCTGTAAACAATGGAACTCGGGCAAAAAGACCCCAAAACGCGGAGGGAAAAGATTTAATGGAGTAATAGAAAGTACAATTTAGCCTCTTCGAGACGACGCAAACACTATTCTGGGCTGTCTTCGGATTGGTCGACCTGGAGAGCTTCGAGCTGGACGGCATTAAGGTCTTCACCAGGTTCTGGGGGATGCTGATGTTTGGCACGTACTCCGTCATCAACATCGTCGTCCTGCTGAACTTGCTGATAGCCATGATGAATCATTCCTATCAGCTGATATCGGTAATTGGCCGGCAAATCACCCATTTCTTCATCGACCCAGCTTCGACCCCACTTAACTCCCTGAAAATGTAATCAGGAACGCGCTGACATCGAGTGGAAGTTCGCAAGGAGTAAACTGTGGATCAGCTACTTCGAGGAGGGCGGCACGGTGCCGCCACCCTTCAATATCATCCCAACCCCGAAGAGTGCCTGGTACGTGGGCCAGTGGTTGTACCGGAAACTCTGCGGCCACAGCAGAGCTGCCAAGACGGAACACATGAAGACTATCAGGGTAAGGACGTCGGACCGATTCCCAAGTGCGGAGAGAAATAGTTAGGGCTTGGCAAAGAGGATCAGAAGCTGCAGGACCGATGACGACCGTCGTCGGAAGTGCAGCCGTCTCGGTTCTTTTCCACAAGCCCTAAACATCTCTCTCCGCGAACCTTGAAGAGCAAGCGAGAGGAACACGAAAGTGAAGAAGTCCTTCCAGCGCAAGGTTAAGCAAGCCTCGGAGAGGGACTTCCGGTACCAAAGTATCATGAGGAACCTGGTGAGAAGGTACGTCACGGTGGAGCAGAGGAAGACCGAGGGCGAGGGTGTCACCGAGGATGACGTCAACGAGATCAAACAGGACATCAGCGCCTTCAGATGCGAGTTGATCGAGATCCTGAAGAACTCTGGCATGAACACCTCCACCGCTTCCGGGGCGGGGACTGGTGAGACTTTGCGACGCGAGGAACTTCCGGTCGCTGGCAAGAAATTCCAGAACACCCAACGTCGGAACGATCTTAAAATACCGACACTAATAAATAATGAGATGTACACAAATTTTGGGAGTACTTTCTGGGCCGCCTTCGACCGGAAGTCTGCATCTTTGGCACGGCGATCCCTAAATCTGCTACTTAGAAGAGTCACGAGTTATTGTTTTCACTAACGTATGATTGATTCTAAACTACGTAAGAGATGAAGACATGCAATCTGATGGGGATAAAGGTTCCCTGGAAATATTTCTGTACGAACATGTTCTTCTTTTCCTACGCAGACTCCATTTACAACTTATTTATAATTTATAGCAATTGGTGAAGTCCTCGTGTAGTGATACCATCCATAAGTGACAACGTTTTGACAAGATGACGCACTGAGAAAAAATTACTTTCATTCAAAGAAATGATAATTTCAATGAACCGAGAAAAACATGTTCAAATAATTTCTTTTTTTCAAGGAAATGATTTTCTTCAGTGGAATTAAAGAAATGAAACGTATAGGATGAATCAGAGTTAACATTAAGCATTTTTGTAGTGAAGGCTATATTTTTTTATTTTACGCTGAAATTTTATTAACCCCTATCAAAAAAATAATTTCCTTGACGAAAAATTTGTCTTAGTGTGGGAATCACAGGCGAGGATTTCTCTGTGCATGATTGCAACGAGTAGCGATTAAACCTAGGTTAGATATTAATCCTAAGTTTTCTGAGTTGGTTTCAGTAGTGCGTTTTAGATTGGTCCTTGGTTTTCTGTTTGCCTCGTAGGCGGTACCCTTAAAGAGCTGTCCGTAGGTGCGGGAGGCAAGAAGAACCGCCAGAAGGAACGCCGATTGATGAAGGGGTTCAACATCGCTCCCCAACCCGGAGGAAGCGGCACGTTGCCCCCGGTTGCGGAGTTCATAGCGACTCTTCAACAAGTCAACCAAGAGCACCCACACGACCTGTTCGGCAGCACACTGAGCGGCATCTTTGGTCCCAGTGCCCCTCCAAAGAAGAGTCCTCATCACACCAGCACCAACAGCGTACCTGGCCTGGGAACTGGATCCAGGCAAATTCGCAGCACCAGATGCAGCTCCAGAAAGAGGCGCTGGGGAACGTTGATCGAGGCGGCCAAGGCTGGCAGGGTATCCAGACTAATCGGTTAGTTTATTCCATGACGTAGTTCATTGAAGCCATGATGTGGATGTATGACCGAAGGTCAACGCATGGGAGGCTGCGTGGAAAAGCACTTGAACCGAGTGTCTAAACCAATAATTAAATTCGGGTTTGGTTTAGACACCGGAGACGCGCTCTGTCCAGCATCTCCAGCATGTCACCCTGTAGACGTAGTCGATTAGAGCTAGAAACCATTGATTGTGAGTCCATACGCGCAGAAGAAAATTTGTTCAATGAACAAACCCGCCTTGACTTTGAATTTTAGAGAACATAGTCAAAAGACCAAATATCTTGGATAAATGTACCGAGTTACTTCAAAACGTCAACCAAATGTCTGATTGTCCGCGTACTAACCATATTCTATGGCTAAAGAAAGATCATATCGATTCAACCAAATATTTTTCTGCGTGTGCCTTCTATCTGTTGCGGGTGGTCTTAGACCCCCGACGTATGCTCTAGCGAGTAGTCTCAGTTTGTCACATGACGCGATCTGACCTTCCAAAGACATCCCTCATGCCATTCGTCCTGGAACTGTCCCTCGAGGTTGGTCGAGTCGAGCCCTGATGCAGAGTCGACTCTTGCCCTTGCAGGGAGGTCCCGGTCCGAGGACTCGGTGTACTCTCCAGCATCGGAGGATGGTGGGTCCAGGTCGGAGGGCTCATCGGACTCGAAGTCTTCCCTGGAAACGGCGCCCCATGAGCCCCATCCTCACCATCCCCACCATCCTCATCAGCCCTACCACGTCCACCATCACGAGGTTCACAACGTGTTCACCCATGGCTTGGGGCCAGCTTTGGCTGCCCTGACGAAGAAGCGCAAGAAGTTCTCCGCCTCCAGGTCCTCGACGCCGGTTATGTCCAGCCATGTGAACCCGGTCGAGTCCGTCAGCAACCCTGTCGCCGTCACTCTGTCCTCGAAGGTCTGCAGGAAGCAGCTGCAGCGTGCCAGTAGCGTGCCTGCTAGAGGTCCTGACCTTGCACTTGCACCTGTCTTGCCAAGGAGGCACGAGGTCACTCAGAGTCAGCAACCTAGTATGGACACTGAAGTCGCCAGTGTCAGCGAGCATCAAGGTTAGCTTTTTACTCGGTTGTGTTATCTCCTAACCTCTAGACCGCAAATCCTCACTTTAGGATGTGGTCTCATCGTTTAGGATGAGGATGAGGCGAAAGGGTTGGACTCAATTCAAGGATAATCAAAGATGATCAATAATGATTACCTGGTAACCTCTAGACCACAAATCCTCACTTTAGGATGTGGTCTCATCGTTTAGGATGAGGATGAGGCGAAAGGGTTGGAGTCAATTCAAGGACAATCAAGGATGATCAATAATGATTCGAGGATACTATCACATTTCTGGGCAGTAGAGGTAGAGAGTCCACTTTCAGATACTATAGAAGACGGAAGAAAAGAAATCAAACAGCAACTACTAATGACTTGATAGTGGTGAAGGTTAGACTTAAGGTGATGCGAAAGTGGCATCAAATCACGATTCTGAAACTTTTCTCCAAATTGAACCTACCGAATAGTCTCAAATTTTACACCGTGAATATGGAGGCTGGAAGGAAGGTCCTGACCCACGTAAAATTTCCACTTTTTTTTTAAATTTATTTAGATACTTTTTATAAAAAATTAAATTTCATGGGTGTCGGAACCTTCTTTATGGCCTCCATATTCACGTTGTACAGTATCAAACGATTCGGTATACCCAGCTTGTTAGAAAGTTTCATGAATTTGATTTCTTAGTTACAACTTTCACGTACCCTTAAGACAATTATTTATTTCTGCGGTATGGATTTCTGGACTCACCATAATGCCGGGTTTGAATCGAAAATATGCTATCGTACATTCTGGCTGAGAAATAGTGTCACGTCTTTATCACTCTAGGGTTAGCATTAGTTCGAAATTAAATAACAACCCCACTCTGTTTGAGATATTGTATCACGTTCCTTGTTTCACTCCGGTGTCAGGACTAGTTCAAAAGTAAACAACAAGTACACTGTTTGAGAGGGTGTGTCACGTTTCTGGTCTCACCTTGGTGTCAGGACCAGTTCAAAAGTAAACAACTAGAACAAAGTTCGAAACTGAACATCCTATACTAAGACCTGACACACACCTAGAGTTGCACAACAGTTACGCAATAGTTTGATGCGCCTATACTCAGAACAATAAATTCAACTGAACCGTTATTCAGCAAGGTATACCCTTGCACTTGATTAGTTTTTATCGAAAAACCGTTTAGTTGCCCGAACATATTTCGACAGTTTTACGTCGATATTTTTATCGTCACTACAAAAATGACATACGGAACGCTTCAGTTCGTATAATCCTTAACGAAGACTGTAAATGACCAATATAAATATAAATGTCGGTAACGGAACGCGACAGTTTATGTTACCACATGAGTATTCAAAATGGCATTACCACCAAAAAGGGTATAGATGAATTTTAGCTCATCGACGTCGATTAAATGTCCCAGCGCCTTTCGTATCATCGTAAGGTGAAGTGAAACATCCTTCAAATCAGGCGATTCGAATACAACACTTTTTTTTAAGGGTATTAGACCAAACTGTCCGAAACTTTGACACATCACTCCTGATCATCTAAGAATTGTCCTGACACATCCAAAATTTGGATTTTTCAAAAAAATTTTTTACCTCAGTCCAGACCAGAACCAAAATAGCGTCGAGCTCTCATATTTCGATCAATATACAATTATCGAAGGCTCTGATATGAGAATCGAAAGGGTCAGGACAATTTTACGACAATTTAGAGCACTTTGGTAATCGATAAACTCACATTTGAACGGGATAAAGGCAAAAAAGGGTTGTATAAAACGATGGGAATACGAGGTCTCGGAGTGGAAATTTAATTACCCTGGAAATCACAGATGGCGCAGGGGGTCCCTCTGCAGTCAATTAGGGCCCCAGAAAGCATGAATTCAGAGGATTTCTGGAGTTTTACTTCGATTTCTTTATATTGATTGTACGAAAACGACAGGTGGAGTATGCCATTTGGTACAATATCCAATATAATTCGATACAGCTGTCAATATAAAAACGAACATCGGCAGCGTAGGCATTTAGAAAAAACTTCTTTATCAACGTTGATCAAGTTCCTCGACGTATTTCACTTCACCTTAAGGGATACTACTCCGTACGCGGGTACCATTTTCAAGAGATACTAATTTCAACGTTCACATTCTAGGTGTAGTGGTCAGTGCAGCACCGCTGACCCCGTCCACAACCGAGGAGAGCGTCGTAGCTTCTGGAACGCTTTCGATGACCATGAAGAGGAACGGCTCGGCGACCCAACTTCAGCGTCTCTCGGGCATCGAACCGATCTCCGGGCACGACGTGTCCTCCGGTTGGCTCTGAGCTTTCCCCAGGCCGTCGACGCGCGAGGAAGAGGCCTGACGATCGAGCCGAATTCTTCCGGTCAGCTTCTTGGCTGATCATCTGCGACGACGACCGGGACTCGCGTCTCCTAGGTTATGCGGTCGTCATTAGCCAGACGCACAACGATGCCTTAACGCCAAAAACGCGGCCGCGGGCCGGCGTTGGACGAGATTTCGTCGACTGGCCCACCGAAATGCTCTCCTAGCTTCGAAGTTCAATTTCGCCGGCCCTGGACCGGTTAATCCGACCGCTGGCACGATCGTCGACGTCTTCGATCTGGGCCTGTTCCCTTCGCTCTGGAGACGGCGCCCAACTAATTCGGGTTCCTTTGCATTTCGGATCTATTGGACTGCCTGGAAAGTTATTGCGGTTTTTGCTGGTTAACACGTTAAGTGCCACGCCGCAGGTTTTAGGTTCATGTTACAGTACCGCGCGGATCTGCGCTTGCATACTGACTGTAAGACTAAAGATTTCCCTTAGGGGACATCAGCTTTTGTTCAGTCAATGCTTTAAGAAAAAGAATATAATATAGAAAAGTCAACGTAGTTTATTGGAACAACGTGAACAAAGGTGTGGATTTTCTTTTTACATTGGTGAAAAATTGTGCTAACTTCTAGTGTTAAATTTTTCGACCTAACATTTGAGAATTACTTTTGTAACGTTCAGTGCAGTATCTTCTAATTTTATGCGCACTGTCTTCCTTTTTCACTGAATCATGCCGAGGTCTTGTACTGCTGACAGTTTCTTTTCCCTTGCTCTGTGTAAAGGCTTCAAGCCGATATTTTGGCGGGGTAACCTAACATTTTTGTTCTCCGGTTCGCCCGTTGGTGGTAGCCCACTTGACGGCCGAGTCTGGACCTGAACGGGACGGCAAGCAAAACGGGCTGGGCACTTAACGTGTTAACGGCGTTCACCACCGACGTGGGGACGATGACTTCCACCGCTAGATGGCATTAGTATCGAATTCGGTAGGAGGTAACCAAAACGTACTTTCTCGCTCGGATAAGTAAGACGCAACGCAACATGGCCGGTGTTTAGCAACGATGGAAAAATATGTACATGCCTTACACGTATGGTACTCACGCAACGGCTGGAACGGCTCTGACTTGGCGTCGAAGCGTGCGCGTCACCTAGCGCCCGCACCCGCCAGTTGGACGCTCCGCCTAGATTTGGCAACGGTGGTCGAGGTGAGCTCAAATTCCTCGGGTGGAACCCGAAAATCACAAAAAAGGTGCTCCACGAGAACTATGATTTTAAGCGTATTTCTCAACCGATCGGGCTCAACGAATGCTCGTTTTAAATATAAAACGTTGATGTGTGTTCCTATGGGAGCGATTCTCGATAACGCAACTCCTTCCTAGTTAAAAGAGCATTCAAAGTATGTTGTAGCACTTTTTTATATGAACCACTTATCGAAAATCGCTCCCACATAAACACAGGTCAAGATTTCATCTTTAATATGAGCACTCGTTGAATCCGATCGGTTTTAGAAATACGCTGAAAATCGTTGTCCCTGTAAGGCCCTGCAAAATCGCTGGAGTGGTGAGCGCCCTTAAGGCGATACGAAAGTGTCGTTAAAGAGGTCTCGTTAATGTAACTTTCCTCCGAATTGGGTGCACCGAATCGTTTCAAAATTTACAATGTGAATACGGGGGCTTTAAGGAAGGTCCCGACACCCAGGAAATTTCAATTTTATGAACTTTTGTTTATAAATATTTTCAACATTTTTTATCAAACTTGATATTTCGCGAGTTTCAGGACCTACCTTAGGTATGTGCGTTTTCAGCGATTTCTGGGCAAATTGCATTGCTGATATTGTGGGCCTTGCTACTTTATAGCCTATTTTGGACTCGTGCAAGAAAATCCCCCGATTTTTATTCTTCTTTTCCATCTTTAGTTAAACAGTCCAGATAACCCAGAGAATAATATACGAAAAAATTATTGTTATAGTGTAGAGCGAAGTCTACGCTGTAAAATGACGCATAACATGAAGAAAAAAGAACATCTTAATTGTAGAGAAGAAAGCGTGAAATTTCGCGGAGGAAAAATTGCAATAACTTTCTAGATAACCTAATAGATAGCGGTAAAGGCTGTGATCTTCGCGACAAGGAAGCTGGGTAATCAGCAATTGTATTTTCGTTTCTGGGTTTGGTTGGTTTAACCCGAGATCTGATGAACCCTGTGTCCTGGATCCGATGTGTCGAGCTGGATTAACCTGTAACAGGAGTCTGGTTCCTTTATTGGGAGAGTTCTATGTGGAACTATTGTCGACGTAGTCCACCGATCAGTGAGTGGAATCGTTTGAACTCCGTGGTGGTCCCTCTATCATTTTTAACGGGTTGATTGTTGATCAGGGGATGTCGAAGAAGCGTCCCAAGCCACAATCGAGTCTTCTCGATCGTCCTCGAGTGAACAGCGACTACTGCCAGAAAGGAGAACCGCGGTGGGCCAGGAAGAAATAGACTTTAATGACCCCAACGAGTCGTCCTTCGACCCTGGGTGCCGTCGATGACTACGATGACTACCCCTAAGCCGTTACTTAACGTTTTGTCAGATTTTAATAACGTTGCCCGATTCCGAGGGACCCGACCGAGACGAGGGAAAGATCGAGCGCCTTCCTTTGACTTGACTCCATAGAAGCCACGAAGAGAGTCCTTACTTACTTCTTAGACTATAAGCAGTCCTGCGGAGTTCCTCGTTGGCCACGAACGGCGATCCTTACGAGTCGACGATCCCTGTCAAGAGTCGCCTCTAGTCCTCGTGGCCCTTTTTGGGGAAAACTGGGGAGATTGCGGCACGACCAAGAACACGGTAGAATAGTTCAGTCGTAGGGTTTAATCCATAGGCGATACGCGAGTTCGCGACAACCTCACCTCGTAGATGATACTTCTATGTAAGATGGTAACGTTAGTCTCGGTACCGACGATGATGACGATGACAAGCCGTGATTCGGACCACAAGCGACGACGATGAGCCGCGGATTTCCTCCGTTGGGCTCTTCAAGGTCCCCTTCAGAAACACTCTCCAGTCTAAACGCTAAAAAAACAAGCGGTTTTCATAAATCAATATAAAGAATCTGTACTGAAAAAATTTAGCCGAATTCAATTTAATATATTTTATTATTTCCTTTTAAAGAAGGAACGAAGATATTCTTACCGTATATGTTATCGTCTTATCTGTCCCCGATGCAAGGAAAAACAATTCCGGGATTTTTAACCCACGTTTAAACAAAATGTTCCAGAGAAGAATTTCTTCATTATATGATCAATGTGATATTTCGGTAGTAACACCGAATCAAGCTAAATTCTTTATCATTTAAACGTGTAGTTCTACAGTAGAAAGCTTTACACGTCATGTTTAGTCATCTTTTTATATTGATTTATGAAAACTATTTATTTTTCGAGGGTTTTGATGGGAAGGACAGGATATCGACGAGAGGTCCTAATCCCGACTCTTTTAAGTGTATTCGTCATACGTCTGTAGCCGTTTATATGAAATGATCATTGTAAATGTACCGGATGAGAGAGACGGAGGTTACCTCGACTGGAGCGAGGAACCCACGTCCGTGTTGTGTTTTCATGTCTAAAACGTGCTTTTCCTTTTTCTACAGAGCCGGAAGCTCGCAGGAGCTCGTCCTGGCCGAACGCAATTCGAATGGGCCTAGAGTTAAGACTATGGTTACGGAAGCTGAGATTAAAGAACGATCGTAATGTAATTATTGTTGTTTTCTTCGAGATAGTGTCAGAACTTCTCGAAGTGATGGTGCAGAGATATGTCCGGCGACTTGTGCCGCGAAATGTAAATTATGTTAATGGTCGCGTCCAGAATCTCTTGATCCCTCTTGCTGATCAACTTTTATGCCATTAACATTGCATACTTGAGTGACTTAGAATTTCTTTTATTTGTAAATCAGGTAAAATCGGAACTGACGTTAATTATAGCGTTCGCAAGTGAAATTTGAAGAAACAGCTCCCGGACATTTCGAAAAGTACGATCGTTCGCGTTAAAGTGACTTGAGCAGGATGATAGCAGCAGGCTTTCAGAATTTAGGGGAATTTTTGAGAGGATTCTGTAAGAGGGATAAAGAAGGCTGCGAGAAAGGAGGGGAGAGACGAGGAAGCCTCGAAAAGAAGCGTTAAGGGTGGAGGATAGAAATCAAAAACGAATTAGCAAGTCGGTAAAAATGACCACTAATAAATCATCATTTATTCTGATACATCAGTTTATTGGCTACCCTTCACCCCTGTACAATCGACCAAGAACGTTCAACGTATCCGAGTCGGTAGAAAAGCTACTTTTTAAAAAATCTTCATAAACTTTCAATCAACCAACAACGAATGAACGTTTATAATTAGTTGGAAAATAGCCGAGTTTATTTTTATATCTAAGGTCTGCTATCAGAAACGGATGAGTTTTACAAGATAGCACTGCAATGAATATCTCATTGCTCGGCCCTAAATATTACATGCTTTATACATTGTTTACATTGAATTAATTAATTACAAGGGGCGAGTTGACACCGTGCTTTGCGCTGCAGTTTCCTTGGGCAGGATTGGCCGCCATTTTCGGCTTGACGCTGGACAGATAGATACGAAATATTAAAACTTAATAGTCTCTTAATGTCATTTTATGCATTTATAAAAATTAAGGATCTTACTTTGATCATCCTAAAACTGGTAACGCGTCCTGTACCGCAGGTAACACTGCAAGGAGACCAAGGTGACCAATCAGTGACCATGCAATCCACAGGAGGTAGGATCAAAGCTCTCGAGGGCTGTTCGCCAAAATTAGGACCTCGAAGAAGTGGTTGTCCCGTGAGGGCAGCTCTCACCTGAAGAACGTCGTAACAAAAAAAAAAAGAAAAAGTAAAAACCTTACAGTTTATATAAGGCTAAAAAATCCTAAACGTTCTATGGTAAAAAGGAGTCAAAATTTATAATTCTTCATCTTGAAGGAACGAGAGATAATGTCGAAATCTTGTTAATAAGGCATCTGCCATTGTTTCTCTTACAACGCTGCAAGTATTGGTGCACTCATCCGTAGTCAGGAAATTATTCCTGTTTCCACGACAGCCGCCATATGCAAAAGGCACGCACATCAGTTTTCGCGAGTCGAAAGCCCACCTCTGGAAGTAGCCTCTGCAGGGTCCAGGGTCAGCCTCTTCCATGCACACCACTAGAAGAAGAAGAAAAATTCATTCGTCTGTTTCATGGGAGTAATATCAATCGCAAGACTGTCACAATTTTCGTCTTCTTGCCTTTTGCCGTTGCCATGTCGAAGGTGCAATCCGCCTGCTCCAGGCAAGGCCTTTGCTGAAGAAGTTCCACTCTACCGGAACATTCCTCTTGCAGAGACGGCTCGACCATTAGCAACCTCGTCCTAAGTTTCACTCCTTTACCGCAAGTGGCACTACAAGGAGACCAGACTGACCAATCCGTAACCTGTACATATATAGGACAAAAAATAAAAACGATCGATTTTTTCTTCCTCGAACTTTACAGGAATTCTTAAGGGGATGTCGAAGTCAATTAAAATAATCGAATTGATCCGAGCACCACTTGGTAAATGAAAAAAAAAAAAAATAAGCAACAGCAATTACCGGTTGCCATGATGTCTCATGAAAAAAGAAATAGGAAATTTACGTAACCTGTACATATATAGGAAAAAAATAAAAACGATAGATTTTTTCTTACTGAAAATTTACACGAACGCTTAAGGGGATGTCGAAGTCGATTAAAATAATCGAATTGATCCGAGCGTCACTTGGGAAATGAACAAACAAAAAAAAAACGTAACCTTGCAGATAGGATCTGGGAGTTCTTCCGTTCCAGGTGCACAAGGTGGCTCCATGCACTTCTCCTTCTCAACCAACGAAATGTGAGGACACTTCTTGCGACTCAATCTGTCCCTGAATCTCCTGGTGCGCATTTTGATCCCAATCCCACAAGTCGCGGAGCATTCCGACCAAGGACCCCATTCCGTCGTCTCACAAACCGCGTCATTGTCGATCTGCAGACCTCTACTTTCCTCTTCACCTCTGAAAGAAATATGACATTAATATAACTGGTATAATTTCTATATTTCCAATTTTATCCGTAGTAGATGTATCAGTGACTTACGGACACTCTGGCAGAGCCGCCACGCACATCTCCTTGGAAATAAGCTGTCTGTTACAGTTCATCATGGCTGCCTTCTGAGGGATCCTGTACTGTCGGGTTCGCATCCTTAACCCTTTCCCGCAGGTTACAGAACACTGGGACCACGGGGTGTACTCAGTCGTCTGACATTCGGCTACCGGGAAAGAAATAAAATAAGTGATTCCGTCGTGCCAAGTACGTAATTCCGATTTTTTCTCAATTTAATATGCAGCGACTTTTTGGTGCCAAGCCATGGAGACCTCAATGAAAGGCAAGACGATGTGGTTTTATTTAATACTTATACCGAGGCTAACAACTAAAACTAAATGACTAAATGTTACTCTTGAGGTATCGGAAACTTCCTTCTGCGCGTGTCAATAACAAAATGTGCTTTTTTCTGCTGTACAATTGACATACGCCTAGGAATCTGTTCGGTGTTTTCGGCAACCTCCAGGGCAGCGATCTGTTGCCTCAGGGCATCTTCGCTGCAGCTTCGAGGGATGATCTCTTCACGGGTTAGATACATTCTAGCCAAGGGTAGCATCGGTTTTCCAGTAGGATCGTAGAAAGGCGACCTGGGGTCTTCAGGGTAAGAAGTGGTGATGGGCTTCATTTTCTCCCGCGGGTTGGTCTCCGAGTTTGGAGACATGTAGCTGATACCATTATCGGTACCGGCGTCCCAGGGGTACAGGTCGATGATCATGCTCTTCGCCCATGAACAGTCCTTTTGGCAAAGGTTCAACTTGCTGATGCCGACCACCCAGTCGGGCGATGGACCCAACATGGACGCCACCGAGACCAGGGGATGGTTCCGGTCCACCCTAAAAGTAGATTAAAAAAGCTGCATTGAAAAGGAAAAATCATAATCACAAGACGTTTGATGGTCGTCTAGGTAGTGAAGTGAAACTTCGGGATGACTTGAAGACCTCGAAAATTTCTGAATCTATGCGGACGATACCATACGAAAGTGGTATCGGATTTTCAGAATCATGTCTTTCGAGTAGCTATGGACATATGAGTTGCATTGAGTGTAGAAGTAACCGTGGAATTAACTGGAGAGGGCTTACTTAAAGTTAGTGGTGGTGTTCGTGTTGACGTCCGGATACCACAACCCAGCAGCTTTGATCAGCGTCTTCAGGTGTCTCGCTTTCTCCCTGAGTTCAGCTTCCACCCCTGAGGCTGATCCCCATTCGGCTAGTTGTCGAAAACCGTCGGTGGCTATGTGATCCCGACCCCAAAAGGAGAAGTTGCTTTCATGGGAAGCTCCGATCAAGTCGCTGAAGTGAGTCAGCCAGGCTGAGAAGGGGAAGTCCTTGGGGTGGGTTATGTTGGACCAGATACCCTCCATGATCAACTGCAACGAGAAACATCAGCACTAAAACCATCATCCCTCCTCATATTCCTCTGTACTAAATTCAGGATTAATTCCTGACAGGCAAAAATGATGAGAAAGATTCGTCATCTCATTTCCATGAACTTATCTCAATATTGATGTGAATTTTTTGTGTTTAATTAACTTGTGGAAAATATGTACCGATCAAGGTACTTACGGAATACTTGGCCTCGTCACAGGCGCAGCATCTTTCTTCGGCCGTTTCGATTTCTGAAGCGCTGGTTTCGCAGACAGTCTTGGTTAGTCCTCCGTCCTCAGCAAACCACCGATCACGGTTCTCCAAAACCATGGCGCTGAAGATGACACATCCAGATCCAGCAGGTGGAGCTTTCCACATAACTTGGATCTGCGCCAGAGACATCGTCTTACGTTTACGGCATACAAGGGGAGGGCAAAAGCGGTCAGGGGAGGAAGAATCGGGAAATTTTATACAATCCTGAGAAGAATGGACCGTATAGAGTCCTTTGGCCGGAAGCCAGCCAGGACGATTTACTTTCAGACTTTGAATTAAGTCCACGGGTTCACAGAGAACATTCTCGATACGATTCCCTGAATTCAGACTTATCTAAGGTCAACGATGCTCTTTAAGAACCCCTTTCTTCCTTCCACAACTTGGACTTAATTGAAAGCTATTCTCGATGAAAAAAGGTCCTTTGGATTTAGGAGAGATACTTTTGAGAGATTACCTCCGATTTCGGATAGTCGGTCGCCTCGGAGATCGTGTTGACACAGTCCTCGTTGAAGGAAGTCAACGAATCGGAAAACAGCTGGAAGAATCCAACTCGGGCATTCGAGCTTTTAGGTGAGTGTTGGGAATCCAAAGAGAGCGTGAATCTCGTGAATTGCTGAAGCCTTTCGTGGGTGCGCGACCCTGAAAAAGGTTCAACATATCAGCGCGCGCATCTCTTCAGGCACCTCTTCGTATTCTCCTTTAACAACACCTTCCATTCTCAGTGCCCTAATTGTAGAACCTTTAAGGTGAAGTGAAACACGTCGAGGAACTTAATCGATGTCGATAAAGAAAATATTTCTAAATACCTACGTTGCCGACGTTCATTTTCATATTGATAGCTATGTCGAATTATATTGGATATTGTATTAAATGGCATACTCCACCTGTCGTTTTTGTACAATAAATATGAAGAAATCGAAGTAAAACTCCAGAAATCCTCTGGATTCGTGCTTTCTAGGGCCCTAATTGACTGCAGAGGGACACCCTGCGTCATCTGTGATTTCCAGATCAATTAAATTTTCACCCCGAGATCTCGTATTCCCATCGTTTTATCATAGAAGCGCATACGACACTTTTTTTGCCTTTATCCCGTTGAAATGCGAGTTTATCGATTACCAGAGTGTTCTAAATTGTCGTAAAATGTCCTGACCCTTTCGCTTCTCATATCAGAGCCTTCGATAATTGTATATTGATCGAAATATGAGAGCTCGACGCCATTTTGGTTCTGGACTGGGCTAAGTTAAAAAATTGTTTCCAAACATCCAAATTTTCAATGTGTCAGGACAATTCTTAAATGATCAGGAGTGATGTGTCAAAGTTTCGAACAGTTTGGTCCAATACCTTTAAAAATGAAGTGTTGTATTCGAATGCGTTTGCGTTTTGCAATTTCATGCGTTTTCATAATTTTTTCTACCAGATATACAAAACATTTCGTTTCATGGTTAATACAAGTATTCTTTAAATATTATCTTCCGAATACATTATAAACGTTTTAAAAATATTTAAAATCGAAATCACACGTCTTGCTCCCATAATGAAATAGCGGAACAAAAATATTAGAAAAATTTCTCGTGTTTGTTGATACTAAATGAAGTGTCCGATAACAATCGTGAAGTAAAAAAATGTATTTTTATTATGTTCATGGGTTAAAAAATAAATTTCTATATATGTTTATAAATGATTGAAACTAAATATGTCATTGAGATTTTGAAGAAATATTTCAAATGTCTTCGAATGAAATCTAGAAGAAATCTTAAAGAAATCTGTCGCTTGAGATATTTAGCAAAGATTACAAAGAAATATTTAGAAATTATTCTATGCTACTAGGGGGGTTTCACTTCACCTTGATCGAAGTCGATGAAGAAGATTTTTCTAAATACCTACGTTGCCGACGTTCCTCTTTATATTGACAGCTGTGTCGAATTATATTGGGTATTGTACCAAATGGCATACTCGTTTTCGTACAATAAATATCAAGAAATCGAAGTAAAACTCCAGAAATCCTCTGGATTCATTCTTTCTAGGGCCCTAATTGATTGCAGAGGGACACCCTGCGCCATCTGTGATTTCCAGATGAATTACATTTTCACCCCGAGATCTCGCATTCCCATCGTTTTAGCATAGAAGCACATACAACACTTTTTTGGCCTTTATCCCGTTCAAATGCGAGTTTATCGATTACCAGAGTGTTCTAAATTGTCGTAAAATGTCCTGACCCTTTCGTTTCTCATATCAGAGCCTTCGATAATTGTATATTGATCGAAATATGAGAGCTCGACGCCATTTTGGTTCTGGACTGGGCTAAGTTAAAAAATTGTTTCCAAACATCCAAATTTTCAATGTGTCAGGACAATTCTTAAATGATCAGGAGTGATGTGTCAAAGTTTCGAACAGTTTGGTCCAATACCTTTAAAAATGAAGTGTTGTATTCGAATGCGTTTGCGTTTTGCAATTTCATGCGTTTTCATAATTTTTTCTACCAGATATACAAAACATTTCGTTTCATGGTTAATACAAGTATTCTTTAAATATTATCTTCCGAATACATTATAAACGTTTTAAAAATATTTAAAATCGAAATCACACGTCTTGCTCCCATAATGAAATAGCGGAACAAAAATATTAGAAAAATTTCTCGTGTTTGTTGATACTAAATGAAGTGTCCGATAACAATCGTGAAGTAAAAAAATGTANGTCTAGCCGTTGTGTGAGTTATGTACGTGCAAAATACGCACACATTTTTCGCTCGTTGCTAAACACTGCCCATTATGCGTCGCGTCTCCCTCATCCGAGCGAGAAAGTACGTTTTGATTACCACCCACCGAATCCGATCCTAATGCCATCTAGCGGTGGAAGTCATCGTCCTCACTTGGTGGTGAACGCCGTTAAGCCACATTGTTCCCAGACATCTGACTGTACAAACCTTGAAGACTGATCGTGTAAACGGCATTCGCGATGTAAGTGCTGTCCTTTCCGCTCATCAGGATCTGGTATCCTCCATCTCCAGGAGTCCTAGGACTGGTGGAATGTTCATTCGATGGGCGAACAGGACATGCCGATTGGACAATGGCGACCAAACAAGCCGCCAAGATATATCGCAACATTTTCCCGGCTGGAAATAGAAAACATGGAGCATGATACACGGGCGATAAATTGCATTAAAAGGCCCGACATTGTCCAGGCGGTGACGATAAAAGCTACCGAAGAAATTCCCGATTTCCTAAATCGCGAAGTCGTGCCAGGGAAAGTTGGAGAAACCGATTCTGGTCGGAGGGTCGAGAGAGTTGGCTGAGATCGTTCGTCTTTTTCCAGCCCTCGAAATTGCCCCCCTCGACTTCATGAGCGTAATTTACCTTGGTCGGTGCCTGGATTACCTACTGGGCCGATTACGGCAATTACGTCTCGCGTATATGGCCAAGTTGCACGATCGAGCGTACTCGATTGCGCGATCTAGATCTCCTGGTAATGGCACTGATGTGTGCCGGGAAAGACTGACTCTTCGTACACTTCTCCCTGATAATGACCCCGATGATAATCCAACCGTGCAAATAGGAAATAGGAGAGAGTGTACTGCATCGCGCTGTACATTTCCCTTCCGCGAAGATTTCGCAACCTCGGAGTCTCACTTCTGGAGTTTCACATTGAGGACTTCTAGTCTCATTTCGAAGTCTACTTTGGAATCTTATTTTAGAATCTCATGTTGTGGTTTCATATTCCTGGCCTATTTACTTTGAAGACACATCGTGTAATTCTTATTTTGAAATTTTAATTCGGTGGCTTATTTTGGAGCCTCTAGTTTTCTCTTGTTTTAAGATCTTACTTCGAAATCATGATTTGCTGATGGTGGTGGCTGTCGAATCTGGTGGTTTTATTTTGCCGATTTATTTCGGAGTTCTACTGCGATGACATTTCGTGTCGTCTTATTTTGGAGTCTTTATTTCAAGTCTTATATTCGAATCTCACGTCGGAGCTCTATTTTTCTGGTTTATTCTAGGGTCTTCATATCGATGGATGCTGAAGACTTATTTTTGATCCTTGTCACGAGATACTATTTTTAAATAATTCCGAATCTTATTTTTAAGCCCTAGCTACTGACGTCGCCGATTTAACCAGTTCGTCCAGTATTATCAATTCTTAAACCACGGACTTTGTATCGAGAGCCGCGAACTTAACACTTCGCAGACTGGACATTTTATTGCTGGATGGGAATAACGCGTGATTTCTTGTCATGTGTTAATATTTAGCAACGAGTCATGCATTCGTTCGCGTTCTTGTTTCGCAGCGCCCGGAGAGAGGATAATGGCGACCCCTGGAGCGTCGGCCGACCCGATGAGCGAAAGATCGTCATGGCTGTCGCAAAACGGAACGAATTCCCGCGAGAACGTGCAATTGTGCGTCTCTCTGGGAACGAGGACGTTACATTTACCGGTCAACTCTGATGGGCTTTGGAAACAGACCCGAGACCGAGACCATTACGAGATCTCGCGTGGGTGTAGATCTTTGGGACGCATTCGCGACGCTGTTAATGGAAATCGCGAAACTCGTGACCTCAAAAAATTGACAAAAAATGAGAAGGCCCGGAAATATCGCCCCAACTTTTAAAATCACCTGAAAAATATCTTGATTTGAAAAATTTAGAAATATCACACAGGTGGAATTGACAATATAGAACGCATTCGCAACGATGATAATGGAAATCGCAAAACTCGTGACCTCAAAAAATTGACAAAAAATGAGAAGGCCCGGAAATATCGCCCCAACTTTTCTACTCACTTGAAAAATATCTTGATTTGAAAAATTTAGAAATATCACACAGGTGGAATTGAGAATATAGAACGCATTCGCAACGATGATAATGGAAATCGCAAAACTCGTGACCTCAAAAAATTGACAAAAAATGAGAAGACCCGGAAATATCGCCCCAACTTTTCAAATCACCTGAAAAATATCTTGATTTGAAAAGTTTAGAAATATCACACTGGTGGAATTGAGAATATAGAACGCATTCGCAACGATGATAATGGAAATCGCAAAACTCGTGACCTCAAAAAATTGACAAAAGATGAGAAGGCTCGGAAATACCCCCCAACTTTGTAACTAATCTAAAAAATATCTCGATTTAAAAATGTAGAAATATCAAACAGGTCGAATTGAAATATAGAACGCATTCGCAAAGATGATAATGGAAATCGCGAAATTCGTGACCTCAAAAAATTGACAAAAAATGAGAAGGCCCGGAAATATCGCCCCAACTTTTCAAATCATGTGAAAAATATCTTGATTTAAAAAATGTAGGAACATCAAACAGGTGGAATTCAAACCAACAGTAACAACAAAAAGCGATGATCCAACCACAAGAAGCGTGGGATATTGACCGATTTCTGGGAAACTGATAATAACACAGAAGTCCTGCAACAATGGACCATGATAAAGGGACGTATCGCCCGGTTTCTCCGGACATCCTATGCGGATGCAAATACTGTTGAAAAACAGTTGATTAGTGTTAACATCGCGCGATAAAAGGCTTCCTCTTAAATTTCTTTGGAATAACAAATCCTAAACTGAACATTTTCTAACAATACTATTTTTCTCATCCTTTCGAAAAATGTACATTCCTATAATCAGGGGATCATAAATTCATTTTCAAAAAAACTCACGCACAGCGATCTGGTGACAACTACATGAATGGCCGATAAGCGACCATTCGAAACGACAAATATGGATATGGATGTCCCTTTAACTTGGTTTGATAAAAGTGACCGAGAGTAAAGAGCATCACGACTAATGTTAAACGGAACATTTTCTAGCAATACTATTTTTCTCATCCTTATCAAAAATGTACATTCCTATAATCAGGGGATCATAAATTCATTTTCAAAAAAACTCACTCATAGCGAACTTGCGACAACTGCATGAATGGCCGAAAAGCAATTGCACGAAACGACAAATATGGATATGGATGTCCCTTTGACTTGGTTTGATAAAAGTGACCGAGAGTAAGGAGCACTGCGAGTAAGAGTAAAGAATCATTGGAGGAATGACGGGGTATATATCTATTGCGGCTTTTTTTCCTCGGTTCGTCATCCTTTCACGAGAAACACAACTCGCACTCGGGGCTTCGCCTCGGGCCGAATTTTACGCGCCTTATATATTTAATTATTGCAACATGAGGCCGAGTGCTAATTAAGAGACTCGCCGAATAGGTTATGTACACCGGTTGCGATCTCACGTAAGACCGCACTTATGCCCCGAGAGAATATCGGTACATCGATGGTCGAATATTACGAGAGCGCATGTGCGGATTCATTGAGTTAAGTAAAACGAGATGCTGTCCGAAGATTGATAAATAAATTAGACGACCCGAAAGGTTTCCACGTGGTCGAACGAAAATTAAACGCAATATTCCTGCGCAATATCCCGGAAAATTGATGATCCATATCCAAGTGAATTATTTCCCTATTTTAATACACAACCTTCAACGGTAATATTTTTAGGGACTGATATTACGTTTACGAGTGATTTATTTCCCGATGCGAATAACCTTTTCTCTTAATGTTGGAAAGGATCAATGATACATTATCAAATAATTTATTTTCTTACTTAAATCATTTTCTTTATAGGAACTATTAAATGCATAGACGTTTATCGAAAGAGTATGATAAGTACAAACCGTATCGGCGTTAGAAAAGATTCTGGTCCAAGCAAGTTCGTTAATGAGGTAATTGCTGCGATTCTCTAATTAAGGAAACAGGATTTCCCTCGAGTTGTTTTAGCCACTGCGGTGAAATAAAAGATATTGTCACGAAACTGTTGAGGTTAGTCGTTCTTAGACAATAATTCATTATGATTCTTGAGAAACGGTTTAATAAAAAAACCGCATTGACAAACATTGCACCGATTTCAAGTCACAATTTTCGGGGCCTCAAGTGGATTATTTGTATGATTACTGGATCTCTTTCAAAGTGGACAAATTAAATGCCTAGCTGGTGAGTCACTTACGCGTTGTTTGCGTTAATAAATGTTAGTAAAAAATACCCACGAGCAAGAGGAGACGGACCAACTCACCAAGTTAAGTAAACCGAGAGACTGACGAGATACGACTAAACGGGACGACGAAGAGGGAGCGGCGACTATCGCAGATCGGGAAAGTCTGTGGTAACATTCGAAATGTATCAGAAGCTTGATACATCGGTAATATTACTCATTACATGCCGCTAATACTCCATATTTAACGATATCCAACCTTCGGGCATGACTGACATTAATAATTAAATCCCAAGAAAGTTCCATTGATAAGAGAAATTCTTCCGAAAATGGCGCACGTCGATCTCGTCAGGTAATTCCAAAAAATGACAATGTACACATCAGACCACTGCAGTTAAGTAATGCTGTTACAAATATTCACTTTTCTCATTTATTATTTCTTTATTTTAGGTCATCGTACTCTCGCGCTTCGGAGGTATCTTCAATTGGCACGAGGATGGCTCGGATATCGAAGTAATGATGAAGATGTAATTGAAATTGACCTAACGTTTCGAGTCAACGGTAAGTGCAGGAATCAGGGTAACAGGAGGTGTCGGAATATGAAGAGGCAGTCGGTAACATTACCCGGTAATATTTCGAGTTATTTATCGAGAGTCACGAGGTCGGTCGCGGGTCAGCGTATCTTCATAAGCGTTGACTCCATGCAGATAAAGTACAGTCTTATAGTAAATGCTTCTCTCAGAATTATATATGTTCCGTGGAGAACTGTTTACTCGTGGCGGTAGATAAGCTAAGGGCCTGGAGAAAGCTGAAAAGGATCGAAAAGCAAAGTGAAAAGCATTTTCCCGTTCCCGACGCGGTAATGTTAAAGCCTTAAAGGCTTAAGATGATATGAAAGGGTCATTCAATATATATAGAACGTCAAAATATATATAAACCTTTATCCAAACTGGATGCATCGAATCATTTGAAACTTCAACGCGTGATAATTGAGGCCCTTCCTTAGGGCCTCAAAAATCACGTGCCGAAGTTTCAAATGTCACGGCGCACTCGGTTTGAAAAAAAGTTTTATAAATGTTTCGACGTTTTATATATATATCGAATGACCCTTTCATGTCACCTTAAGCGACGTATAATGCCTCGCGTCAAAATAATTATTTTCTCGCATCGATAAAGTGTCCTTTAGTTAATGCGGCTCATTGAACAATAGTTTCCCTTTGATCGATTTTTGTCTCTCCTTGATATAATGCCACAATTTATTTTAACGTCCGGTTAAAATTAGTCTAAGTCCCTGCTAAAGGCATTTTACGAGCACAGTTCAGCTCGATAAGCCTCTACTTTAAGATTTCATTAAGCAATTTAGGGCAAGGAAACGCGACGCTTTGGGGCTCGTCTACGCATTCCGCGTTGCAAAAAATCTCCTCCTACGCAGACTCTTTCCTAGCCTGCCCTCCTTTAACATCATAAATCGAAGAGTGCAAAACCTAGTACGAGCATCGGTCGTTTCATCTCGGCTTGGTTAAAAATTCGCAATGGTACACCATAACAGGCTCAAAATCATTAATCATCATCCAATCTCGCGAACTCGATTGGTCAGTGCCCTGAAGCATAAAAAAGGCTTTCTTGCATCTTCCAGTCGAGCTCTCGCTCGAACATCTCACGTCATCGAAATAAATCTCACCGACGCGTGCTTTCATATGTTCGTTTTACGCATCATAGATATATTGCACTGCCAGTTTGAAATTAATTCTAAAATGAAGACCGGAGACCTAAAACGCATTACTGCGTAATATCAGTGCAAGTGATGTATGACTCACGGTGAGCAGTTACTTAAATGTTGCAATTAAATGTCCGAGCTCACGAGGTACTTAAAAAATTCAATCACTCACTATTTACTCTTCCTAGAGTTCCAGTCCATTGGCACATGATTGCTTAACCTAAAAGTAACTACCTAATAATATAAAGAAAAAATCGATTCATTTACAATCTCCCTAAATGTCGGAATGCAGCATCAAAAACCAGTCCAATCCATTTCCACAATTTTTATTCAACGCATTACCATGAGATACAAAAAGGAAAATACAAAGTCCATAACGAATTCCAGTTCCATTCCCCGAAAGAGCCTCTTCTCCGAATTCCGCGATAAGAGATCCTTCTTCGGGGCAACTACCACGGCGTCGGAGAAATTAACCTAAAAATTGAAGCCTCCTCAATACCACCTCCGAAAGATCGATCTCGAAGCCGCGTTAAAATTTTCATATGACTCATCATCGACGGCCAGATTGACCAATACCCCGAGGGTACTCTTACGTCCGATTACGCTTCTGACCAGGAAGAGAAAGGGGCTCGCGATAATTCTCTTTTACTCCTTTGCGCGGAACAATCCCACCTGGCACGATCGAGCGTCATCCAAAATGGACCTGCAATAAACATAAATACTACGAATGAACTATACAAACGCTTCCTGCTCCACTTAACCTCCGTAGCTGCTCCGCCATCTTGAATACTCCATTTACTCCCCTGCGCAGAAAAAACCCACCTGGCACGATATCGTCATCCAAAATGGACCTGCAATAAACATAAATACTACGAATGAACTATACAAACGCTTTCTGCTCCACTTAACCTCCGTAGCTGCTCCGCCATCTTGAATACTCCATTTACTCCCCTGCGCAGAAAAAACCCACCTGGCACGATATCGTCATCCAAAATGGACCTGCAATAAACATAAATACTACGAATGAACTATACAAACGCTTTCTGCTCCACTTAACCTCCGTAGCTGCTCCGCCATCTTGAATACTCTTTTTACTCCCCTGCGCGGAAAAATCGCCCCTGGCACGATATCGTCATCCAAAATGGACCTACAATAAACATAAATACCACGAATGAATCATACAAACGCTCCCTGCTCCACTTAACCTCCGAAGCTGCTCCGCCATCTTGAATACTCCTTTTACTCCTCTGCGCAGAACAATCCCCCCTGGCACGATATCGTTATCCAAAATGGACCTGCAATAAACATAAATACCACGAATGAATCATACAAACGCTTCCTGCTCCATTTAACCTCCGTAGCTGCTCCGCCATCTTGAATACTCCATTTACTCCCCTGCGCAGAAAAATCCCACCTGGCACGATCGAACATCATCCAAAATGGACCTGCAATAAACATAAATACTACGAATGAACTATAGAAACGCTTCTTGCTCCACTTAACCTCCGCAGCTGCTCCGCCATCTTGAATCGACCGCGAGTTCCTACTCGGGAATTTGAAAATGGCGGCGCGCCGCGCGCACGCGCACGCGCGGCGTCTCGCGCAGGCGCCGCATTATCGAGCGCGCCTCGACGGAGCAGAGGACGCCGGGGCGTCTCGACGCCCGCTTAGTCCGTTCCGCGCTGTTCCGCGCTGTCAGCCGGCGCGACGCCCGGGACGCCCGCGACCCCATCCGAGTGGCCGTCGACTCGGGAGCATGCGACTCCCGTGAGAGCCGCGTCGGGCCGCGACTCGCACGCCACCGGCGCGACGCGGCGGCGCGCGTTACTGCGCAGGCTCCGCCGCGAGTAGCGACAGGTGGCGAACGAAACGCGTCGACCGTCATGGCGGGCCTGGCCGGCAGCAGCGCGACTGGCCTCGCCAGGCCGCCGACCATGCTGGAGCAGCTTCTCGAAGAGATCAATTTCCAGAGGACCAAGGAGATGCGGCAGCTACTCAAGGACGGTGAGAGCTTCGAACACCGCGGTTACAATAATTATTATAATTCTCTATTATTAACGATCGACCATGTACAGTGCCCGTTGTTAACGGCGCACCATGTACACAGTGGACACGCGCGGTGTGGCTCGTTAAGCGTCTTCACACTGGCGAGTGGAGCAGACATTGGTGCTAACGTCACACGGTTTATGTAATGCCGGTGACAATGTCGCTCACCTATTATAGGTTGGGTCTTGTACGTCGAGGAGATTCCGATTATTTCATGATTTGACATTTCCTACACTCGTGGGGAATTTCGTATTTCAATTCGACGTTTTAGCTTCGGGTAGGGTGATATTCCGCTTGGAAGTCTGACATTGGGGATTGGGATGAATTGTAATTTGATACTTGGAAGCTTAGACGTAACCCCCCATTGTTACAGGCTCACAATGTCTGGGACCAAGTATGGCAAGACTCTGTACTTGGAATTATGCTTTCCTCTCGTGCACGTTTTGGTTTATTTACTGTTAGTCCTCTTTGTTCATTCGAGCACCCTAGTTCCTGATCCAGCAAGGCGCCTTTCATGGAATCTGTTTTAAGAGGCTTGGTGATGGCATCTCGGGATATCTGCCCTTAACTATCTTTTTACGAATTTTTTGCCCTATGGAATTGTTCTATTCAGATGTTCTGATTCATATTGTGCGAAGAAGATGAATTTTCCAACAATCGTTCTGGCGGAAACGAACAACAACCGCATCACAACAACCTCCAGATCCAAACTCGGGTGATGGCATCTCGAGATATCTGCCCTTAACTGTCTTTTTACGAATTTTTTGCCGTATGTAATTGTTCTATTTCGATATTCTGATTCATATTGTGCGAAGAAGATGAATTTTCCAACAATCGTTCTGGCGGAAACGAACAACAACCGCATCACAACAACCTCCAGATCCAAACGTCATCCGAATCTGTTTTAAGAAGTCGGGTGATGGCATTTTGAGATATCTGCTCTTAACTGTCTTTTTACAAATTTGTTGCCCTATGGAATTGTTCTATTTCGATATTCTGATTCATATTGTGCTAAGATGATGAATTTTCCAAGAATCGGTCTGGTGGAAACGAACAACAACCGCACAATCACAACAACTTCCACACGCCATCAAACGCGTGGGTCATGGCCGTGCATTTTGCTGTCGCCTTTGCCTCTTTGTCACGACTTTCACACGTCCCACGCCACAAATAATCGTACTTGTTATTCGAGAGCATTTATTTTAATCGGCCCGAATAAAAGATTCCCGGCTTTGGGGACTTTCCAGGACCTCGGCGTAGGCTTTCGGATGAAGGGGAAGCAGCTGGAGGGTATCGATTTTAAACCCGGTCGAGGCAAACAATGGACTCACGGAGATTCCGGACGGAAGAAATAATGTCAAAGCCGCTGGACAAATCGTTTGGTCGATAGCTTAAAAGCGTTATTAACGGCTCATTCCATACATAAAAACCTGAAAAAATGTATAAACGTCTCTCCAAGCATAAAAATGAACGCGATGCTCGTGAAATTTCATGTTTCGATCATCATTTTTATTATCTATCCCAGACTAGAGCCAAGAACACATGCTTAAAAAAAGAATATGAAATGTATGAACATCGCGTTCTTCCTCAGGACCTCCATAATCACGGGCTGAAGTTTCAAATGATTCGGTGCACCCAGTTTGGAGACGCCTTAACGATTCATTCGAGTGGAACTATGTTAATCAATGCAATGGGCTCGTTTATAAATAAATAGTCGGTCGTTTTGTGTTCTGGAAACATTGAGGCATCATTTTCAGAATCTAAGTTTAACGTTTCTGCTTCAGATTCGGGTTTTGTAATGCTCCAAGGCACTACGTACTGGACGGATCTCTTCGTTCGCCACTTCCTCTTCCAGGCGGAACACACGATCGACGGGGACGACCTGCTCTTCTTCGTGCGTAAGAAACACGTGAAGACCTCTTCGAGGTACCTTCCGAAATTCGAGACCGAGGTAGACGTCTTCCGCAAGGACAGCAAGAAACTGCCAATCGGAGACCCTGACATAGACTGGGAGGAGACAGTCTATCTCAACCTCGTTGTGCACCAGTTTGACTACACTCTGACTCTCGCCATTTGCACGAGGACTAGTCCGAAGGAATTACAGGTGAACCTAAAAACTAAAGAATTAAGGTGCCGGGAAAGTGGCGTCAAGGAAGTCTCGTTTATGAAACCTTCCTCCGAAATGGGTATAATAAACTTTACAACGTGAACATAGGGCAGGCGAGAAAGGTCCCGACCCCAATGAAATTAAAATTCTTAAAATTACAGACATTTTTAATAATGTTCATTAACAATGAAATTTTATGAGTGTCGGGACCTTGCTTATAGACTCTGTATTCACGTTGTAGAGATTGAAACGATTCGATACACCCAGAAAAGTTTCATGAACGATTGACCCCTCAGACGCCACTTTCACGTCCCCTTAAGTACATATTCAAATAGTAATGGTTTGCTTGCAATGACGGTACCCTGCTTCCAACTACATTGCATTGAGCCAGCAATCGTCTCATGAGCAAGTATCGATAAGACACGATGCGACGTCTTATCGCTCTGTTATTGAAATTTATGTTGATTGGGTACGAGGTTGCGAAGCTAACCGTAATAGCGAACACCTTCGCGGTTGGCGGACTCCTTTTCATTAATTTGAATAATTGCCATAATTATATGGTAATGGTATACAAGTGAGACGTTTCCTCGCAGGTTCTTCGAAGACACTCGCAAAAAGTTTACGCCAGTCCAAGCCGCAGACGAATGGACGCCAAGGGAGACCTCGAAGAGATGACGTACCCGCACATCTGTTTTATGGTGGACAACTTCGACGAAGTTTTCTGTGATATCCTAGTCAGGGACGGGGAGATGGTTTGCGTGGAGCTGGTCGCCTCCGATAGGGACGGTGCTGTCCAGGGTGTGATATTTCTGGGGTCGATACGATACGACGCACTAAAGAAGGTTTACGACGCCAGGGTAAGTGGTCTCCCTCGATCGAGTCTTCAACGAGGCTTATTTACTCCACCCTAACCCATCATCCATGGGACCGGATCTTCTTTCAGTCGAGCCTGAGCACGAAGATGGCGCAGCGCATGACCTTCGGCCTCTTCTCCGGAGCAACGTCTCAAAGAGTCGAGTTCGTGCGGATGAAGGGACCTCAAGGTACGAACCCGACCATGCGTTGAACGTGTAAGTCTTAAGATGGGTTCATTTTAGGCAAAGGTCACGCCGAAATGGCCGTGACTAAGCCCAAGGGCTCTGGAGCTGAAACACCAACGTCAGAACCTGGTTACTGTGCCACGGATGCTCTTTGGGATGCCGATTGGGACGACGCCGAAGAGCTATTTCTGTATCGCCATCAACGAAGGTTGTCGGACCCCAGCGCGAACTTGAACAACTTTGTACGTGGAGGCTGGAGAACGAAACCGGAGGCCACGGCAACCAAGGCTAGATCCGAGAACGAAGGACTGGACTCGATGGCCAATGGTCTCAGCGAGATCGAGGCAGGGGACGTTCGAGATGGTAACTAAACGAGACTGCCAAATACTGGGGAAAGTAATCGAACTGACCAGTAGATACGTGGTATCCGATCCGACCGTCGATCCACGACTGATGGCGGACCGATTAGAGAAATAGTTAAAAGACATAACTGAGCACGGGCCGCTGCGCTCCCATTATTCAGCCCGTCTTAATTTCCCTGAGTTTGGTACTCGGCACACTTCAGCTATTACCAAAGTCCTCTTTGTCCTCCTCTTAACGAACTGATCTCGCACTTTACACTCTCTATGTGTGTGCATGCGTGTGTGTATATGTTCTTGCACACTTTTCACTTCGTATTTGGCAGGTTCTTGCATGCGCTCGTGGTTTTCTCTCGTTCCGATGACACGAAAAGTTGACATAAGCCTGCACTAAGTAGGTTATCACGCATTAAGGGCAACTGCCTAGACAGTTCTCAAGTAACCGAGCTCAGAGTTGAGTCATACCACATACAATTATCCAAGCATCAAGGAAAGCCTCGGACACTGATTTCGAACCCAAACGAGCGAGAACACAAAATCATACAGAAACTTAGCCAAGCACCCCATTGATTGCTTCGACATTCTAACACCCATCTAATACTCATACATTCGAGTTTCCTTACACCTTGGGTTTGTTGTAAAAAGAGGGAACGAATCACTGTACCCCATGATTCCGTTTACACCCTGTGTAATCCAAAACCGATAGTTCCGCCAGGACCTCTTCATTCCATTTCCTGAAGAGTGACCTCTACTTGCAATTTGACCGGTCACTTAACAACGAGCACCAGACGCAATCGCTCGCGACACACAAAAGGAACCAGCCAACCGCCTCACACGAAACGTCGCCACATTTTCACACTTCTAGCCAAGTCGCCTTTAATCTTGGCCCGTGCTCTTTATCCGGCCATTTCCTTTGTAGCGGAGAGACAAGAAAGCAGCTGGGGCGGGCGGGGCTCGCCAGCTCATTCTCTAGGGAATTGCCGAAGTCCTCGCGTCCACCGACGAAGATCTCCTCTCCAATCCTGCCGGAACGCCAACCGAAAGCAACGTAATTCTCGGGATCAAGACGAAGAGCGAAGCCAAGTCTCGCCGTCTCGCAAGGAGGCCTATCGCGAGACTCGCGGTGAGTGTGGTCGAAGGCCAAATTGCCCCGCACGGCTCCGTGGAGGCTCCCGACTCCTCCCCGGAACCGGACAGGGCAACCCCCGGAGCACCCAGCCCGCTCAGACTGTCATTGACCTTGGGTTTCGCGATAGGAAGCTCCCCTCATCAACATATCGAGGTCGGCAGCGAGATCCTGCCGCCTGGCACCTGCCTGACCGACGACAATGTCCGACAAAAGCTGGACTCCGGCGCCATTTTGGTTCACGGCAAGGAGGAACTACCTCTGGGCTACGAGCCCGACAACAATGACGCGCGCATGAGCCAACAACGTCCTCGCAACCGGCGTCGTCGAGAGGATTCAAGGGACGAGGACGCCCGCGGGGTACCCCTGGAGAACGGCGACGACCGCTCGCCACCGTCCCCTGTTCTGGGCAGGATGAACGGCTCCATCGGCAACGGCCACGACAGCGAGCACGCGTCTTCCGGCGAGCACGAGGAGCCCAAGAACCCCAACAAGAACGAGGAGCCCAAGAACCACAACAAGAACGAGTCGACCGCCGCCAGAGACAAAAACGCGAACACCAAAGTGCCCAGAGCTAACGGATGCATACAGAGGCACGGGGCCACCCTCCCCAGGAGGCGAAGAAGACGAGCCCTCTCCGGGACCATCCTTGGCAACCCGCTTCCGCCGCATCGCGTCACCCCGGATGGTACCGCGATCTACTATTGGTGCGAGCTCCCGCGCCGCCCCGGCTCTCAGGGTAATTTCCGATCATCATTTTACGAAACCTTCCTGCCCGGTTGTCTGACCCTTGCATCGAATCCATCGTCCTTACTCGGCGGTCCTTGTCGAGGGCGGCATCCTTGTCGACAGAGACCACTCGATCGGCCTGTATCGTTAGCACTCTCATGACTCGGCGTCGAGTTAGGAGAGGCCGAAGATCGCACATTGATTGGCTCGGAACGAGGTTATCAGAATTCCTGCGTCGGCACGATGTTGCCGTGGAGCCGGGGAAAGCACAAGTTTCACCACTCAGCAGTTCTGATTCTATACAGGGCTTGTAAACGATGATTGGTCCGTCTGGACACCGCCCAGCAAGATGCGGTGCTGAATCTTGATGAGATGGTCAATCATGTGGAATAAGCCTACATGGTTAGCTCGTTCTTGATAAGCGTATCGATCTGGACCTAGTAGTTAGTCCTGATTAGGATCGCATCTCGCCAGGCAGGGAATCCCAAGAACCTGGCATGCCACACCTCTGCTGGTGCATGGTCAAATACCCAACCAGGTGCACCGAAACTCCCCACAAAATTTCGTCTAATCTGGTGAACGATCCTCTCTTCTGCGCCCACGGAGTAAGGCAATGGATTCGACACCTCCGATCGATCTTTCGCAACTTCTGTCTCCCAACCATCAGTCTGCACCGTTCTTCTCTTGCTTTTCTCGTAGCCGCACATACGATTTTTTCTAGCTGATGCACCAGTATCACGTAGAATGCCATGCACCGTCGATATTGTCGTCTGCGCTCTGTTAATCTTGAGCAGCTACTCACTTGCTACCCACCTGCACCACCGAATGCCCGACAAGGTGCAATCTTGATGCCAGAGGAGACCATCCGTCCCATGTTCCCTCCACCGTCGACGTTTCTTCGACGTCACGTACGTTACGACGTGACTCGGCCGGGTCGCTATTCAATCGACGAGGGTGTCTTTTCATTTCCGAGGACGAGGGTTGCTTGGGGACGTTTCGTGGCGGGGCTGTGGGGTTGGCAGGGTTGATTGCTCGGACTTTAAACGCCCATTTAGTGACGGTCACCTGTCTGTCTGCTGGCAGAATTGGACGACGGGGCTTACAATCCTCTCTGGACCATGCGGGGATTCACTCAGACTTTTCACTTTTGGAAGGAGACCAGAAGAGCCCAGTCCGTCCCACTCAACGCCTTCCTTACGTACATCACTTTGCCTTGGTGGAGCATAGCCAAGGGTGAGTTTCCTCCTATCATTAAAATGTCTAAATAATCAGTAGATATGTTAAATGATCTGAATTAATGACGATCTTGAATTAAAAGATCCGCGATGATATTATAACAGTGGCCTTGGCAGGTCGATTTTCAAAAAGTAACATCTCGTTTCCTGCTGTACGATCCGACAAAAAATACCCACCAACACATTTCGTGAATCTCTAATTTCTTCCAAAGGCTAATTTTTCCTGAAGAATGTCACTCGTTTCGAAAAATACCGGATGGGAATTTCATGCAGTTTCCTCATTTCCGACGCCATAATTCAAAATGGCCGCCTCACGAGTACTAGTCTTGAAATATTTCTTTTTTTTTTTTTGTTTAATTCAATATATCGTTGAAATTCCTGCTCATTGATTCGGTGAATTTTTTAATCGGATATCGGGTATGATAATCAATACAATGTTTACCTGTTGCAGATATCCTTGACCATCGAGAAGGACCCATCCTGACATTCTAGCCGGTCTTTTTTCATCGAATCTCTTTCTCCTACGTTTCTTTCTTCTCGTTTTATACGCTAACGCGCGACGAGCGAAACTCAAATAAATGTAATATTAAGGTAAATTAATAAACTATATGATTTTGCAATTCCCCGAGAACCGTAATTTCCGAGCGGGCTCTTGAGTGTCCTTGAACGTTGACGTGCCGAAATATTTTGCTTCTAGTAGATGAATGTTTAAGCTCAGTAGATCGGACGTGAAAGGTGCTTGGAATAGTGGAATATGAAATGTTTCATCCTTGTCAAAATTTTCCTTAAGTGGATTTTTATCAGCCTGGTTTATCCGCAAAACCGCAAGGACGTGTTCAACGTACCGCGTGAACGATGGTATAAAAGTAAGATGAAGGAAACTGACGTTCTCAGTTTCGTGGGTACCAGGTCGATGTGCAGTCGAACCGCGACATGAGGTTCGCACTTTTCTGCATTTCCTTCATTTCAATTATATTCGGAAGTGATGGCTTCAAATGGTACCGCGAAGACCCAGGACCTCATTTCGGCGAAGCGACAGGTGAACGATTTCAGATTCTTTAAATTAATCAGTTCAAATTATTAATCACACTACCGGAAACATTTTTTAATCCTACATTTTCTTTCGTTGAAAAAACGAAAAAAACGAAAAAAAAAAAGAATAGATTGCAGAGGAAGGAGAATGCAGCTCAGCGATCAGATGAAGGAGGTGAAGTGCATGCCCCGGAAGACATTGGTGCAATTGAAACCAGAATTTGGTTACTCATTTAGTCCAAGTATGGTATCGATTAACAGATGCGATGGACTTTGTGGAGACAATCTATCCTGCATGCCAGTTGAGTCCAAGAAAAAGAGCCTTATCGTCAGAAGGCACCATTTCAGCAGCAAACTATACTCGTGCTTCAGGGTGGACGTTAAAGAAGACGTTAGATGCAAGTAAGATGCTGAAGAAATATTTCCGGATGCTAAATATCGTATTTTGAACATCATAACAATATATCAGAGCATTTCATTCAGAAAGGAAAAATTACTTAGCGGTTAAGATCATTTTAACGCATTCTCGACCGGCAAATCTTTTCCGTTTCAAATACTGAGTACCGCCGAAAATAATGAAATTCTGAAATTGGTTGCCGCAAACTTGTAATCGTATATCCTTATGGACGTGATTCACGTCTGCGGCAATCAGGAATAGAATTTAAAATGACGTGAATTCACGCCTGCGGCAAACCAGGAATAGAATTTACAATGACGTGAATTCACGTCAGCGGTCGCGAATGTGTTAATGGTACTCTGTAATTCGAAAAGCAAGGCGCGTTTCGCTCATCATTCCACGCTATGAGTTTCTCGCTCGAGGGTATTTTTAGAAAATGATGATGAAGCTAATCTGAAATCATTGAGATAAGTTCGCGAAAGGGAAGTGGTTCACCACGAGGAAGTACCTCGAGTACGCAAAGTCATTAATACGTGGTATTTTCTTGGAAGTGTATTTTTGCCACTTGAACATAATACGTGGTATTTTCTTGGAAGTGTATTTTTGCCACTTGAACATAATATGTGGTATTTTCTTGGAAGTGTATTTTTGCCACTTGAACACACCCGTTCCATTACAGATGCGGATGTAACGTAAGCGAGAATGACTGTAACAAGTATCAGATCTTCATGGAGGATGACTGTGCATGCGAGTGCATGAACATGGACGAAAAGTACGACTGTTCCATGAAGATGGGAATGGTCTGGAACCCCATCACTTGCAAATGCACATGTGCCAAAGTAGAGGAAGAATGTTCCACTGGACTTGAGTGGATTCCATCCCTTTGCAGGTAATACTTTTACGTACCATTTTCAACATTGACAATCGTACAAGTTTCTTAGAAGAAAAAAAAGAGTCTCCAGAAACGGCAATCCCTGTTAAATTTAAATACTTGAAGAACTTTGTTGCCGATCAGTTACTATCATCTATAAGGAAATCAGGAAAAATTCTTTTCGTGATTATAATAATATTCCTGCGTGTCTTGTTACTTCTTGTCGGGGTAATAAACCCTTAATTTTCTCATGTTTACAGATGCGGGGTCGTGATGTTGGATTGAAATATGCAAATTAACCTCCTTGGAGATCCGCAACGTCGTCACTCACCTGGTACCGGATTGTCTTCGAGATTAAAGCTGGATGACGTTAAAATATAACAATGTGCAGTTTATGAAAAAGACTAAGACATTTGCTGGTGGTAATTACACACGTAACAGAAATTAATAAATTCTGTCCTGGTACAAACTGGCATCTCAAACTTTCGAACCTTTCACAGCAATGTGTTGTGAGATTGTTACTTCCTCTCCCTGACCCGGGGTCGATATTTAAAATATTTCACCACTGCAAAGATCATTAAAGACTGTACAAGACTTGACAGAAATTACTTGGAGTTCTTCATCCGGCTACATTCACCATGACGGTGAAATCGCCGAAATTCGTCCACAAATGGTCCCACAATTTCGGATCTGCCTTAGAGTCCCAGGGAAGATTTCCTGGACGAACTGCTGTGGAGTTCCACCGTTTCAATTCTCCTTGCAACTTTGCCAACATATCAGGATTCCTACAGGCATAATAAGGAATATTTAATCTCCCTTTACATGCATAACGCTACTCAGAAATTGAAAGTGCGGTAAAGGATACATATTTCATAAACTTTAATCCAGACTCACTCTTCGGCAAGATTGTTCATCTCACAAGGATCCTCATAAATGTGGAAGAGGCAAGGAGCCTTCATAGGTTGACATTCCGGCAAATTGTCATTTTTCGGAGGGCACGTAATCGTAACCTGGTCCCGAAGAGACCTGATCTTATCTGGAGTTAAAGCCAATCCTATACTTGAAATTGCCCGACCAGTTGAACTTCCAATTACTGCAGCCACGTCGTACGCTCCTTCTCTCCCGGACGGTCCATACCAACTATCCCAAAATCCATTGTAACTAGATCCTAAAAGCAATAGACAGCAATATTATAAATTTCCCAGGACTTTACTTTTAAACTGGGAGAAACAACACAAAGATATTTTGTTACATATCTCCATTTACCCTGCACTAATTTCCAGCCATTCGTGCTGATAGCAGCATTTCCAATCTGGTCGTCTATGTTGTGCAGAACCGTTTGCCTAGGTGACTCCGTGTCATCTTTTAATGCACCCCATAGATTAAGACCATCCATGGTGAGATTCGAAGTGTCACCTCCGGCCGCTGCCAAAAGTGTTGGCAGCCAATCGGAAACGTCAAATATCTGTTTGGCTACTCTGCCAGGATTTGATATCTTAGGGGTCCAGATAAGACCAGCGCCTCTGACCCCTCCTGTTAAATAAAGTAACACCAACACTTTATCTATCGATCAAATAAAAAATCATAGTAATTAATATTACCTTCCCAAAGTGTATTTTTAACACCTCTCAAAGGCCAGTTCGAAGCAGCGTTCAAATTGAATCCTGCAGCCGGGCCACCATTGTCGGTTGAAAAAATGATAATACTGTTTTTCAACATGTCTTTCTTGCGCAAAGCTTCAACCACGTTTCCCACAGATTGGTCCAATTTGCTCAGCATGGCTAGAAAAATTAACGGGTTTGACGTTATTTCATTCAGCAGCCAGATTCACATAATTAGAGACCTTTTTCATGGTTATGAAAAGTCATTTCCTAGGAGCGCTGACGTCACAGTTGGAAGAAACGCAATCTCAGCCGCGACGGGATTTTTCTTTTACGCGAAGTGAGATATGAAACAAGGAAGTATTTCAGCATGCAATTACCTCGTAATAACATGGAAATATCATAGAGATGAAAATTTTACCAGCAAACCGTCTTCTTTTGTAGTCCGATATCGAGCTGAACTTGGCGACCTCCTCTTCAGGCGCCGGAAGCGGATTGTACGGATTTCCGGAATGGACCGCAGCGTGTGCAAGGTAGAGGAAAAGCGGTTTATTGGTATTGTACTTTTCGATCAAGGATACTGCCACTTTAGTGAAAACGTCCGTGGAATATTGTCCATGAAGGTCCCAGGCTGGGGCAAGGTCCCTTCTCATGTCAAGGCCCCAGTATGGCTAAATAGACATGTACTATTAATAAATTGCACGCTTTTTCCTTCCCTTTTATGGATAATATGTCCGCTTTTTAATTTATTTTTGCCTTCGCGTTTAAACAGCTAAATAGACATGAAACTATTAATAAATTGTATTTTTTTTTCTTCACTCTAATGGATATATGTCCGCTTTTCCATTTATTTTTCCCCTTGTGTATAAATGTCCGATATAAGTCTAGTGAAGAAGCAACTTAATTAAGAAACTAATGAATAATTAAGACGATATAATTTTTTATTGTCTTACTGTCTCCACAGCGGTGTGATCGAAGTAGTCCTGATGACCGGTCCAATATCCAAGGTGTGACTCAAAGCCTCTGTAAGTAGGAGTATATTCCTTCTTGTAGAAGCCCAAATGCCATTTTCCTACAATGTGTGTACTGTATCCAAGGTCCTGGAGATACTGTGGAAGGAGCTTCTCTTCCAAGGGGAGTCCTCTAGGCTCGGCACCCTTAAGGACCTTAATAAAAAAAAAATAGCTGCATCAAATCTCAAAGTCTCAGTCATTAAAGACACGTACACGATTCAGCAATATTTAAATAGTACAAAGGCTCCAAAATAACATTTTAAGATTGACGAAATTCTTTTCACCGTTATATCTACCCAGGAGAAAATTTCTATATTTAAATGATATACAAAGTTATTCCAAATATTATTACGGGTTTAAAAAAAATAAGACAAGGTCACAAGGGCGGTCTTAAAAGTGGACCCGTTCTACAAGCCCTCACAGAAACTTCAATAGTTTATACTCGTGTTTTTCAATTAACACTAAATAATATAAAAAATTATTCGAAATATTATTACGAGTTTAAAAAAAAAAATAAGACAAGGTCACAAGTGCGGTCTTAGAAGTGGATCTGTTCTACAAGCCCTCACAGAGACTTCAATAGTTTAAACTCGTATGTTTTTCAATTCACACTAAATAATATAAAAAATTATTCGAAATATTATTACGAGTTTAAAAAAAAAATAAGACAAGGTCACAAGTGCGGTCTTAGAAGTGGACCCGTTCTGCAGGCACGAGCGGAGACTTCAATAGCTTAAACTCGGTTGTTAATACACAAGTGACCGGACCTGACAACAAAAGGCGACCTACGATGTGCATTATTACATGCACCCACCCGTACACGAGCTTTCACACTAACACCGAGCCACTTGACTTGTACGTGCACGTACACATGCAGTTTAAACAGTAACAACCAGTTGGAACTACTTATAACTTGGATCGTCTATGTTGACCTCGTGTAGAGGAAGTCAGATGGTATCATCTTCCGGTAGAAGGTGATACCTTGCAAACGACTTTCCGAGGAAACATTCTCTCCACACGAAAGCATCAAATATTTACAAAGGCTGCCAGTGTCGCGTTCAATACCCCTAATTACATAAGCACTTATGCGCAATTCTTATCCAGTACATTATCCACTTTTACACGTCACTGCTCCTTTTTAATCGCATATACATAATGTATTAGGAAATTTCTGTGTAGTCAACCAAAAAACGTGGCGTAATTGTTTTTTTTCTTTCACCAGCCGAGTGAAAATACAGAGACATTGTTTAAACGATACCGATCACGTCCTTTGGGATTAAGATTGCGGTAGAAAATGTCTCGTCGACCCAGTGAACAATTTTTAATGTATTATCAGTATTCATAAGCAGTTTTCAAATTGCTCATGCAAGGTCTTTTCGATTATTTTTCTTTTTTTCTTTTTGTCTGACTTGTCGGATCCTTTCTGCAAGGATAACAGTGCAGTTTGAGGCAAATTATAATTTAGTTCGGAAGGTAGTTGCCTCTCGGTTATCGCGATGAGTACCCAGGTGAGAATATTAATATGCTCCTAGCTGATATCATTTTTCTTTTCGTTTTATATATCAATGATAATCTTTCTTTCGGGGAATTTCGATGAAGATTTACCTCGTGCTGCATTCCTGTGTGAATGGGATGTTTCCCAGTCATCATTGCACTTCTGGATGGAGTGCAAATTGGAGCGACATAGTATCGATCTAAGATAAGTCCCGAATATGCGAGAGCGTCGATGTTTGGTGTCGGAATTTGGATGGATCCGTGAAATCCCACGTCGTTCCATCCCTAATCGACAAAAGAAATCTTTCAGACAACAATTACCCAAAGAATACAACACGATAAAAAAAAACATTAAAATCATCAATATCGAGTCGAATAAACCATAACGGCTGAAAACGCGAAAAAAAACGTGATTTTAAAATGATGTGAATTCACGTCATTTTAAATTCTATTCCTGATTGCTGCTGACGTGAATCACGTCCATGACGATACACGATACAAGTTTGCGGCAACCAGTTTCAGAATTTCATTATTTTCGCCGGTACTCAGTATTTGAAACGTAAAAAATTTGCCGGCCGCGAATGTGTTAAGATTATAGACACTTCTCCGCATTAAATATGAATCCTGCAACAACATCGCACTTCCGTTTAATCGGCTTGCCTTCGATAACACTCAAATCATGCTTTATCAACTCTTCCAAATTACAGAAATTTGTTTTAGAGGCACATCACTGACTGTCCCCTGATAACAGAGCACATCTGCTTGACCCCTTTGTCGATCACACCCTTATCAAGACATTCGCCAAATTGTCCATCCAGCAATAAAGAAGCGATAAAACAAATATTAAAATCATCAATACCGAGTCGAATGAACCACAACGCCTGAAAAGGTGAAAAAAAATGATTACCCCTACTAGCCACACGATTTATGCATAAAAATTGATAGCTTAAGATTATAGACACATCTCCGCATTAAATATGAATCCTGCAACAACATCGCACTTCCGTTTAATCGGCTTGCCTTCGATAACACTCAAATCATGCTTTATCAATACTCTTCCGAATTACAGAAATTTCTTTTAGAGGCACATCACTGACTGTCCCCTGATAACAGTGCACATCTGCTTGACCCCTTTGTCGATCACACCCTTATCAAGACATTCGTCAAATTGTCCATCCAGCAATAAAGAAGCGAGCCGCTACCAAGAACAACCCAACAGAAAGAAATAATCGAACGTTGAAAGCCAATGACCGAAGAGGAGCACTCGACAATGGAGGGGACGAGGTCAACGGTTTCGGGCCAGACTCTTTTACGACTCTTCCACTCGATGGGTTCGCAAAAGGTCTTCAACGTCCTCACCAAATCGTCGGCCATTATGAACACGATGTGCGGCTGCTGTGCCAGGACCAAGTGCGCCGCCAGAAGAAGGATCAGCGGGAACCAAAGGACTCTGGTCCTCGTCCTGGCGACCGGCGCCATTTTGGAGACCAACTTCTTCTTCTTCTTCGGCACGGACTATGTCATTGTCGACCCCGAAGCAGTTCGACCATCTCGCGAGGCTCTGCCGAACGAACTCGAGAGAACGGGAATAATAATACAGTCGCCTACCAAACTCGACCCCTGGCTCGTTCGGTAAAGAAGGGAGGGGGAATTCACCGACCTCGGCTTTTGTTCATTAGTCGACGTTGCGTTACTTATTACTACGACGATGTACTGCCGGTGTCTGACACTGACATTGTTAAGCAAATAAGGACCGACCGACTTCTAGACGACCCGAATTCTCATTCTACGTACACGACTAGATTTTCAAACTCTCTGATATTCCTTTTTTTATTTTTCAAGCGAAACATTTTTAAGTGTAAATTAATACACGGTAGCGCGTATAAATTCGCATGTTATGAAAGAGGCTCGACACTCCCTGATATTCTTTTCTATTTTTAAAGTCAAACTTCTTTAAGTTCAAATGAACGGTAGTACTTTAAAATTCACATGTTATGAAACAGGCTTGAAACTGAAGCCTTTTTTCTTCCTTTTTTGCAGTTCATTAGTATTTGCAGTTATTTTTGGATTTTAGTGTTAATAAAAGTTGCGTTTCGTTAGCGTTAGGGCGTTATTCTCTGGGTTAATTACTGACATTTATAGTGAAATATAAATAATGCGGATGAGAAATAGTAATTATTTCCAGAATAACTGGTAACGAAAGCGTACGAGCATTTCGGGAATGAATAATTAATAATGATTAATGATAAACAATAATTCTGTTTAACCTTCACCTGTTCATATCCTGTGTATTACTCCTATTTTATTACAGAATTTTATTATTTTGTTAACGTCTCCTTATTATTAAATGCTTGGGTAATTTCCCTTTTTATTTTCTGCACGATCAATCGTACATTTCTATTCATTCTCGTAGACAACTTATTATTAGCAATTGGAACAATTTCGTATGAGTATTTAATAGCGTAGGATAATTTTAAATATAAGTCTGGAAAGTGGATTAATATTTGAATTTCTACGTTCCAATAATTGAATACATTTTCAGCCGTGGAAACGGATATCAAGGACAGTGAGATGCTTTTCGGCAGCTTTGATAATTATTTTCTGCACTTCTCTTCAGGGTTCAATTGCTTTGAAAGAACCAGTGACATCAACCATTTTGAGTAGAATTTTTGAAACGTCGGTGAGCATTCGATTTCCTTCGAAGAAATAATTCGGTATATTTCTATTTTTAAAGCCTCAACAGCTGTTTTCTTACAGGCCGACCTAATGAAGACGTGCTTCCCTTTGGGCAGTCCAATTACAATTTTGGCTTCATCTGATGACAAAGGGTCAGAATTGATAAAAACCTTATGGCAAATTACCTCCTTGGCTGTAATAGGAATTCCCACTAATGCAACCTTCTCCTCACTGGCCAAAAAGACTCCCATATACAGAAAAGACCTAAATATTCGAGAGAGATCGAGCTTCGTTTTCCTAAACGCTGATTCGGTGGAAAACTTCCAACTACTGCTGCAAACTTTAAAATTGACAAAATATTGGAATTCATATGGAGCATTCGTAACAAGTGGATCGACTCCTGATGCCATTCACTGCAATCACGCATACGAGTTTTTATGGACTATATGGCAGTACAGCGTACTCTCAGCTGTTCACATATGTTCAAATGAACAGAAAGAATTGAAAATATTCACGTTTAATCCATATGGAATCACATGCCCGAAATCTTGGCGCAAAGTGAAGCAATATACTGGAGTAAATAATCAGCCCTGGACCTTGTTCGAAAGAACATATGTTCCAGGTATGGTGTGAATTGCTCCTTCTACCCATAAATGATAGTACTTTGCTCGTATACCAACCACCTTAAGGTTCCTTTTTCTAGGATCTTTTGTTTCCAGGTGGAGTTAGCTACCAGGATCTCTTCTTCGAGAAGACGATGAACATCAAGGGGCACCGAATTAGGACGAACGGCTGCGAGTACGTACCATACCTGTTCGGTTCCAAGTACCCAAATGGCACTTTACGTCTAGAAGGTCTTGACGGAATATTAATAAAAACGATCTTCAACTTCCTCGAGGCGAAATTGGTGAACCCGAAGACTCTGACCAGTGACTGCACATTTGGGTTTGACAACAATGACGGAATTTATACCGGCATGCTGAAGGACGTGGCCTCGAAGAAAGTGGACCTGGGCTTGAACATGCGAACCCTCAGACCAATTCGTCGATTGGAGTACACCTATCCCTTCTACACTTCGTCTTACTGCTTTGCGATCAGGAAAAGTGAAATATCGATCCAGACGTGGACGGCCCTGGGAGAGATCTTCCCCGAGTCCCTGATCCTGGCGTTCCTGTGTATCATCATCCTGACGCTGATCGTCACCAAGTTCATGGAGGCCCAAAGCTGTTCAGCCTCAGTGCTGTCCAGCATGCAAATCCTGTTTGCTACCGCTTGTAACCGTAAATTAAGGACCACTAAAGGAAAGTTGTTCATCTCAGTGGGACTGCTGCTCATCCTGGTCCTGCACAACACCTTCTCTGCAAAACTAACTGCAGTTATGGTGCAACCTCCACTGCAGCCTAATATCGACACCATGCAACAGGCGATGGACCTCAAGATAAAGGTCCACACTGATCCTATTGGACAAGACTATTGCCAATCTCGGGGATTTAAATGCCTCTTTCATAAGGATGGATTCATCAATCAGTGTATTAACCTTCTGACGAAGAAGAACTATAAAATTGCTTGTGCCAATGATTGCGGGTACCTGAGGGTCAAGGCCATGTTGGATGATAGAATACACGTGGGCTCGGAAAAATTTACAACTTATTATGTGACATTCTTCACCAGTGAAGATTGGCCACTTCTGCCCAGATTTGATCTGCTCGCCCAGAGGATTACCGAAGCTGGTCTGATGGAGTATTGGCAGGAGGATGCCATCTCGAGATTTTTCAAAGTCTATATGACCAGAAAAGTCAAGAACGAAAAGCTGTTTTATTCGCTGTCGACGAAAGATGTTGCTATTATATTTTATTTATGGACTATTGGACTCCTTCTTGCGTTTGTTGTGTTCTTCTTGGAGGTTGCCGTTCAGGCTTTCCGCGAGATTGGACATGGATTCGACGAAGAACAACCCGCAATTGTCGCTATTCCCGATGGAAATATAAAACTATGAGATGGGGGCTGGATCATCTGTTATTTTTCTGAAATTGTATCAAAAGAGTCTTTGGGTTATAAATAAATATTCCTGGTTACCTCTATTAAGTCCCGATGGAACTTTATATGATCCCTAAGGGCCAACCCAACTCCACAAACGTCCCTTGTGTTTACATTGTATTTATTTTTTCCAGGTGTGAGGGTTCCCAATCCATCACCCCATTATTATTTTCTACACCTTAAATATCACACGTCACGCCTAATAATTTACTTCACGGTTGGAATCCCAAGGGAGATTTATTGATGATAATCCTCAACGCGCCAATTAAAAATTGATGAAGGATACAGCTGTCAATAACTTCGTAGCGTAGATCTACAGATTCTTCATAAATACCTACACTATTTAATCATATTTTCCTTTATCCATGAAATTAACACATAGGAAGGATATTACAAGAACGTTCACTTGCATTGATCAATCTAGGCGTGTCTAGGATTCAGTAAGTTTTCAGATAAATAAATCAAGGGAGGTGATTGATTGACAAGCAAGGTTGTGATAAATCAAAGAAAGAAAGATTTGCAGAGTTAATAATTAACGGATTACCAGCATGAAGATGCACTTTTGGGGTTTGTCAAAGTCCTTACATGGCATTAGCGACATACTTCTCCTCTTCGCTGATGAATTCACTCGAGGCAATTGTTATAGTTTTTACTCCAAGGCATGTCTTCGACTTTCACATTGTCACTTTCGATTCTGTGCTACTTGTTATTCACAAACCAAACCGATTCATTGTCGGAATTCTTGCGTGAAAATGCCATCCTGGAAACAGGAAACACAACAATGGAAGCCACGGTAAAATTTCTCATACTGTATAACCATGATTATTTATGCATCAAGAAAATTCCTTGAACCGCTTAGCTCGTCCTTGATTTAATGAAAAATAATTAGCCTCCCGTTTGGTTAACAAAACTTTTATAAAATTCTTTAATTCCCAGAGAGAGATCGTGAGTTCCTGCTTGATTAAGAACTTCACGACGGTCGGTATAGCAGGAAACAACCATGAAGTCTCTTCATGGTTTCCCGAGTTCTCCGATTCCGTGACGATGACATTGGTTGGAAGTTCCAGGCCAAATGACTTGAAAGTATTCTCGTATTTTTTACATTCCCTGGACGTTTTCATAAAAAACCGTGGATTCGCATTCCTCCACCAGTTGCACGCTTTCGTAACGACGGCAAACTCTTCGTGGGAATTTAGAAAAGTGTTGGGGAACTTGAAGACCTCCATGTGGTGGAACCACGACGGACTCTATCTCATCGTCGAGAAGATTCAGCTTGATGATGGCTGCAAAAATCCATATGCGTTCCTGCTGGAAGCCTGGTATCGTAATATCCTCTTTTGCGTTTATCTTTGCCAGGACCCCACCGAAGGAACCATAATGTTCACATACAATCCTTACAATCGATACATGCCAGGGTCATGGAAGCTTTACAAGGAATATAGAGGAGCCAAAGGCCATCCGTGGATCATGTATAAGCAGAAGTACGTTCCTGGTGAGTAATCTCGAAAAAGTGATTCTTCGTAAAATTATTTATCGTAAGTTGGCATAAATTGCAATTAATTATTGTACAAAGCAAAAAATTAAAATACCGAATTGTGTCAATGGAAGGAACTAATCTGGTGGAGAGTTAACTTTTTCGTATAGAATTTCTGACTTGAAAATTTTGTTTCCTCTCGAAAAAATACGCCATTTAATTTTCATTATTTGTTAAGGTACCATAAACTGCAATGAACTGTTTTACGACAAGTGCACCGACCTTGGGAACCTCACCATGAGAGCAGACGTCGTAAAGAGCGAGCCGACCTTGTCATTAGAGAAAATTTACAATAACTCGACCCAATCATACAGTGTGCTACTCAAAGGAGTAGATGGAGAGTTCAGTAAAACGCTGATGAGGAAGTTGAAAGCCACGGCCACGATATATACGTACCCGTTGAACAACCTGGACGAGTTAGGGTTCATAGACGAGACCGGGAAGTCCCATGGAATACTCAGTACAGTTGTGAGAGGCGAATCCGACATGATCCTAAATTCCATTTTCCTGATAACCGAATGGTCAAGTGAGTTGACTTATCCCCATTCTCGATCCGGAATCTGCATCATGACATCCCGAAGAGGGTACTTATCGCAACTGGAGAAGATCCTGCACTTCATGACTTGGAGGGTCCTGCTTCTGATTTTGCTGGTGTTCCTGATCATCTACACGGTGTTGGTCATTTTGGTGGGTCAAGGATACTTCGCGGCATTCTTAAAGACTCTTAAATTGTTCCTGTCGATCTCCATAAAAAATGTACCACCAGTCAACTCGGTGAGGATGTTCCTCATAACCGGCTTCTCCATGGCTTTGGTGATGAACGCCATTGTTCAGGGCAACCTGGCATCGCTACTTTCCATAGACATTCAGCACCAAAATGTGGAAACGATAGAAGATCTGAAAAGACTGGGCATGACTATTCGAGGAATACAATTGTTCAAGAAATATATTCACGATGAAGAATTGCAGAAGAGCTTCGTGGAGGAACCAACTGATGTCTGTGTGAACCATCTTGCTGGGAATTTTACGGGTGCCTGCGTTTCCGGTTGCACGTACATGACGTACAATTTTGGAAGCAACCCAAATCTCTACATCTCCAGAACTCAGGTTCATGAGTTCTATGACTCGCATATCCTGCGAAATGATTGGCCCTTTATACGCAGGACCAACATCTTGATCCAGACGATGGTGGAGACTGGACTTTTGGCTTTCTGGAAGGAGCACATGCTGTGGCCATCTTTGGTGCGAGATAAAACAAAGGTTTCTAGGGATGAATTTCCGCCGAAGAGGTCCAAAGTGTTATCACTGGATGATCTGGCTTTTGCATTCTACATTTTAACGATTGGGTACTCTTGCGCGATCCTTGCTTTTCTGTATGAAATTAATGCTGAGATTAAAATTTGGCTGCGAAAGACGAGACGCTATTTCAGGTCTCCACATTTTTTGAGAAAAAATATTAAGTAAGCTTTTGTAAGAGATATTTTTGTAAACATGTTTTGGATATGTATAAACTTATAGTAACAATTCATACAGAGAGTTTCCACTAGTGAAAGAATTCTGACTGACAGTCGGAGAATTCTTCTAGTCTCTTCCTTGAATTACATGTTGCGGGATTAGTCATTTTCACAATCGATATCGGGGAATTGCTAACTACTGACACTGAGCTTTGAAATTGTTGAAAATGACAGAGAATTACAGCTGATCGTTGACAATAAGAACTGCTGAAGGGTATCTACCACTATTTTAAGGCGTTCTTAATTATAAAAGTTACTTATTATCCTCTCACCTTCGACCAGACGTACGCGCACGTAGTGTTCATGAAATGTTTAACGTAAATATAAATATACAAGAAACTTAAGGAAAATCAATTGATTTATTCGAAGTTAGATTCTTTCTTATTCTTTATGCAGCCGAAGAACAACCCTTTACTTCATTCCACCACTGCAAAGAAACCCTGTGCATTCTGAGCATTTCTGCGTTTTTCGCTTTGAAGTTAATTTTCGACATTAGCGATGAGTCGAATCATCAACAATTTACTTCTCGTCTTGAAAATGTTGTTACTTGTCCTCGAAACTGAAAGTGCACTTTCGGCGTACGATCTCGAAACGAACAATTTTAACTCAACACTAGAAACGACAGTAATGCGGTGTAGTAAATAAGCAGTTAAACATCTTAAATTAATATATTTTCCATAATAATTCATTATCTATAGGAAGACATCCTGGTATCCTGCTTCCTGAAGAACTTCACCACCATTGGCATAGCAGGAAGTTCAGATGAAGTTCTTTCAAGATTTTCCAAATTTTCTGGATCAGTTGGAATGACGGTAGTTGGATCCACGAGAAAAAATGACATGGCTTTGTTTTCAAGTTCTTTATATTCATATCCAATGTACATGGAGAATCGTTCATACTCGTTCTTGCACAAATTGCATGCCTTCGTAATATCCACCATCGACGCCAACGATCTCAGGAATATTTTTAGCAAAATTAAAGATACTACCTGGTGGAACTACGAAGCATCGTTCATCATTATTGGAACCTCTGAATCGGATAATGGGTGCAATAATTCATATGCAATGTTGCAAAGCGCATGGCAGTTCAGCGTTACATTTTGCGTGTACATCTGCGAAGATCCAGAAGAGGGAATAATGCTGTACACATATAATCCTTACAATTCCATTGCACCAAAATCCTGGAAATTGGTAGAAATATACGCCAACGAAATACACGACAAGTGGGTTCTATACAAACAGAATCACAATCCTGGTAAGTGAATGCATCGACCGTAAATAAATCACTTTACTGATAAAGATGCGCAAATAAATTTACATACCCATTGCATTGCATTGCCTCTGTAATCTCACATGCACCATCTAAGTTAACATAAAATAAATTATTATCTAATATTAGATATAATTCACGTAAAGATGCAATATTACGTGTGTTTGTATATTTTCTCTTTTTTTTTTCCATTCTACGTCTTTCTATGTGAAAATTCAATTCAATAGAGTTGTGTAAAAGTGTACGTAAATTTCGATGGATTTTCATCAGTGTTGGGACGCCATTTCCAAATATTTCATTTAGAGTCATTTCAGACTTCAGTTGCACGGATTTATTCTACGAGAAGACTTTGGACCTTGGATTTTACAATATATATGCCGACCTTCTAGACATTGCCCCTACTATTGGGTTTAGTAAAAACTATTTTGAGTCATTTAGCCTGCCAATGAGAGATGCACTACAGGGTGAAGATGGACTGCTGATGAAGACTCTGTTAAAAAAAATGAAGGGCCGCCTTATCCTGGTGGTACACAAGGTCCAGGACCTCAATAATTTAGGATACGTCGATGACAATGGAATCTGGCACGGCACGATTTCAAAATTCGGCAGTGAAATCGACATATCGGTGAACTCCAGGTTCATGATTCGCGAATGGACTTACAAGTTAACGTACCCTCACTCCCGAGATGGGATATGCTTGGTGACGAATCGAAGAGATCTCTTACCACAAGCTGTCAAGATCATCAACTTCGTGACTTGGAAGGTCCTGATGATCCTGTTGGTGGTTCTGCTGATGACATTCGGGGTACTGATCCAGACCCTAGGCCAAGGGTACATGATAGCGACGCTAAACATCCTCAGAATGTTCGTTCTCACCTCGGTGAAGATACCTCCTACGATTCCGTTCAGACTATTCTTCCTGAGCGTCTTTCTGCTGATCATGTTGCTGAATGCCATCCTTCAAGGAAGTTGGGCCTCTTTGCTCTCCGTAGCCGTTCCAAAACCACAAGCAGAGACCCTACACGATATCAAGACCCTCGGATACACTCTTCATGGCTCGGAACTGTTCAAACTCTGGATTCAGGACCCAGAATTACAAGCCCGTTTCGAAATCGAAGACGTCAATGACTGTCTGAAAAATATTCTCCAAAATCAAAGCATCGCCTGCATCGGCGACTGCTTGCATCTCTCGTACTGGACCAAGAGCACGAATCTTTACGTGTCGAAATCCTCGCTCTTTCAGTTTTACAACATCTTCTTGACCAAGCAGGACTGGGCCCCTTATACCAGAGCCAACCAATTAATCAAGAACATATTCGAAACTGGCTTAACCCTGTTCTGGAGGGAACATATGCTGTACCCATCCCACGTGAGGGATAGAACTGCTGTCGATAAGGATGTTTGGACCGGAGGTATCAAGAGATTTTCAATGGACGACCTTACCTTCGCTTTTGTAATTCTAGGACTTGGTTATTCCCTCGCAATATTTACATTTTATCGAGAAATGACTGTCCCGCCGCGGAAATCCGACTGTCGAAACCGTGATCGAACTTCGTTATCCCTTAAACAATTCAAGGGTTTTCCGAGACAAGCACATGTACGTCTGATCGAAATAAACTGACAGCACATCCAAGTCAACGCGAAGCACATCTCTGAAAAATGTCTGCGAGATAAGTATCTGATTTACACCCGGCACTAAAAAATCATAACCCTTAATATGCTAATGCTATGCACCCCAAGATCGCGACGTCGATTCGAGGCTGATCGCTTTGAACAAATGAAGATACAACCTGGAGTAATACAATAAATGGGCAATTAAAAAAATTTCTGGCATTATTCTCCACCCTGGAAACTAAGCCAAAGGGTTCCGTCCTGTTCATAGCTAGCGTTGTCGACTTTAGGAAAATTGAAGAACCTTCGTTCCATATTCCGAAACAATGCGGTCGCGCATGGGACACCTTATTGACTTATTTCACGTAATGACTCCCTACCGTGAAGGCGATCGTGATCAATTAATCGCCGTGGAAACAGTGATTTTTATCAATTCTATACATTCGAAACCTTTTGCGACTCTACGAGACGAGGACGAGGGATATTTTCAGGATCTCCTGCGTGCATCTAATCATCGATCTAATACCTACAGTCCGGCATTAATCACCTTTACGGGCATTAAATGAACGACCTGCAATGATAAACGTGGGCTTCGGGTCTGCCAGTCGAGACAACGGAGTCGCACTTCTTCATCGACTACTTCGTCCGAAGAATAAGTCCATCGACGTTCTCGAAAAATTCTTATCTTCCCAGTAGTTTCCATAAGAGCTTCGTGCTTTGAGTACTAAGTAAACCGGTGCGAGAGATTACGGCTTTACTTAAATGCTGAAAAATAGAGAACCTACGATTTCCCCCGGTAACTAAGTAGCGAATTTTCCCTGAAGCGTGAAAATCGTTCCTTATCGATGTGGAGCATCAGTGAAGACCGTGGAAAATATTTCTCGCAGTTGTAAAAAATCGAGGGGAAATTTAACTGCCCGTGAAGCATGCCAGATCCCCCCGAAGCGCAGGTGGTTAAGGGTGCTTCTAAAATGAAAATCTCGAGGTTGGGTATACGATTAATATTTTATTTCCCGAAATTTACCCTCTTCAGAATGAACTTGAAGTATCGGCGACCTCGTCTCGGCCTGGTTCTTGTGCAGATCATTTTTCTCAATCAAATATCTGCCGTCATCTCGGGAATTGTACCCGAAACGAAGAAGAACAGCACCGTCGCTGATGGAGTGGTAACACATCCTTTGTATTAAAAATGAAATACAAAGTAAATAAATTCGATGAAAATTCCCACCTGAGCTTGAAAAATTTATTTTATTTGCAGATTGATATACTAACGTCATGCTTCATGAAGAATTTTAGCACCATCGGATTTGCAGGGCAAGTTGACGATGTCCTGCAAAGTCTTCGACCTTTTTCCGAGCTTGTGACTGTAGTCGTGAACAGCAATTCGAGGCCAAAGATCTGGCAACCCAATTATCATTCGTTAACTTTCGATCAGATTCAAAATTATCCTCAATCAATTGCTTTCCAACGCCGTCTCCATGTCTTCGTGGTAGGAGCTTCTTCGAATATCCAGCTGAGAGTTGCCCTCCGCAACATTAAGAACACAATGTGGTGGAACCACGAGGCATTCTTCATCTTCTTCGACGAGTCCTGGAAAAACAGTTGCCACAAAGCGTATCAGTTTTTATGGACAGCCTGGGTGAGGAACTTGCTGAACGCTCTGTATCTATGCGAGGATCCTATCGAAGGATTCATGATGTACACGTTCAACCCCTACAACAAATATGCTCCAAAGACATGGGAACCTGCAGAGTTCTTTATGGATGAGCTGGGACCCGTCGAACACGTTTGGATGATGTTCAAACGACATCATGTTCATGGTACGTAAAAAATTGATATGTGGCCGCCACGCGGGTTGGAAATCAAACTTTTCGTTTTTAATATGATTTTATTTTAAATATCAACAATTAACTGAAAGAATAACGCCCTAGTAGTAACGCAAACTTAGTAGTATGCAAACGTTTGCATAAATTCTATAAACATTAAAAAACTAATGAATGAAGTGAAACTTCTGATGGTTAGAATATAGAAAAAGAAATACTGTTGCGATTGAACGAACGGAAGATTAAGATTGTAGTAATTTCAAGGATTTATTTAAGTTACGTTATAATACATTTTTCAATTTTTCTAATCCTTGAAATATACTGTAGGAAACTAATAATTCGTTTCATTTTATAAACGTGGTATAATACACACTTAAGGTATCATGAAGTAGGTTATAAGTAGTGTAACACAAAGAGAGAACATTATTTCCTAGTATTTTCCAGCGTTTTCATGAACAAAAAAAAAGTTTGCCCATTACCGACCAAATGAATGTTTCCCTAATGTTTCTCATTATTGATTTTACTCGACCTTCGTACGAATAGAATTTACCCTACCATCTCTAAAGAAGTTTCACGTAACACATTCGCGACCTCTGACGTGAATTCACGTCTTTTCAAGTTCTATTCCTGGTTGTCATTGACGTGAATTCACGTCTTTTCAAGTTCTATTCCTGATTGCCGCTGACGTGAATCACGTCCATAACGATACACGATACAAGTTTGCGGCAACCAGTTTCAGAATTTCATTATTTCCGCCGGTACTCAGTATTTGAAACGGAAAAAATTTGCCGGTAGCGAATGTGTTAAAATCGAATAAGTGTTTCACTTTTCGTTACACTCACAGTTTTTTAACGTACTTACCCTACCAAATGCGAAGTTACCCTACCAAAACATAAGTTTCACTTAAAAAAGGTGGTTTATCAAAGGAGAGAAGAAAGATTCATTGATTATCATTCCTAATCGATAAAGGTGCCACCAAATGCAGGATGATCCTCTTCGACAGAGCTTGGATCTTGGACGGTTACGGGATTAGGATCGAGGTCCTAGAGAAAAGGCCCTTGTTGTACGTCAATGAATCTGAAAAAGGCCTGAAGAAGCTCGGTGGAGTAGATGGAATGATCACGCAGGCTCTTTGGACAAAGCTGAACGCATCGGTGATATTGACGATCCTTCCCTCAAATAATAGTTTCCTCGGCTACCTGGGCAACAACGGGATGTTCTACGGGATGCTGAAGCCTCTCTTCGATGGCACGGTGGACATAGGGATGAACTGCAGATATCTAATGTCAAGCAGGACGTTATTGATGACCTATCCGCACTTGGAGTCAGGACTGTGCATGACTTCCAGACACCGAGGGTACGAGTCTCAGCTGACCAAGATCACGACGTTCTTCAGCCCCGAGATAAACCTTGCTCTCCTAGGAATCTCCCTGGCGACTGTGTTCGTCCTTTACACTTTGGTTGGTCAGACCCTAATTCAAGCGATGATGAACCTCCTCAGAATATTCATGTCCACAGCCATCACACACCCACCACGCTCGGTATCCACCAGGATCTTCTTCAGTATGGTGTTGAGCTTGTTCCTGACCCTGAACGCCATCTTCCAGGGTAACCTATCAGCGATCCTCACCGCTCCCATTCCTAACCCCAACGTGGACACCTTGGCAGACGTCAAACGTTATGGCCTCACTATGACGGGGTACGTCGGCTTCAAGGCCCTCTTCGAAAACTTCGGGGTCGATAATTATTCGCCGATGGAAAAATCGGAGTGCGAGGAAGATGCGTACAACAACGATTTCATAGTCTGCTCTCGTGATTGCTACATCCTTAAGTATAACGCCGCCAAGTTGGGCAAACTTCACATCTCTAAAGAGGTCGTGAACCTGTACTTCGTCTACTTCACGAAGGACGATTGGCCCTTGTATCATCGAGTGAGCGTTGTGATGAAGAGACTCACGGAATCTGGGCTGGTCAACTTGTGGAGGGAGAAGTCCATTCCGAGCTCCTTCACTAAGTTCCTTGACGACTCTGATGACGACCAGAAGGTGCTGACCCTCCGGGAGGTGATGTTCACGTTTCATATGTTAAACACTGGCTTGAGTTTGGCGACCTTTGTCTTCCTCATCGAGCTGGCCTCGAAGAGGTACCTGAAGAAGATGAACAGCCCATTCCTCGCGAGATTCTTGAAATTCTTTCACCAACCTTCTATGGGAAACGGGTGGAGGCTGAATCGAGTGGGCGTGGCCAAGCTTGCATAATAGGAATCTCTGGGTTTCCTGTAATCGAAATTAGAAAGAATTGTACGATTTACGATTAGTTTCGTGTACTTGGATGCTTTTTCTTGAAGATGATTCGCTCCATGATAATATCGATGTTTCAGCTATGATCTCTTATCGATCTTCGGGAAAACTCAATGTTACCGATAATGGAGATACCGTGAAAATGACACACTGCTTACGTAAAGGCAATCGATCGTCGACTGATCGACTCGTTATCGGTGATAAAATGTTACTTGGATCACACACAGATGCAGGTAAAAAAGTCACGTGTGCTCGTTACACCTCCAATAGATCGTTTCATATTTTATTGCAATTTACTTCCTGTGAATTTTTTTTTTTCTTCTGCATAAGTTAATTATATTTTGATACTCTGAGATTTTTACGCACGCATTAAAGCGAAGTGCTTCTTTTTTAAGGCTACAGTCCATTTGAATTGGCGATGGAATTCATATATTATGAATATGTGTAACACGAATCTCAAAATAAATACTTTAATATCATCGATCTATTTAATACAGAGCAATAGCTGTTTCTATTTGTTAACCGCGCACTTATCAAATGGTGTTAAAAGATTTATAAGGACCTCTTACTACATTGAGATATTGCGATAACGATTACCTATATATTGATCGGTGTACTAGACTTATGTACTTTTTTCAAGATGTTGCGAACCGTCGTTGCAGTGCTGATTCTTGCTGCTGTCGCTGATCGGGGTACGTCAAAAAGGAACGCCTCATAAAATTTCACCATAAGTTAACTTTTTGGGACACCAGTAAATGCTTAACGCCTTATAAAAGACAACCCCACACTCAATGGCAATCCGCCATACCGCGAAGTATTCACGGTTACGCTCTGTACATAATGATATCTAAGTACATTTATGTACAGGTTTGTCTTCTGAAAGATCCAAAATCGATGGGTTTTACTTAGCCGGAATGTGCAACCAACAAGTGGAGGTGGGAAAGCCATGCCTGATCGCAAATTCAATAGCCTATCATGACACAATTGTACAAAAAATAATACCTATCAATTTTCGCAGCAATTAAAGCCCACCCTTTTTAGACCATTCATGATGTTCAATATTAAAAGCATAACAATTTCCATTATACTACTCCATCTTACATGTGCATATTTCTGAGCATTTAGTAGGACTTTTCATTCACCTCAGCGCTGAGGAAAATACAATCGAAATGTTACGAAGACCACTTTCCTCCATTCCAGGCCATTCTGCTGATGGTCCAGTGAAACCGATCCCGGAAGTGGTACCAGAACGAATAATCGGGGGATCCACATCCAACATCATCCCTTATCAGCTCAGTCTGCGCAGTTACAACACCCACACCTGTGGAGCAGTGATCATTTCAGCATACTGGGCCGTCACATCAGCACACTGCACAGCAGGGGGGACGATTTCATCCCTAACTTTGCTGGCTGGAACAACGAATCGTCTCTCAGGGGGTGCACTTTACAGGATATCCAGGATAGTGAACCATCCTCTTTTCGACCAAAGGACTCACAACAATGACATAGCCTTGTTGAAAGTTAGCGTCCCCTTCAACTTCAACGATCTGGTGCATCCCATTCCCTTAGCCTACAGCGGCCAGACTCCAACAACAGGCTCAGCTGCAATGGTTTCTGGATGGGGATCTTTTTCAACGAACAGCCCTGCACTCTCAACCTACTTGCAGTCAGTGGTGATCCCTGTTATCGATAACAGCACCTGCAACAAGTTGCTCAATGGAAGGATCACTGCCAACATGTTGTGTGCTGGGCCACTGACAGGGGGGAAAGATGCATGTGCAGGGGATGGAGGAGGTCCTTTGGTGGTCAATGGGTTCCTTCATGGAATTGTGTCCTGGGGAGTTGGATGCGCGCAGAGGAACAGTCCTGGGGTATATACCAATGTTTCTGCACTGCGCTTGTGGATTGCCTCAGTTACTGGAGTTTAATTTTCATAAAAGTGTATAACATCGTGTTAAAAAATTACAAATTCATTCCGAATTTTATAATAAATGTCTTAATTCACTATTAAGACATTAGATTATATATAAAATGTAATTATAATTTTACACCCGAGGACATTCTGTTGTACAATTCTTATTCACAAATCCATAAGTTATTTGTAGGTACGCTAACTGGTACGCTAAATGGTTTCTCAAAAAATGAGTTGATTTAATTTTTTTTTTTAAGTGCACTAGCATTGCCCCGATCCTGGAAAGAATGGAATTTTTTTATCGAATAGCAGTGTTGCGTTGTTAAAAATACAAATTAGCTGGAATAAAGTGGGGAATGGACTGACGAGTTGTTCAATAAAATTCGGCATTTATTTTGCAAGAGAAACTGTACATCTTTTTGCATAATATATGCTCTTTCAGAGCGACACTATATGTGGATTATGAATACTGTTTGTTCTTGATCGAAATAGAAATAATTCTGGAGATTCTGAAATGGAATTAATTTTCAAGTGCCCAGTAATATTGAAATAGTTATTGATTAATTTGGTATTAGTACGTGTCCAGATAACGCGTGTCCGGTAAAATTCCTTCGAGTCCGCTGAAGCCAGTTTATTTGCATAAAAGGAAATCAGCGCGTGTATATCGATCCGTCAACCAGGTAAACACTGATTATTTCTTATCATAGTCTGAACATCAGAGAAAAATAGATTAATACCACGAAATGAACTGGGGCATAATGTCTTGTACCCCTTCCGCACCGATTATGACGTTTATCGCGGAAAATTAAGAGGTTTACGAGAATCTCCTACTTCCATCAAGATATTCTGATAATACCGGAGTATATATTGAACAGAAAAATGGACAGAGGCACGTCTTCCAAAATGCTGCGAAAACTAGTACTAGCTGTTCTCCTCGTTGCAGTCGCCGGACAAGGTATAATCCCAATTTAATTATTAATTAAATAGCACCTATTCTACTTCTTACACATTTACATTCTACGAGTTCCAACCCTAAACACCCTGAATTTAAATATATTCGCAATTATCTACACATATACATTAACTCATAACAAAATTTCTCCGCAAAAAGCATGCTTTGAAATATATCACGTACATCTAATTCGCACATTCAATAAATTACTTAAATTTTTTCATTATTAAATAAAAAATGGAAGTCCATATACATATTGTTATTTCCTGTAACCCTGTATTTTATTAGGCTGAGGAATAAGTTCCCGCCGTTTGTAACGTAACGTAACGTCATTAAAACGGTGGGAACTTATTCCTCCACCTAATAGAAACGGACGCGAAAAAAAAAGTAAATGGATCATCCCATTTCTTCAAATAACCTCGCGAACGAGTATGATTCTTTTAATAGATATCTTATCATAGGGTATCGATTAAACCTAGGAAATCTCCAATCCGATAAAGACGGCTCCCCAGGAACATGATCAATCGATTCGAACTTGAGATTCGATCTCAATTCCCATCTTGATCCACATCTGACCGACTTCCTTGCTCCTAACTTCCTAAAAGAACCCGCTATCAGAGATCGACATTAACAGAGACTTTTTACACAATTCCAGTCCGCTGCGCTGAGGTTCCAGAGGACGCAGCATCCAATGGACCCGAGGGACGCATCATTGGTGGCAGCCAAGCTGGTGTCATCCCCTACCAACTCAGTCTGCGCAGAAACAACAGTCACAAATGCGGAGCTGTGATCATCGCCTCCTACTGGGCGATTACGACCGGCCACTGTGTGGAGAAAGAGGCAATATCAGGCTTATCTCTTCTAGCTGGTACCAACAATCGCCTCTATGGAGGCGCGACCCATCGCATCAATCAGATTGTGGTCCATCCCAAATTCAACCCAGCTACCCACGACAACGACGTCGCTCTACTCCGAGTCAGCACTCCATTCGTCTTCAACAACAAGGTTGCTCCCATCATCCTGGCCTTCAGTGGTGATGACGCTTCCCCATACACCATAGCAACCATTTCCGGATGGGGCACTGTCTCTGCGAACACCTATGAGTTCCCAACGTTCCTCCAATCCACCAACATCCCCATTGTCGACCAGGTCAAGTGTAATCAACTGCACAGAGGAAGAATCACAGAAAACATGTTGTGTGCTGGACCCCTTTCTGGTGGAAAGGACGCCTGCAATGGAGATGCCGGAGGTCCTCTGGTGGTTAAGAATTTCCTGCATGGACTCGTGTCCTGGGGAGCTGGATGCGGCGAGAAGAACTTGCCTGGCGTCTACACCAGGATCACTGCTGTCAGACACTGGATCGCCTCCGTCACTGGAATCTAAATTTTCTTCGAAGACCTTAATTTCATCGATTTACTTTTAACTATTGACAATTTCTACATGCACGTGTGATAGGTTACCTTTGTGCTTTTGGAAATGAAAATAAAGGGCACGCTGGAACCTTTGAAATTGGTTTGGATCTTGTATATCATATTTGCATACAATTTTCATCGGAGACCTTAATTTCATCGACTTACTTTTAACTATTGACAATTCATTTCTACATGCACGTGTGATAGGTTACCTTTGAAAATATCTGTTTGAGCTGAATGCTTTTGGGAACGAAAATAAAGGGCTTGCTGGAACCTTTGAACTTGGCTTGGATCTTGTACATCATATTTGCATAAAATTTTCTTCCGAAACCTTAATTTCATCGATTTACTTTTAACTATTGACAATTCATTTCTACATGCACGTGTGATAGGTTACCTTTGGAAATATCTGTTTGAGTTGAATGCTTTTGGAAACGAAAATAAAGGGCACGCTGGAACCTTTGAAATTGGCTTAGATCTTATACATCATATTTAATGTATCTGATAGGTGATAATGTGCAAGAGGGCCGCAAAACTCTCAGACATTCAGAATCCAAGTCCATTGTGGATCGAAGATGCTAAATCTTTTATAAATTGTAATTTTTTTTAAATTGTCTACGTATTCCAGGTTGACGGTAATTGGTCCATAACACAAGGAACCAGGGAAGGCGGCACTAGTAGGAGAGGACATCACTTTTAATTCCGAAATCCTTGACATTTTGTACAACACTCGTGTCCTTTTCAAAGTAACACACTACGAAGCTATTACTTTCGATAGTTATAGGATGTAAAGTAAATTGTATAGGAGAATTTAACGAGTAATTTGCAGCATTGAACGTGCACCTTGCTGCTTAATAGAGAATCTTTGAATGAACGAAGTCCACAGATCTAGTGTTGGCCTTTTCCCTTGCAAAGCTCCGTCAAGATGTCCAGGTTGGCTGCGGTGATGAAGAAATTCTCCTTGGTCACGTCCAGCAAGGAGTGCAGATAGGTTGGTAAATTATCTGCCAGGACGTACAACTTCCTGGTGTCTCTATCAATGGTCAAATCATTCGGGAACAGAAGCTTCACGTCCTCCTTATCAACCAGACCTGGACGAAGAACTTCAGATTAATGTTGGACCCCTTTTCACTGGGTTCATCAATGACATCATTGATAAGGTTACAAGCCAATCATTTCCCCTAGAAACTTACGCAATGTGTCCGAATTAAGCGGCTCGTTAGTGTCCCAGCAGGCAATTCCATTTTTCTGAACCTGAGTGAAATAGTTAATCCCAGTTTCCGGGTCAATTATGGATGATGGACCCTGACTTCTGGGTCCTTTGTCGCCAACCACGCGGAAGTGATAATAGTTATCCGTGGTTGCGAGCGTCTCGTTCTTCAGGATGTCTGTTGACACGAGGAACTCCGTGATTCCAGACATGGCGTGGAAATAGAGAGTTTTCGAGCCATCTTTCTGAGATCCGGACAAGGATAGTCCGAAGACTCCATCGGTCCACTGGAAGTTGAAGCCGCTGACATTAAAGTCGCCTGAAATTTCAAAATGGAGTTTAATAAACCACGAGTAATCGACATCGTCCCTGAATGCTTAATCCTTGGTTTTGTTAATTCCGCTTCATATCTTAACTCGGTGCTACGAGTCCAGAAAATAGGTTAGAAGATGGCAAACAAATTTCCCACAACCGAGAAACTTTTCTCACCATTTAGAGGGTCGAAGTAGAAATAGTTGTGTTCCACCCTCCAAGAGTCGTTCTTCGCCCAACTATACACAACTAAGCCATATCCAGCAATGTCTGAGATGTAGGCATGAGCATTATCGCAGTCGTCCCTATCAACATCGACCACCAAATCAGCGAAGAAGGAATCTGGCTTCTTGTCCGAATCCTTCAATGGGTACCGCCTGATGATCTGTCAAATGAAATTGCAAAACGTGTCTCGAAGATAATATTTTATATGAAAATTGTTCATATATTTAGTGTTTATGCGTAATTTCTAATGGAACTTACCTTATCCGTGTTCAAATCAAACACGACCAGAGTGCTCGGGATTACTGAGGTACCATCACCAACTATATCATCCACTCCAGTGTCCACTCCCCAAAGTCTGTCACAAGCATCTACTCTAACTCGAAAGAAGTTGACGATCTTCGAATCGGAAGAGGAATTAATGTCATTCGTCTCCCAATCAGGGTACGGAGTCAGCTTTGGTGACTTGGCATCTGAATGAGAATCATCTTATAAAGTATGTCGCCATAACGAGTTTGGAACTGTGACACTGAACCAGATTAATAAATTAATATTCGCCTGCAATACCAGATGTACAAATCTGTGAGGGGATCAAAATTAACCTACTTCACAATCCAGCTGTGCAAATTTGACTTCGCCAAATAAGATCCACGCATAATGGGACTTGCATTTTCTTAAATTATTTTTCTCTTTCCAATCATTTCAAGTACTTAAAAAATCATATTTAAGAATATACATAATAAATGTATAATTAATAAAATACCGATGTTATGAATTTCGGGTAGGTCCCAGTTTCACCCTATACCCCACGGATAGTGATAGGGACGTCACGAAGTTCTCTATCTCGGCAACAGAGCCATTATCAGTACGTGATTGGCGATCTGAGGTTAAAAATGGTCACCGAATCCAAGATACGAGTCGAAGTCCAGACGTCTCTGGATTACGAATTCTAAATCAACAACGATCGCAATCTAAAATCGGCAACCAGATTTACATATCACCTGACAAGTCTAACGTCACGGAATCACCTGGAGTCGATTTAAAATAATTTTTAATCGCTGTTATCATATAGAAATCTACCCACCAGCAGAGTTCGTCTCGTTCATCAGGAAGTAGTTCAAGTTCGCAGCAATGCCCTTCTTCCACCTGGGAACCGTGATGAACATTTTGTTCTTCCAGATGTTCAGTCCCAGGGGAAGATTATTTTCCTGAATGAAATCTCCAGTGGCGATGTACTTTTGCCTCACCGAGTCATTTGGGAAATTGTAATCGACCTGTTTCCAGGAATAGACTTCTTCAAGGGGATGACTGGCCGCCATTGCTGCCAAACCCAGCAACAACAGGAAGCTCCGCAGCTTCGCCATCTCTGCGATCGTTCAAACTCATTATTTCCTCGTATCGTTACATCAAGGATCGCTATATTACAGTACAGTATGGTCACGAATAAGTAATTAAGAGCTATTTATTCTTTCAGGGTCAGCAACGCGTCGGCCAAGAATCGACGCGCAAAAGCGATTGCTGATCCTGAGGAACTCCCTACACCGTGGATGCGTAATGAAGACGACATATTATAGAAGACAAGATCATCAAACCTATTGTTTCTGGATACCTAACGCACGTTCCTAGAAGAATTGCTGAAAGGTGTTCATTACATCCACAAACCAAGAATTACAACATCCGTTTTTTATTCCGAATTACTCGCGGGATCTTTCACACGGCTTATGTCGGAATTAAATATACCCGATTTGGAAACTAAATATGTGAACTGTTTTTAGTGGCTTCTGCACTTCCAGATTAACTCAGATTTTATTTTTCATTTTTCTCCTTTGGGCGAAACAAAATGGTTATACAGTTTGCTGTGTCTCGTTATGAAGATTATTGATATATCGAGTGCACACAGCGGTGTGTATTAGAAAATAAAAAATCAATTATTCAAATCGTTATCAGTCCTAATATTTTAGAGTTTATTTCAGGGTCTAATGTACACTGTGGTATTTACTAGAAAATTAGAAGTCAACGTGCTTCGACGGAGACACTGACTTTCTCTCGCCCTTTTGTTCAAGGTGTTCCAATACTACGACACGACAAGGATGGGCACATCGAACACTTTCCTCATGTAAGTGAATCGTCATTATTATCGCCGCAATTATCGTTTGGTTTCCACATTAGAAATTCCCAACAAGATTCATTGCACAAAGCATTGCATAAATAATCAGTTAATCCCAAGTGTGCGGTAATTGTTCCGCGTACTTTTCATTATACTGTTCAAAATGCTTCGAAAAACCGGAATTGTTAAATTTACGAGAATCGTTCGGTTTCGAAATTCGAAATTGCGAGAGTTGCGCCATGTGCATGTGCATGCGCTCACGTAGATGCACCATGTGCATGTGCATACGTTCACGTAGATGCACTATGTGCATACGATATTCATATCCGCATTACTGTCATGTGCTAAATGCAGAATGAAGAAGATAGGACAAAAAGATGAACGGCTTCGTGATTAACACTTATCTATGCATTTTTATTAGATACTCATCGTTAAACATAAGTATTAAAGACGTAGCATAAACGCTATAATTGCGATAATTGCATTCATACGAAAAACATTCCCACAATTTGTATTAAAGTGAATTTATGCGAATTTATTAGATACTTATCGTTAAACATAAGTATTAGAGACGTACCATAAACGCTATAATTGCGATAATTGCATTCCTACGAAAAACATTCCCACAATTTGTATTAAAGTGAATTTATACGAGACCAAAAAACGACGACTAATTCGGCGACATATAAATTAAAATAAATTACACCGTTTATTCAACCATTGATTGAGCTTATAGCAGTGATTGCTCTAATCATCATGATTCACTCAAAACGGAAATTAAATCGGTCAAACCATGGCAATTTTTTCTTTCAGAGTTTATCACATTTATTGAGTCATATCACTTCATAATCTAATCGTGCACTTAATTAAGTACCACACTAAACGAAAAAAAGTGGAGTACGCAGATAAGAAAAAATAACATCCGATCGTCTCCTTTCCGACAGGTGTGGGAAATCTGAACCATACACTCGAGAAATCATTTCCACTTTCTCGTACAAATTTTCAGATAGTCTCTCTAATGCCCCGCTCTTTACGTCATGTTTAATTATATCACAGAAAAATCGCAATCACTGCCCCGTCATTAAAAGTTGGGCAAATCTGCCGGTAAGTCAGCGGTGAAAAATTAATTCCTAAATTTCACTGCCTCGCCAAATTTACTTTTCGCCATCGCGTCCACATGGCACGGATAAATCGTTATCACAAACTCCTGGACATTTGTCGGCATTTCGGTGAGTTTCGGAGCTATTAACACATTCGCGACCGCTGACGTGAATTCACGTCTTTTCAAATTCTATTCCTGGTTGCCGCTGACGTGAATTCACGTCATTTTAAATTCTATTCCTGATTGCCGCTGACGTGAATCACGTCCATAACGATACACGATACAAGTTTGCGGCAACCACTTTAAGAATTTCATTATTTTCGCCAGTACTCAGTATTTGAAATGGAAAAAATTTGCCGGTCGCGAATGTGTTAAACCGTGAACTTTTTTCGAAAGCGATGGTAAATATCGCGAGGTATTGTTGTCGAGGTACAGGACGCGATACTCACTGATCTCTGAGAGCTGAGAAACCGGCCTCTGGCAGGAACGGTACAACTTGGAATGACTCTACAGTGCGCCATGCCACCTTTATAACCTGCTGAACTGTACAGCGCTGTAGCCGTACATTGGACCAGCTGTAAAAATTCCCTGGAGCCAAGAGGAGCAAAACGAGGCTCTCTTGACACAGAATTTTCGACTCCGAGTATATGACCCGCCGGAATTTAGCATTGGATTTAGCATACAAAGTATTCGAGATTAATGCTAATTTACTCCCACACAAAACGCGTCCATTAAAGCGGTCGTTGTTACTCCGAGTGGACGTTCAAAGGACGGCCAAACAGAGTCGATGAAAGTATTTACCATCAAAGGCAGACCTTGGAACGAGAGCTTGGAAATGAGAGAAGTGAAAGATTTATGAGATTAGGACTGAAATTCGCTGAAAAAAAAGGAATTATTTTAGGAAAATTTTCAACAGTGAGGCTAGGCTATGGTACTCCCAATGGACGTTCAAAGGACGGCCAAACAGTCCATGAAAGTATTTGCCATCAAAGGCAGACCTTGGAATAAGAGCTTGGAAATGAAAGAAATTAAGGATTTATGAGATTAGGATTGAAATTCGCTGAAAAAAAAAAGGAAGTATTTGATGAAATTTTCAACAGTGAGACTAGACTATGATACTCCCAATGGACGTTCAAAGGACAGCTAAACAGAGTCCATGAAAGTATTTGCCATTAAAGGCAGATCTTGGAATAAGAGCTTGGAAATAAGAGAAATGAAAGATTTATGAGTTTAGGATTGAAATTCGCTGAAAAAAAAAGAATTATTTTATGAAATTTTCAACAATGAGGCTAGACTATGGTACTCCGAGTGGACGTTCAAAGGACGGCCAAACAGAGTCCATGAAAGTATTTGCCATCAAAGGCAGACCTTGGAACGAGAGCTTGGAAATAAGAGAAATGAAAGATTTATAAGATTAAGATTGAAATTCGCTGAAAAAAAAAAGGAATTATTTTATGAAATTTTCAACGGTGAGGTTAGGCTATGGTACTCCGAATGGACGTTCAAAGAACGGCCAAACAGAGTCCATGAAAGTATTTGTCATCAAAGGCAGACCTTGGAATGAGAGCTTGGAAATAAGAGAAATGAAAGATTTATGAGATTAGGATTGAAATTCGCTGAAAAAAAAAAAGAATTATTTTATGAAATTTTCAACAGTGAGGCTATGCTGTCATGCCTTTTTGGGGTCCCATTAAAGCTCGTATCGAGTATCATTATTCTTGTAGATTTTTTTACACGTCTTTGCTTTGTTTTTAAGTACCTAGATATTAATTCCATGAACTAATTCGGGATGGTTCTGTTGTTTTCAAATTTTATTATCATTAATCTGTATGAGAGAAACCGATGACAGTAAACGGTTTGGAAAGTGAGGAAGACGTAAAGAGTTAAATGTTAATTCGAAAATGTGGAAATGATTATTCTTGTTATTTATCGTGCTAATGTAAATCTTATTTTTCTGTTAGGACACGGTGATCGTGAATTTGATTGCACATAAACGCGTAATCAGTATTGGTAACCTGGCGGATGATTATTTGATTCGCGCCGGGTACGATAAATCGATCTATCGATTTTACTATTACCTGTAAGGTTAATGTTTCAGTAATAATATAATGTTGATGTTCATTTCGCATGATGCAGTTTTTACTGTTCATTTACTGCACCTGCCATTTACGCAGTTGGTAACGAACGATCCCATCCGGTGGACGGAAATCCATTCAATAGTCTTTAGTATTTACTGCATGACATGACAAGCATAATGCTCAATGAATTTCCGAATCTACATTGTGCAGACTTCAACGACGGAACACTGAAAAATTGCAATTACTCGGCAAGCGAATTTTATCGAGCATGAAATCTTATTGTTTTCCACCGAATGCAATCCCTCTACGAAATATACAAGTTAAATTTTATTAATTCACCGGCTATGTAATTTTTGCATTCATTTTTAACAATATTATTTATAACAGAACAATTCTTCTCTTTCCCCTGGTTTTATCAATTAAATAACATCGATAACCTCGTAAAGACGATAAAATAATTTATCTGACATTAAATATCCATAAAGTAAATCGATTTCTCTACAAATGCGAAAAGGGATCTATTAAATTTTAATGCCTGTCCTGACAATTGTTATCGTTTAATCTTAATTCTTCAGGGTTTCCATTGCTTTGGAACTGTCAATTCTTTCTGGTGCAATTATCATTCAAGGTGGTCATTCCACCGGACATTAATGGTGTGGCGGTTCGGAGTTATTAGTGCCCTCATTTCCGCCATAGAGTACAAAGGGAGTAATTGAACCATGACGATAATGGGTTAGTTGACATTGAAAGAACGCGTCCTGTTAGTACGGGTACATTCGACAATCTGACGTACTTATGTGTCACGGGTTGAAAAGTAGACCTTGTCATTGCCACTACTAAATCAGTATCGGTGACTCATCGCCCGTGAACAATTTTTGTTTTATTAATTAATTATTTCTTTTCCCAGGGTCCGTGATTTCTCCCCTTATAAGGAACGCGTTATGTAAATGCGGTAAAATGCCGATACGAATAAGCCTAAAAAAATGTTACAATATTGATGTAATATGATTTTCACCTTATGCCTCGTTTTGAAATCAAATTAAGAGTGCAAGAAAATATAGAACGTCAACTAAAACGTCGAATGCTAATTTTTGTTTACAATACGCAGATCCGTACAACTGATTTTTTGCACAAAGCAATGCAACCGCCCCCGGTCGGTCGTGTAAGTTTTAAGAATATTAGAAAATTGTGGTATTTTTTAATATTTTAACGCTCCTTGCAATGGTTACTAACAACATAATTGCAGGCACACTGTGCGGTAATTCTCGTTACGCAAGTTCAAAGTACTTAATTTTATCATACTCCCTATTCAACGTTTTCCGATAATCTGTATTTTGGTTTATTCATTAACATTTTCTAGTCACGAATTATGTAGATCAAGAAAAAAATATACTACTCCTTCAGATCAACGGTAATTTTTTAACATAATTAAGTCTCATTATTGTACTCCTTAGAACATGCAACCCGTAAATCATGGGAGTACACCCGAAAACCTACAATCAGGGGCATGCAACTGTTGATTAAAACAGAATTTTCTTCTTCAAAAAGAAGAGTTTGAATTTTTTCATTGTATATTATTGTAAATTAACAAGTTTCCGCCGTGTAATGCAAAGAAAAAATGTTGAAATGTGATTCTTCCGCAGGAAATGAAAGATTTGAAGAATGCAAACACAGTGGCTTGTACAAAACGAGGCATCTATTTACATAAACGTAATGTCGTGTAATACAAATTCCATGTACGCTCCTCGCAGTACTGGATGATGAGTACATTCGGTATTAAAAACATGTACGTACGTAGTATTACGTATAAACCGATTCTCTTAATTTCTTACAAATTGATACTTCGCATCTTACGTCGACGGTCGTACAATCAATTGCAAAGGCATAATTATTACGTATTGTCAAATGCAACTTGAGAATGTATTTCGTGACGGAACGGTATTTCATACAGTTGTGGGGTACATGCGACGTAATAAATAGAGAACGTGGAATGATTGCAGTATTTCTACTCCTATTCATGCGTTTTGCTCCTTTCGATGATTTAAACAAAGAGGGTGATTCTGTGTCTTGTCCTTCTTCAAGCTGCTCGTTTGCACCGTGAATCGTCTCCTTCAAAGCGAAACTTCCGCTTCCGCTTCTTTCCGTTTGGCAGGCTTTTTATGCTTCCTGTAAAACCAAATATTTTACATTACCATGCCCACAATCTTAGTATTTACATAGAATATTTTTTTAGGTTTTTATATCGTCTAGAAAATGATTACACTCACTTGCCAAATTCCTCGCCATCGAGAATGGTCTCTGGAAGAGTGCAGCCAGCTGTTTCTGGCAATAAGACGCACAGCGCTGCACCTATCAATGGAAGTGTTCCAAACATAATAGGTGGAATCCAAAATCGAAGTACTCCCTACAAAGATAAAAAAATATAACATAGTATAATTCAATTCAACCTTGACCACCTATGGCTACTCCTCAGTCCTCTAGGCAAGTCTGCAAATCAACATTTCTCACCAGTGAAACAACAAATGGAGCTATCATGGATCCTATCCTGGCACACATACTACTAGTTCCAACTCCAATATTCCTCACTACAGTCGGAAATAGTTCTCCAGAGAAAAGGTAAGCGGTGGTAAAGGATACCGACATTCCGACGATGCCAAAACACGCTAATATTAGCCTAAGCCATATCATGTCTGTAAAAATCAATATAAATATAATTTGTAATCAAAGTCAAACGATATGCGTTGCACAGATAGCGAGGTAAAAATTCTGAGTTTGTCATAACTCATAGCAACAATTTATGAATTCAAGTCATCGTGATTCCATACCTTGTGGAACAGCGACTAGGATCAAACTAGCAACACCAGCGACGGTGTTGCTGCATATTAGCGTGATTCTCCTGCCAAGTGCACTCATGGCCCACCAGGAGACGAAGTTTCCAGGGATTTGGATTGCTCCAGAAACGGCAAAGTTGACAAAAATATCGCCTCCTACATGACCGATGTACTGAGTCATACCAAAGAGACCCATGCCGCAAACGACCCAATTAAAGAATATTGCCAATGACTTCACTCTCATATTAGGTGTTCTGAAAAGGTCCAGGAAGGATGCTTTGTGGTCGGAAGGCGAACGCTTCGAATTCTGAAAAAAAATTAGTATTCTTTAGAACACAAGTCTTGAAAATATATTTCATTATACCTATTTCTCATTTTTGGGGTGTAGATACTACGGCCGCTTACTGCGGTCAATCTGTATAAATATTTTCACAAGGTGAAGTACACGTTTAACTTGCAGGGAAGGTCTCACCTGATGAAGACAATGCTTCCTGACCATATCTGGAATGTCCTTGTTTTTAACGCCGTTCACATTGGCAGCCTTCTGCAAAATCTTGCACGCGGCTCTCTGTTTGCCCACTGCCAGAAGCCATCTTGGAGATTCTGGTACAACCCACCAATAACCGAGAAGAATAATCGAGGGTAAAGTGATGGCTAATTGAAGGTGTTGCCAGTGCCTGAACAAGAAGGCTAGTCCTGCCAGGGACATGTGTCCAAGACTGTATGGGATCTGGTACAACACCGTGATCACGACACGCCACTTTGTGCCGACTATTTCCATGCCTGCAAACAAAGCAATCCTTAATAAAAAAAAAAGAGAAATGTAATTATTCCTTACCGCAGAAATACTCTCAATATTGGTTTTCCAATATAACGGTTCAATTAACCTAACTCTTTTTTTTCCAAGCCAAGAGAATCTGACGTAACGTGAAACTTGCAAATACAATAGTAACCTCCCGATATTAACTATCATGATTTGTAAACGGCTTTCTTGATTACAAGAGAGTGGTGCAATAATAAAATGCCACATCAAATGTCGCCGCGGCTTAAAAACTACGGTACGTGACTTCAAAGTCAGATGATGTTGTGGAAAGTTAAAATTCAAAGTGTAACTTATGACCCTAGCCAAAACATGTAATAACTCACAAATAACGTAGCTGGTAACCATTGTTCCCCCCGTAGCCAAGGCACTGAGCAACTTCAGGACCAACAATGCCGGGAACCAGGGAACAACCGCGCAGCCAATACCAGAACCGAGCTGCAGAATTACGGAAAGCATCAAAGGAAGCTTCCTCCCGTACCTATCAGCCAAACATCCGAAGATGATGTTTCCGAGAAGAACACCGAACATCAGGATGGATTGCTGAATGTCCGCATAGTGGGATCTGCTGCACACCAAGTTCCACTGAAACGGAAGCAGTCGTTCGGTGATCAAGCAATCTAATTGAACGAAAGAGGAGAAATTTTCACGGACACCGGAATAAAGGACGCACTTGAGATATGATGGTCTCCGGAAAAATGGTTCTATCGAATTCCCATTCCGTGCACTCTTCGTGCGTGCCATTTACGCTGACTATGCACTGATCCGTCGTATCGGTTCTTGCAGGAGCCGTGCAATTGTAGTGTTGGTGAGGAGCCATGAAAACGATCGCCAACTGGTGCCATGCGACTGGGAATTTGACCAGGGAAATGGCAAGGCACACGAAGACCTGCCATTTTCCGAATCCGCCCATCGCCTCCTGGACGGCGTCCACTTCTTCGCCATGATCTGCCGCTTCGGCGTCTTTACCGTTTGAGACATGCTTGCCGTTCACTTCCGCTGAAAAGAAAAAAAATAGATTATTTTCAATATTTTACAATTACTCGTTATTTCTGAACAATACTTAAGAAACACGGGGTGCAGCGAAGGTTCCCGCGATTTTTCAAAACGACTTGATAAGACGTATTGAGGCGTGGAAGCAGTCTTGACTATCTAATGAATTTTGTCAATCGATCAATGATGGTAATCCATTAATATACGAGGTAGTCGTGTTCTCCTAAAATATTTATAAAATCGCAAGAGTCTTCACCGCACCTTGTACTTAATATTAAGACATAGGTACATAAGTGCAAGAAACAGAGTAGGGCCATTTCAGTCTAGACAAAGTAGTTGAACACTTAAAACATTCGCGACCGCTGACGTGAATCACATCCATAACGATACACGATACAAATTTGGGTCAACCAGTTTCAGAATTTCATTATTTTCGCCAGTACTCAGTATTTGAAAAAATCGGAAAAAATTTGCCGGTCACGTATTGTGTTAATATATTAAAAAGTATCCACCAGGACTTCTCGGAGTTTTCCTTGCAATTTCTTTGTTTCAGTATTGTTATTACGAATCTAATAAATTTCATCGATCGATCAGTGGTGGTGATTCATTCATTTATGAGGTAGCCGTGTTATGTTAAAATATGTATAAAATTGGGAGAAGTAGAGTAGGGCCATTTCTGTCCAAACAAGGTAGTTAAACGTTCGGTATATTAAAAAGCATCCGCCAGGACAAAAGGCTGAAACGTTCGACTTGTTTATGAGCATTGGTGATGCCATTGTTCTCCAGTTGGGAGAAATCGAATGCGCCTCTGGCGATGGACTTCGGCGTGTAACGATGAATTTCGCAATCGAAAACCGATAGAAACGTGTCAGGCTTGATAAGAAGCGGAATCGCGCGACCTCTGGAGTCGTTTGGAGGTTTCGCGTTCGCAATGTCTTGGATTTTCCATTAAATAGGGATTTTTACAGACAACCGTGAAATGCCGTTGCGTTACGTTCTTCGATCACCAAGAACATCGGTGGCCTCGTCACGGCGACTTTTCTCCAATGCCAGACTCTTTGATGCGTGCGATAAAATCACGTTTCTGATGATAATCGGCGCCAAACAACCACCTAATAGTATAGGTGTGGATGAAACTTTAACCTTTAAGAATAAACCAAGACTATGCAAAAGAAACAGACGTCGCGACTGGAAGCCGAGTCGGATATTCTTCAGCCTGTAATTTATATATTTTTTTTCTCTTCATTTTTATTTAATTCTTATTATAGAATCTTCAGGGAAAACGTCATTGAATCGAGTAACGATGAACGTGTGAAAAGCTTCATGGAGATATTTAATATTCATGCTGACGAGCGTAGCGTAAAATATTTAACGGGAGTATTTTTTACGTTTCAAAATGTAAGTATTAAAAAATTATGTATTTTATGTATTAAATTTTCGGTGAAGGGGGACGAGGCGAAATTTTCTGACGTGGATGTTTTGCAAATGTGGAGTAAAGTCCCCTGTAATAGATTCGTGGTACAACAAAACATGCGAGTGATGTGAGTGAATTCTTAATTTTCCCTACTTTTCGTGTTAGCTGTAGACGTCTTGTTAATTAGCATTGGTTAATATGTATTGTCTGAAGGCGAATTTGCATTACACCGTAACGTCGCGCCCTTTAGCATACTGGATTGTCATCGTTTACATAATGAATCCGGGCAGTATTTCATGACTTTTCGTTTCCGCTGTATAATAATTGTCGCCATTTATTTCATTGTAGAATTGAATAGTCATATAAAGTTCATTTAATTAATTGACATTCCGGTTACGTTGTTAACCTATCTGGATTCTTATCGTGAATTGACGCAACAGTGTAATCAATAGTGACGAAAAATTAACGATTAAATACAAGGTTTTCCACTGGCATTATTACGTCCTTTATCTCTATGTATAGAACTAGCAGGTATGTAAACGCATTAAATAACATTAATGCAATAAGGTCTTAACTGACGCATGTCCTCAAAAGGGAATTCCTGATATGTTCGTGTCAAAGTGTGCTAAGGTCACTTTTTGCATTAATTCTAAATCAATCAGCGAGACAAGTTACTAATCAATCGTAATCTAAACAGTGAAAATCTCGATAATAAAAAGGTAATAACAGTCAGATGTTACAAAGTTGCATAAATTTTCTTCTTAGACATGTAGGAATTTTTTATGCCACATTTTCCGCGTCGATTCGTCCCTAACATCGTTTTTGCTACTTAATATGTTACTTCTTCCGTCTAGCATTAACTCTGCCCAGTACATTGACAATGGAGATCTTTCTCAAAGATACGATCCCACGTGCCGTGAATGATAATCTTATTCATCGCGAGATGTATGTGTCACACGTTTGCCATTAAAGATGTCGGCAAAATCGATCAGTGTCGTCTCACGTCGATGGTCAGGGTCAACTTTGAATGGCAAGAATAAATCCAATAAACATCTCGATAAAACAATATTCGCTGGTGAGTCTTTTCTTAAAACCACGAACAAGAACCTAGGAACTCATATCGTTCGACTATGACATAAAATCAAAAGTATAACAACACTTTTCCACTCCTTCCGAAACTCGACGCCATCTTGAATTCTTTCTAACACGCTCCAAGCGTTAAGTACATTGTTAAAAATATTCCCAAAATTCATACACTTTTGGTAAATAAGACTGTGAGAGAATAATAAATTTCACGTCTCAAAAGTGACTTATCAAACATTTATGACAGACTTGGAAATAAAGGTGTGAGTTTGTAGCATCATATTGGAGATTCGTGAAATTTTCTAGAAAAATGGGTACACATACCTCATGAATTTATAACATATGTCATGAATGTTGTTCGGAAATATTACAAAATTAGTATGCCATGTCCGAATAAAACTTCCAAGAAAAATTCATATAAAATTCTATATTACTTTTTAATCGTGTTAATTAATTCTCCATTTCGCTGGAGATGTTTCAGATTTTCTAATTTCTTTCTTAATAATCTATTTTCTTTTCGAATCGCATGATTCATTAAAAGCCCAACTACGGAGTCAATTACACATCACTCATCGTCAGAAGGTCAAGAGAAACAGTGATCAACGATCGTAAATGAACCCGGTGCATCGAGAACGATTCCGTCCTTGCATTAGCATGATTAAATGGGTCCACGAAACGATAAACGCTGCCATTACAATCGGAAGGAAAATGCCAGGGAACTCTACACCCATCGCGTTGGCAAAGCTAATAAAACCGATAATCCTAACAGCAATCGAGCAAAATAACTCATTTTCAAGAACTTTATCAAAAACATTAAAAACTTCGACGATACAACTGTGCCGAACCTATAAATTGGTCACAAAGGCTGCATCTCGACCATATAAGTTACAAAAATGTAAGAGACAATGTAAAGTAAGAAGTGTCTTGAAGAGGTTAGGGAAAGAGGAATGGATCCATGTAAACGTATGTGGGTATATAGTAAGACTTTAAGAGGATATGAAAGGCGCTAAGAAATTGAATTGACGTCGATGAAGTAAAATTCATCTATACCCTTTTTGGGGGTAACGCCATTTTGAATACTCAAGTGGTAACATAAGCTGTCGCGTTCCGTCATCGACATTTATATTTATGTTGAAGTCTTTTACAGTCTATGTTGAGAGTTATAAGAACTGAAGGGTTCTATATTTCATTTCGGTAAAGTGATGATAAAAAGATCGACGTAAAACCACCGAAACCCCATGAATTCGTGACTGTTTATATTTTGAGGAATCAACGTCGCCATTTGTAACGTTTACCTGCAACTAAATTTTTGCTGTAAAAACTCGTGTTAACCGAAGGACAAACCAGCATTCTCTTGCAATCGTTGGTGAAAGTATTTCCAACATTTCCCCATCTGACTTCGTAATATTCCATTTCTATGGTATTCTAAATTGTTCGAACTAGGTCCTGAAACTCTTCATTTTCGGTTTTAGGACTCCAAGAAGCGTAAAACATCGAAAACGTGCACGAACCACGGCATGTTGGTTCTAGTCCATGATAAGTAAATAAATTTTTCATGATAAATGAAATTTCATGAGTTTCAGGACCTACTTTAGGGCCTCCATATCCACGTGGTTAAATTTGAAACGAATCGGTACACCCAATTCGGAGAATACTTTCCCCAACGATTTAACTTCTCAGATGTATATAGGCTGACTCTTTCATATCCCCTTAAACCAGAAAACGGCAGCGTCCATCTTACGTTGTTGCGCACACACATGCAATCCAAAGTGTCTTTTAAAATTCAATAAAGAACGTATTAAAGCATATCCAGATTGTAAAATGGTGTTAAAGATTGTTTCTAAAGACATAAAAATCGAAAATGTCAGTAACAGTTACAGGGTACGCTAGACGATTTTTATATCTGCTTAAACGGGACGGAAACGTTAACGACGAAAGATAACCGCCACCTGTCCCTCCCCCTTACGTGTGGAAGTTTTTATCAAATATCCATGCAGAGGTATTTTCTATCTCTAAACATTTTTTCAAATTCCATTCTATCCAAGTGTAAAGAATATTTGAACCATATTCACCCTACCGTATGGACCTCGTTTGTCAAAAGACTCGAAGAAATTTTAAAGATAAATCTCCCTCTGTCTAACCTCCTCCGACGCTTAACGTATACACGTTCTATAGCAATATCCTCTCCATTTCTATAGACTCCACGATTTCATCTCGAGAGTTAAATCGGAGACAACTTTTCCCGATTAATGGTTTGTAATGAATTAAAAAAATAAAACTAAAGTATCAGAAAGGCCGGAGCCCCATGAGCTATCACGTGTCACACAACGCGACGCGTCGACGCGGCGAGGACGAAAAACCAATCAAGACTGCACTTAACCTCGTGCCACAGTTCGGATTGATTTTTCATCTTCGCCGCATTGACGCAATGGCTGTGTGTGACACTCTACGCGTTCAATGGGACTCCTGTTTAAAGCAGTAACCCCGTATCAAGGCGGTGACGGGAACCAACGGTTTACCAAACTGGGAATAGCTAAACGCCCTCTTGTGGGCTTATCTTACCGGAAAGGTCAGACCTTGGCGAGCCCCCTGACACGTGGCACAAGTCCGCGATAACCGTTACTGGAATTGCGACAGCGCATTCGTGGTAGCATCCGCGATGTGCTGAATTAATCTGTTTACCGTTGGCAGCACGTTTTGCGACTCGGAGGAGTGTCTCTGACGTCACGCTCACAAACGCTTTCGCAACAGGTGGGTGTGCGTGCGGATCGGCGGCCGTGATTGGTCGGCAGGCCGCGCATTCCTTCGAGGCGCTCGCGGCGCTCTGGAAAGGCGCCGGAGAGGTGGGGGGAGGAGAGCGCGCCACAAGCGCCGCGCATGCGTCGACCGCGTCGAGCCTTCTCGAAAGGTCCACGCTCATTGGTCGAGCCTCGGCTCGCGAGTTCCCAGGAAAGTTTCGAGCGTCGAGCCCGCCATTCTACCGATGAACTTTGCCCCGGTATCACGGCCCGGACGATGAACGCGATTCGTCGAAGGAAGTGCACCGCACTCGGAAATAGAACATTCTAGACGAGGACGCCATTGTTCCTCCGACTTGACGACCGACATGACCACGGGAAGCACACCTGCCCGCGGTTTGCGGATTCTCTACGTTCCCTTCAAGATTGGAACTGGAATAACTTTTATTTCTTTATAGTTAATGGTATTACGGTGTATTTTATGAGCCTTCGCTCGGGAAGCTACCCTTTATTGTTGACTGTATAAAATTTGTACTTCCAGGTCACCTTGAAGCTGGATAAAGAGAGGTGACCTCGGTAACGCTCTACGCGTCCTTCGAAATGTTTTGTAATATTTAAGGTTTCAATAAAGCGCATTGCTGAGGGGAAGGCTGTCGTTTTGTTGGTTATTTTATACCACGTTCTTGAATGTTCTGTTTCTCGAAAATGCGTATCATCTCGGGGATATATAATTTGCATTTGTATGCGTTTTTATGTGTACGTACATGTATAGTGAAAGACAACACTTGTTAAATACTGATAGTATTATTAGGTTAAGGCGTGTCCCCATTTTCGTTGCGGTTTTCCTTTATTTATTAATAGCTCCAAAGTGCGTGACTATCTTAGCTCTTCATAAAACTCATATTTACTGTTTAAGCTGTGTTTGTAGTGCTATTAACATAGGAATCTAGTTATAAATTTTAGTGAATAATACGGAATGGGCGGACTTATTGTTCGTTATTGTAAAAACATTTAACATCTTTTGCAAAAAGTAACACGAATAATCTTTCCATTTCCATGAAACCAACGACAATAACTTGGTTCTTAGTAATGTTAAGCGTAATGGAAACCCACTTCTAGAATGTAAATTTTTCCTGATTTGTAAACATCCCACGGCTTCCCCATTCTACGGTTTAACTACGATTATGTAGTTTTCTTCTGAGAAGCTGCCAGAGCTTCGAGGAATTTATGTGCATTTTCTTAATGACATGCAGCTGAGAGCGCGAAACTATAAAAATTGGATAACAATATTCCATTGAAGTGTCGCAATGAAAGAATAGTTAATAATAACTACGGCGATCCTTTGAATTTCGCCAAGCTGATCGCCTTCTGGCGTTTCCCGTTATGCTAATGCATAGATAACTAATTAAACGTTCAATCAATTGAAGGTCTGATCAAACTTCGCCACGAATTACATCAGATTAAGTGGAAGCCAAGAAAAATTTATTTATAAAGTAGTGATAATGGTATTCAATGTGGGAAAACATTGTAATCGAAGGACGTATACTATATTTGTAACACCGAGGACTAGTAAAACGTGATACTGCGTTTCTGTTCGTACCGACACATGTCGGAGAATTTCTTACGTCAAATCAATCATTCCTTTAGACAATGCATGTCGCACACGTTTAATTCAACTTTTTTTTTTTCCCTGCAATCACTTTGACATATCTTCTTGCCACGAACAATTACAACGTTTCACTGGCAAGATAAAGGAAGATACACTGCCGTAATCCATATAATTTCTAAGAAAACAAATCGAATGAATTTTATTGCTGGCTCTTTCTGATAAGAGACATTTACCTTTCTGCTTGAAATAATCCTAAAACGCGTCGCGACACAATCCATACAAGTGCAAATATTTGCAAAATGTCCGACTCTTTCTACATATCTTTCTGGCGCCAGGAGTCATTAATTTCAAAAGGCGTGTTAGAATAAAATAATCCACCCTTAATTACCACATTGATAACATTACTCCTCAAATGTCAATGATAGAAATAAAAGAATCTAGAGGAGGCGAGCAGGTTACACAATTTACCCAATATTTAAATTAATATTGCTAATCATCGCTTCCTCCCTTGATGCAAACCATTTAGTTTGCAGTAATGTCATCCTAATTGTGTAATTCTTCCGAGAGTCTTGACAGATGATGCCATTTTTTAAGTTTCTTAGAGAAAGCCTTTCTTTTCATTAGATCAGCTTTTAATCCTTTCCCCGTTAATTAAACCGGCTTTCTTTCACGTTCAGCTAGTCATCATTCTCCAACTCGAAGTTTTATTTATTAGTCATTTAAAAATATTTCCTACTCCACATTTCGTAGTGCATTAAGAAGGATAAACAATCAACTCCGAAAAGTGAAAAATCCCGATCACTCTTCGATCATGGCATTGAGCATTCTCCATATTCTTTTGGTACCCCAAAACGTACCATATCCCGTGTTTGGCGTATTCTTCATATCACTGTTTGGATGCGCCAAATATTTCCTTCCCTCGGATTAATTCGAAGCACCAAGCTCTTGCCAACGAAAGTTCTGCAACAAACCAATCAAACCTGGTCAGAGAAGGTCAAGACAAAATCTGCGATATGAAATAAAAGAAGAGAAGGAAGCTCACTTAATCGCCGAGCAATTTATGCCAATAAAAACTTTTATATCCCACCCACACGAGAGCACGACATCAACGGTGAATAGATGATATTGTTTCGTGATAACGATATATGCAACCACGCGTCGACCTCCGCCATTGCTGAGATTACGTGAAATTCTATGCGCGCAGTTGTGATATGCAAACGCACATCAATCAACATAACCATCTAGACAGTGACCAGTAAACATGTTATTAGCGATTAGCCATCTTTGGACACGAATTGCGACAATGGGCGTCTCAAAAATTGCACAGTATTACCAAGTACAACTAGTCGTATAAAAGGATAACGACGCCTTCTGCAACGGGCAATTAGAAAGATGGCGGCCATCGAGCTTAACAAGCGCAGTTCAACGTGCTTTTCTCACATCAACCGTCACTTAACTTGAGCGTCATCAATGAATTACAGAACGTATCGTCACGGAGTTTACGGCCTGGTTATAACCTATAATTTTCCGTCGATCTAGACACGCAGTCTATGCAACGTCCTGCATTGCAAAATGGCGAAGGAAGTCGTGGAATCATTAGATTTATAATTGTTATGCCGAAGAACTACATTCTAGGTTAGGTGACGAAAGTTTTCCCCACCGATACAGAATAACCTCAAATTTGAATCTGTCCGAAGTTATCGATGGGATTAAATGATCTCGCGTTTCGGAATCAAAATACTCGGTAGAGTTCCGCGCCAAGTATACACATACAGATTTAAGTATCTGCGAGTGCAGTGCGTCCTTAACGCTATGTTTGGGGACGTTAAGGTGATATGATAGACGTGGAATAATTAGCGATTTATAATTGTTAATCTGTTGAACTAACTTCTAGGTTAGGTGACTAAAGTTTATCCTACCGATACGGGATAACCTCAAATTTGAATATGTCCAAAGTTATCGATGGGATTAAATGATCTTGCGTTTCGGAATCAAAATACTCGGTAGAGTTCCGCGCCAAGTATACATATACAGGTTTAAGTATCTGCGAGTGCAGTGAGTCCTTAACGCTGTTTGGGGACGTTAAGGTGATATGATAGACGTGGAATAATTAGCGATTTATAATTGTTATTCTGTTGAACTAAATTCTAGGTTAGGTGACGAAAGTTTTCCCTACCGATACGGGATAACCTCAAATTTGAATCTGTCCGAAGTTATCGATGGGATTAAATGATCTTGCGTTTCGGAATCAGGATACTCGATAGAATTCCGCGCCAAGTACATACACGTTAACCTATTTACGATCGCAATGAGTCCTTGACGTCAACTTTGAGCAGGTTAAGGTGGTGTAAAAGTGGCATCTGAAAAGTCAATCGTTCGTGAAACTTTTCTCCAAACTGGATGTATCGAATCGTTTCCAATTTTGCCACGTGAATACGGAGACTTTAAAGAAGGGCCGACACTCATGAAATTTCATTTCTTATAGAAAATTTTGAAAATGTCTATGAACAAATGAAAAAAAATAATTAAAATTTCATGGGGGTCGGGACTTTCCTTATAGTCCACGTATTCACCTTGTAAAGTTCGAAACGATTCAGTACACCCAATTACGAAAACACCCAGAAAAGTTTCACAAAGGTGACCTATTTGTCGCCACTTTCAGATCCCCTTAAATCTCATTGCTGCCAAGTTATTGGCCCAGGAGGGAATCCAAGCCAAGACGAGGGAAAACCGTAGATGCCGATGCTTAATTTTTGCGCGCTCCTGGCCGTGCGTTATTACCGGGGAATTACAGTGATCGGTGGAGTAATTGCAGGTAAGTGCAGGGGGACACGACCGTCTTGGCGTCCGCGAGCAATCACAGTCCGCAATTCCGCGAGATTTTTGTAGACGAGGTAATATTGATGAATGGTTGCACCCCGGTTTTCTTGCGGATTTTACTCCCCTCAAATTCGAGTCAAGTTACTATCTGCGTTCTCTTTTCGCGTTTTAAGGAGAAGCAAGGAGGAGAAATGGAAAACGGGAATAGAAGAGCGTCCAATAATCACGAAGTAGTGCAATGCACGTTCATAAATAGTATAAAATTATTCGTTATCAACTGTATAAGATATATTATAAAAAAAGAAGTGTTCCGCACGTTTTAAAGCCCGCCTTTTGTTACAGCCTGAACTACAAAAACTCGTTCATATACTTTCAATTGACGTTCACTATACTTTCAATGAACGTACGAAAGTTACGTTAAAATGATGAGAAATGCGTCGAAATCGTAATATTCAAAATCAAAGCTTCAGTTACAGCCTGAACTTGAAAAACTCGTTCATATACTTTCAATTGACGTTCACTATACTTTCAATGAACATACGAAAGTTACATTAAAATAACGAGAAATGCGTCGAGAACGTAATATTCCAAATCAACGCTTTTAGGAAACATATTTCATAGAGAAAAAAAACCGTGTTCGGGTAAAAGTTTATTTATACACCTACGGTACAGTTTCATTTCGTTTACGCGTGTGGAACGCGCACTCCACTATTTTGTGTATATTGGACAGAAGAAGAGAGGAAGCAAATCCTTGCTGGGGTGTGGCACAACAACTTTCGTAGCAAATATAGGCGTCTTTCAACGCCTTCTAACGGTTCAACAATTTTCAACGACATGCAAACGCTTGTCCGTGTTTCCCTATCGCGTGAAGCTTGTCGCGATTACTTAATAACACCACTTCGAGTGAACTCGTTCCATGAGAAGGCAACATGCGAAGTCGGTCGGGAAAATCGCGGAAATCTATTTTCCCCGTAATTGTCCCGATTACCGTACAAATTGTCCACCGCTTTAAGTAGACAGAGCTTGAACGTTATTAAATCGTCAGTTGCCAGAGTAATTTTTAATCATTTCTAGGTGCGGTTAAGGAAGGAATCTACGGGAAGGTCAATCTCCTTCGAGAATTTCTACGTCGTTTCCGGCATTTCGTTTCCTCGTGGGATTAGATATTTCTTCGTCCCTGGGCGTGAATCGGCGACATGTTCGATAATGTTGGAATACTCATTTACCGGAAATTATGATCGTCTTCGACCAGATGTGCGATTACGACCAATGTGCAGTAGGTGTCGCGCAATTGCCCTTTGGCGCATGCGCTTGACTTGTGCTTAACGCATTCTATCAGCTGACACGCTTCAATTGTATCACCTGATACAAGTGTTGATTAAGCGCTATCTGTATTCTTCGACAAGATCAAGTTATGAATGAAGATTTTCCTAAATAGGGTGTAGGTGTAGTAACGAGTTAGATAACGTGCTTGGCTTAGCGGTAATTGTTGTACCGAGAGGACTCCTGTGAACTTACTTTTAGTATCGCGTATTTGTTCAACCGTTCAATAAAGTGTATTGATATTAGTGTACGCGTATTACGTGCTGTTCTTTCTGTTAAAACCCGATAAAAAGAAATTACGGATATCGTAAAAGTTGTAGTATCGTAAGTATGAATGGAGTAATACGATAAGTTCTTGTTTCAGGAGATAATTATGTATTGCAACGGAAATTCCTGCATGTAGAATGTTAGTTTATAGCTGTAATAACGCTCAGGTTTATTGATCGTTCCAGTTGAGTTTGAATCTGAAAAATATCCCCGCACGTGCTTCGTGAGAAATCATTGCGCGCATGCGCTTGCGCAGTTGGAAAATGTCTCGTTCGTTTTGATAGTACTACAAAGAAATTAATATCACGACGTCTCGTATCGTCGATTGCGAGAACTGGGTGACGAAAAAATGATCGTCATTATTTATACCTTCCTATCTGAAATCGTGCAACCTGCTCCTGAACCAATTGCATCATGGATGCCAGGGGTCGTCCCCCTTATCTTTAATTTAAATGCTGAATTCCTCTCTCTTTTTTAAGAGCGCCCATAATAATTTCCTCACTTTCCTTGTGCTTAAGAAAAAGCGTAAAAAAATAATCCTCCTTATCTGTGCCCTTCCGTAGAAAATGTTGCAACCTGATCCTCCAAAAATTAGCCCACTAATGGTAGGAGTAATTACTCTGAATTTTATTAAAAATTCTAAATTCTTCTTTGATTATAAAATCACTCGTAAAGATTCCTTCGCTTACTTTATACTCGGAAAGAATACAGAAATAACCACAACATTATTATTCATGATCGTTTATCTTGCAATGCGGATTAGTAATTACGTAATAGAGCCACCTACTTCTAAGTGGTCGATTCAGTTTTCTGAAAAAAAAAATTAGAACATTCCTCTCGTGACTCCTGCAGCCAACACTTATGAAAAAAAAAACTACCAGGGAATGGCGATTAATTATTATTACTTCATATTCCCCTTGCGACAAAAACACGAGGAAGTGGCATTAGTTTATAATTAGAACGACTCGTTTGGTCAAAATGGAATTCAATATGACGTAATAATTGCAGACTAATTGTTAGGTTATATAGTTTTCGTCGATTCGACGCAATTGAACTTTGGCGAAAGGAAATATGATTCATTAAATATTTTATGGCCCACATCTAGGACTTTCAACAAAGCCGACTAAAATCAAGTTGGTGCTACGTGACTAATAAACTTTCAGATTTATTCGGAAAATTTCGTCTCGACATTGAATCTCCCCCATCCAACTTGGCTGCAGTTGCGATTACGACAAGAATTGCGTAGGTTTTCTGGCAAACGACAAGTGCGCCGAAATCAAGCAGGAAACCCGTAAAAGTGAAAGGAAACGAGAATTCGTCATTTTTTTCCTCCTCCTTAGAATTTTGTAAATGAAACACTGTGGACGACGTTGAATATTTCGAAGAAAAAAAGAAAAAATCTGAAGATTTTGGAGGAAACGAGAATTCGTCATTTTTTCCTCCTCTTTAGAATTTTATAAATGAAACACTGTGGACGACGTTGAATATTTTGAAGAAAAATAAATCTGAAGATTTGGACTGAATACTTATTAGCTTATCTGAATACGCGTAAAAAATTTAATCGGTAAAAAATGACTCAATTCATTCTGACGCTCACTGCGAAGAGTTAATCTCACTTTTCGTCGTAATCTGTGCTCATGCATTATGATTTATTGACTCAGCCCATATTCAAATCGCAGTCGAAATAACACGAATTGCGGACAACTTTATCTTCCCTGCACAAATTCCTCTCTTCCATCGCGTTTCTGACAGTCACGTAAAAAATTCGCCAACAATTCCTTCGAGGTGAATTATTAAAATTAGCCCATCCTTCCATGAAAATTGGGAAATCTATTATCAGCGAAGAATTCTCTTGCGACACGGTCGAAATATATTTCCAGGAGCAATTCCTCGTATCCTGGAAGTCTCACACGCGGAACGATCTTTCCTCAATATTTATTGTCGCCATTGTGAGAACTACTTTTATTACTTTTCCGTGGTAAAAAAGCAGCACTCCGATATTCCTTTCCTGCGCACTCTTTCCTGATACTCTGATCATTCCGTATTCATTATTTTGCATAACCAATGTCAGAAAGGCGTATTAACACTGATTTGCTTGTACCACTGTTTATCAGTGCCATTGTGGGGCTGGAGACAAGATAATGGAGAAAAGGCGGTTTTCGAAATTGCATTTACCCTGTAAAACGTCCAATTTTGTAGAGATGAAGTGTCATGAAATGGGAAAATTGAGCAATTTGTTGCGGTTTATAAACGTCTCCACGTGCTGCCATGCATTTCCTTGAGACACACGATTACGCGGCTTCGTATTCACAAATGTTTGTCTTCCACGCAAATCTCTTTAACACTTGGCATCGGTTTCCTCGATGACTCCCAATTGTTTCGTTTCACACGCGCACTTGTTGAGTCACCTAGTCAGCCAAAGTGAGACATGATGATTACTTGCAATAACATCTATCACGCTAATCCGACAGATTTGAATTGCATACTTTGCAGACATTGAAGGCCAATCTGCGACGCAAGGAAAATAAAAATCAAAAGCCTTTTACCATTAATTCAGCAATATTTTTGGCCGTTTCCTATAACCTGATTCTACTCCACAAAATTTTAGAACAATGATTAGTCAGCAGAAGCGAGATGTGATAATTTGTTCTGATAACATCTACCACGCTAATCCGACAGATCTGAATACCACTTTTTTCAGACACCGAAGGCGAATCTGCGACGCAATAAAAATAAAAATCGAAAACCTTTTACCATTAACTTGGCCAAATTTGCGGCTGTTTTCTATAACCTGATTCCACTCCAAAATAATTGTAGAAAAACAATTAGTCGGTCAAAACCAAACGCGATGCCTAGTTCCAATAATATCTATCACGCTAATGCGACAGATCTGAATAGCACTTTTTTCAGACACCGCAGGCGAATCTACGACACAATAGAAATAAAAAGACGGAAGCCCTTTTTCCATTAATTTAGAAAACGTTTCTTCCGTTTTCTATAACGCGATTCCATTCCAATCAAAATTTTAGGAAGTATATTAAGCCATAAAGTGACATAACGGTAAATTTTAATCTGTTCAATCGAATTAATGAAGTCGTCATACGTCACTCTCTGGAAAACTTAGATTCGGTTTGAACAGCACTGTGTACTCGAAAAATATTAACTTATCCGAGATACTTGTGTGTCGATAAGGAATAGAGTTGTCAAGGCTTAAATTTTTACTGGAGACATCGGTTCGACGATACTTCCTAGTCGGGATTTAGAAATTTTCGAGTCAGTGCGAAACGAAATTACCATAATCGGTATTCCACGTGAGCGCTTGGCCAGTTTCTTCTCGAGATTTTTCGGACTTCGGAATGTCTCCGATCACCCGATCGGGGATCGAGAAATCGATCCTTCCGAGAGACTATACACCTCGTATAGTCCACCTTGCGACTTTAAATACTTGAGAAATGTCTCGTGCTTCTTCTCAGCAAGGTCGACTGTTTCGTTGAAAAGTCATCGGCCTTATGCGGCCGATGACACCTACTACGAAGGTCGCTTAAATAAATGATCAAGACCTGAAGGTTCACTATAAGTCAAATACTATTTATAGATCCAAATCCAGGAAAAGTAGAAATCGCCGCGAGAAAAAAAATGCCGCAGACTAAACCGGAGAAAAATCATATAACGAGCGAAAGAAAATTCTTGCGACGTGCCTAGAATTTGCGACGATAATAATCCTCTTTTTTTATGTATAGAAAAAATAAGCGACAAACAATTTTGTCATTTCTTTCGAAGGCGAGACTTTAATCGACTCGAATTACCGGCCATTTTTCCAATTTTAGCCAGGTATCGCTGAAATAAAAAATAGTTTAAAGTCAATTCTCACCTAGGCCTCCTCTAGCGCCGAAGAAAGATCTCCCGCAGCGAAGTTCACTCCGCTCGAATGAAAGAGTCCCTCGAAGGCGCAGTCTCCCTCAAAACCCTTGAAAATTTTCTTCCGTATCCACTGAATCCTCCTTTCACCGGTTCCCAACTTTCCCGCCCCTCCGATCACTCCACGTACCGATAAAAAATAATGAAACAGCTCCTTCTCAAGTATCACACATATCGGGCACGATGAACCTCGACTTTCGCGCTTGACCGATAACTTTCCTATTAACAATTTCTCATAGAAAGATCCTCGTACTTAGGGCGGTTAATTCAACTCTATTCGGGTGGTTTTCCGGTAAACGGGTTGAAAGAAACGCGAAATAGCGTTGGGCGGAAATTCTTGAAGAGGGTGGGCGGAGTGGGTGGCGAAAGGAGGTTAGGGCTCTCTTGTAGCTAAATTCAGGTCCCACGATCGGCGCCTTCGAGTTCGAACGAGGATCGAGATCAAGCTCGTTTGCACGCGTAGTTGGCGCAAGCGTCGCTCGTTCGAAACTGACGTTGTTGGCGGTTCAGCTGTTCATACATAAGCCTTGTCTTGCAAAGCGTTCTCCGAGACACGCGGTAAAGACGAGGTGGTGCAAGAGGCGGAGAGGAGACAGTGGCGGCGGTGGTGGACGTCGGAGGCGCCAGAAGAAGCACTTTGCGCAATGTCGGTGGTACCCAGTGATGTCGCATCGATGATAGGATATCCAATTATCTGTCTCCGATTCCCTGCTCTGGGAACCGATCGCCCGGATTTCACGAGCGGGGAAATCGCGGAGCCCTGACCGGCGGAGACCTAACCTAAAACGTAACGTCGATGGAGCGATCGCCGACTGACGGTTTTTCTGTTTAGGAATGCGGAGAATGGAGCGAACGAGCGACGGGATTGCTGATTAGCTTCTTTGAATCGACTGCGCGGAAAGAAATGGAGGAGGAACCGGGAAGATCTCAGACCTCGAGTGACGCTGGACGGGAGATCACGAAGATGGGATTTTTTTTACGTCTCTCGAAGAAACAGAAAATAAGAGGAATGAACTAGGGATTTTCTGCCACGTGTAAAGTGTTATGATTTTGCCGAAGAACGTTGCTATTAAATCGATATTGAATTTCCTGCGGTAGATTCTTTCGAGCTGGTACTCCTCCGAAGAGCCGCCATCTTGGTCCGCGAGAACGCGTTTTGGTATTTCGAAGATTTTCGAATACCGAGGTATACTAAGAGAAACAATGACACGCCGAATGAAAAACCGGTAAATGTTTACTAGATTTCGAGGTACACCATTTGTATGGAAGCATTTGCACGAAAATATTCCATATTTGTTATAAAACGCAGCTGGGTACTCCTCCGAAGAGCCGCCATCTTGGATCCGCGAGAACGCGTTTTGGTACTTCGAAGATTTTCGAATACCGAGGTATACTAAAAGAAACAATGACACGCCGAATGAAAAACCGGTAAATGTTTACTAGATTTCGAGGTACACCATTTGTATGGAAGCATTTGCCCGAAAATATTCCAAATTTGTTATAAAACGCAGCTGGGTACTCCTCCGAAGAGCCGCCATCTTGGATCCGCGAGAACGCGTTTGGGACTTCGAAGATTTTCGAATACCGATGTATACTAAAGAAAAAATGTATACTAAAAGAAGTTATGTTTAAGTTGATAAAATCGAATTATTACAGCTTCGACCACTCTGGCGTTGCTTTATGTTTTATGATTAGCAAATTGGGGAGTACCAAGATCTTCTAGAACTTGCGAATTTAGAGCGTGAGCTCCAAATTACTGCCTGATTTAATCGACACAGGGTTTTATGCGTTGGAAACCGGGACAATTCGTTTTCGGTTTTTCATGGACCACGTTTCGCGAATTGTTCTTACCGGCTGTGAAAGGAGCTTGTTAGTTGTAAGTGGTTCATGTAGATTCGCGCTCGTTAACCCTGATCTACTTAGTGCGTCCTGAAAAGTGCGTAACGCAGAGAAAGAAACAAAAAAAAACACAAGAAGCAATCGTGCGGGCTCACGGATGACGGTGTGTGTCCGCCATGAATGACAATTATATTTAGCCGCGAATTTCCATTAAGTGGCTTGATTGTCACAAATTTGTTGACGACATACGCTAATCGCACCGCGAAGACGCAAGAAATTTGTACACCCGTTCTTAAAATTGCTCCGGAAGAATGATTGGAATTACCGCAAACTGGTGTCTTGCGACGATTCGAGTTACTGCACCAGAAGTAATTGCACCACTCCATGGAAATATATTTGAAGAGATACATATATCATTTGAGTACAAGTTTACCCCCGTCCCATTTCGAAAATCTTATTTCTCCCTCTAGGAAGTAAAATCGCCGAATTTCGTTTACTTCGTGGATATCAATTATCTGATCTTCTAACAAACTGGAGTAAATGTTCTTGTAAGACAATCTCACTTTTAAAAATTTCAATGGTTTTAGTCAAGAACTCTTTGATATTTTTTATGGTAGGTCCAAAAACCCGTGTGAAGTTAGCCCCCCACTTTTTGAAATTCGTTAAAATTATTCTTCTTCCAGATTGTTCTCATTTTATTCTGAAGTGTTCGCAAAAGGTATTAGAGAAGAATTAACAACAGCTTTGGAAAACAGGATGAAATGGGATTGGGAGGATCGAATTTCATGAAATCTTATTTAAGCCAACTTTAAGATGAGCGATTAGCAACGTCGAAGCAGTTTTGCGCATTTGATGTTATGAAAAAAAAAAAAAAAACTTGAACTTGAAGCAAAGCGGATCGTGGCGGTGCAGACCAGTTTCGAACTACTCTTAAGTCTTAAGCTTGCAGTAAAAGAGAGAGGGGATTGGCCTCAGGGATGTACAGAAAAGGAAAACGCGTGAAAACGACGGGGTCAAATAAAAGAGAACCTTATCAGAGCGCTGGAAAGAGAACGTAATCGACTCGCTTTTCTCGATTTTTGCTGATTTTCTAAATGAAACGTTAACGGCATTTCTTTTCCTTTTTTTTCTACCATGGAATAATCCTTATTTCAGTCAATCAAACGCGAATATATTACTTTTTCACGTAGTTAACGAGCGAGGCAGTATTTTCTCAACGAGTCAAAATGGCGACAAGGGCCTTCGTCATGATTTTATTAAGATCGTTAAAGCAGCCTGGCACTTTCGGAATTCTGCGGCTAATAAGGATATGGGTTAATGCAATAATTTGTGGATTACACGTTCAAACGTCCAGTTAACCTTTGTTAAACTATTTATGATGAAACCTTTCGTGCCTCCCGTAACTTCGTGAGATCCAAGGGAATGCGGACATTACGACGACTGCTGGTGCGGATTGTCGGGGGAGAAACTATATTAAATTTACAGTGGGCATTCTGAGAACACTTAACAGTGCAAGAACGTTTCCGTGAATTCGCGAGGATGTTGGTGATTGTATTATTAATTTTATGTCGCTTCCAGGAAGGGAAATTCGCTTAACACCACCCCGCCAAATAATTACCGAATCTAAAATTCACCCCAAGCGGTGATTTCCCGTGAAATTTTTTATAACATAATTTAAACGGTTCCAAGTTTCATTAGTCTGTAAAACATTGTTCTATACATATTCTTAATATTGAGAAAATCTAAGATAAGAACGAAATTTCAATTCTCTGTCTAAGTTCATTGATAAAAATCGATGGGCATTTACGTATATTTGGACACACGTCATAACTGAAGTTTTCCGTAAAAAAATGTAAATTGGGAAGCTTGCAAATTAGTAAATGCATAAATACGCATATCGTTGTATATTTACCGTATTAGTGCATTTTGGCTTGAATTAAATGTAATATTTCATTATAATTCTTTTTAACGTGACTTAAATGCTGAATTGGGTATTTCAGAGAGATTGTGATTTTACGGCAATTTATTGTGGCATTAAAATGACCAATGATCGAGTATGAAAATTTACTTTGGCTTTTTTATCAGTGTTGGTACCAGTGGACACCACATACTGCAGCTTATTTCACGAGCTTGACACAATTTCCTGAAAATTACGTAAGCACGGCGATAACGAAATATTGTTTACCCCAATATATACATATAATTCCGATTTTACAGTATCCCTAGAAATAAGATGCATCGAGGCTATCGCTATGAGAACCGAGGAAAGAACCGGGCCACAAAAACTGCTCGCTATCGAAAAGATAAATTGTTGTAGAAATGAAGGAGTTGAAATCAGTAGAAGTAACGAGAATAATTATAGTGACCCTCCATAGTTCGTCTGGACGGTGATAACGATGCTTAACCTCCGTCGACTTATAAGCATTTAATCAAACTCATTATAAAAGTTAAACGCAGCTTGCACATTTCCTATCAAGATTATGGTAATTAGATGACACGTGTCTTGCACGAAGAGCGACGCGATATTAGATTCACGTACAAAGAGGTACTGTCAAATTAAATTCTTTCGTGTTATATTTTATTGAGAGAAAATGCAACCTGCTACCAATCGTACGTAGACCTTGGAAATAAAGAATTTTATGTATAAAAATATAGAATTATCATCCTGTATATAATTAATTCCAGAATATAAAACCAACTGCTGGTACGTAACCTATCTTAGATAAAGAGGAGGCCTGAATTACCGTCCGCCAGTATAATTTATCAACGATGAATAAAACTTTCCTCTTTCAATTGCTTAATTGGTAAATATATTAATTTTTATCCAACAAACCATCAACTGCTCCGATCTAAAAACAATGCGTACTTTTTATATTATAAATAGAAGATACTGTAAGTCACATTTTCTTAGTTTCTTAGACGTTATTTCTCAGATCATTTTCTAATTTTCAAGAAATTAAATATTTTTAATTTACTAAGTAGTGGTTATTTATCGAATACACTTTGGACGTTGAATGCTCGATTTAATTATTATGCTTTTAGTGGAAATTTAGGACGTGATGGGTCAATGGACAAAGACAAGTCTTCGCCGTGAAAGTGGACGCGATTGGAATCGAGAGGGAACGCAGAATGCTGAAATCGAGAGTGAAACGATATAGGGCAAAGTCCTAGTAGCCTACTTTTACTGGCCTCAATTTCTCCCCTACATCGAGAATCGAGAGTGAGTTTCATTTCGTTTTCACTTTCGCTTTCGTTGTCCTGACCCGACCCAACCGAGATTTCTATTAACCCGCCTCGATTGCTGAACGAATCTCTCCGAAGAGGCTGAGTGTCCTAGGTCAGGATCACACTCACTTTCGCTCTCGCACTTACTTTCGGACTCACTTTCGATTTCTAAGGGAACTGGCATTGTACAGGCCGTACAAGATTCCTTCAGGAATCACTGTCGACCGACATGAAAAATATCAGAAAATATTTTCACATGAAAGTTATGATAATATTTCTTTTCTAAATTTTCATATCTTTAATAAAGGTCAGGATCACCCTCACTTTCGCTCTCGAATTTACTTTCGGACTCACTTTCGATTTCTAAGGGAACTGGCATTGTACAGGCCGTATATGATTCCTTCAGGAAACACTATCGACAGACACGACAAATATCAGAAAATATTTTCACAAGGAAGTTATGATAATACCTCTTTTCTAAATTTTCATATCTGTAATAAAACCTGAATTCGCTAATGATGAGACAATTTTAAAATAAAAATATGAACACGTGGAAACGAAAATTCTCTAGGTAATTATTGACGAGGGAATTGAAAGGAAGGAAATGTACAGCTTTGATTTTTGTGACAATTTGAACGATGGAAATAAATAACAACCCTTTGGTCTCAGGCGGCATCCTAAGATTTAATAACGAATTTTCCATTTAACTTTCAAATATTAAATTTTTTTTACGAAATAATTACTCAATAACATATT